TATGACATACAGATCAATACTACAGCAATTGTAATCAGCATATCTCAGGCTGTCATTTACACTAATGTGTTTAACAGTGGGAAGCATGAAGAGCTGAATTAGATACAGAAATTTAACCCATCACTGGAATAAGAGTTTAACCCCTTGCTGGAAGAAGGCTGCCAATATATCAGTTTTACCTCGAACCAGAACCAGTCTCTAATTCTGACTATGGAAATGTTATGCTAATCATGAAACATATAGAGGGTCTGCTGCCTAGTCTGATTCACGCAGTTCCACAGGAGTAGATTTTTCTCTCACGGTGCATTTTTATTGTGAACGTAGGCATAGCTTTGTGTATTTAACAGTAATGGCTACCCTTGCACTGCAGTTGTTTGTGGGTAGATATTAATCTGGCTGAACATCATGGGAAATGAGCAGTATTGGTTAACCTTGGTAGTGCTAATGGTTTTATAGTACTACATTCAGTGGATTCCATTTTAAGGAAATGGGAGCTAATCCTAGGAAATGGTAACTCTGAGACAACTAAGCTCCCGTGCACAGTCTTTACTCTTTGGTGGTAAAACCTGTGCGTATTAGCAGTGATTTAAAGTCACCCAAACAACTTTAACTTAATGAAGCAGTTTTGATGTATAGATTATGATCCTACAGTTTCAATGTGCAATTCTCTTCTGGTTAGGAGTTAAATCACTTTGTTTATAAAGCCATAGTCACACCTCCGTGCATGTGACTTGCATAGCCTTCCTAAACACTTTCTGTGAAGAGTCATCTAGTGTTTACACTTCCTTTCTTGAATATTCTGTTTAATTTAGAATTTCTTATCTACTGATCTGTCAATAACTTGCTAGACCCCACAAGAGCCTCCTGTATATAATTCAAGTTAAATTTACAGAGCAGGAGAAGTAAGTTACAAATGATTGAAAATTAGACCATTTTGTTTTCATGCTGACTGTGTCAGTCACAGCCAGGGGAGGTATGGCTAGGACTGCATAAGCAAAAAGAAAAGTGATTTAACTCCTAAATGGCAATGAATTTAGCAGTGAAACTTTAGGGGCATGATTTATACACCATAACTGATTCATTAAGCTAAAGTTGTTTTGGTGACTATACTGTCCCTTTAAAGAAGAATCTTTGGGAGTGAAACTAGATATCTCATTCTTGAAATGCATACATCTTTATATCACAGATCCTGCTCAGTCCTTACAACTGGTGTGAGGATACCACCTCCAGTTTAGGCTCATCCATCAATGAGTACTTTGATAACACTATTTGCAATTCTTTTTCTAGGGAATGGGGGTGAAACAAAGTAACATACTCCAGCCATTAACTTTGTGTGTCACAATAAGACAATAATCTATCTCTTTAATTCTGAAAGAGGTTTCAGTTCTGCAGGGCCCTTCCCCTTCATTGGTAGCTCTGTAAAGAGGCTTTCTTGAGAACATCTAGACATGTCTGAAAAAATGGGACAGATTTGAAATTTGTCCTGTTTAATCAGATTTAGCACATGCCTACTCTTCTTCAATGAGGAATTTCAGGGTAGTCACACTGAGTTGCCATTTGGGCAGCAGGGCCCAGGAGTGGAGGCATCATTGGCTCATAGTGTCAGGGGTGGGGTTACAATGCCTACAGCAGAAAGAAGCAAGATGCCATCTTGAAAGAAGTGAAGAGAGCACAATAGCAGCAACTCCTGGTCTCTGCCAAATGTAAGTGTACAAAATTATAACTTTCTCTCCCCCTAATAGTGTTTGCCCAAGGGCTGATGAAGCAAAATAATTTACTAAAATATGCAATTATTATATATATAAAGCCAGGGAAGCCCACAGAGGGCAAGGGAAGGGAGTGAAAATGGCAGGTATTTCTGACAGCACTATTCGGCCTGTCACTAATAGTTTTAGTAACTCATACAACACTTTGCATAGTGTAAACTCAGCTGCCCAGTGTCTTCTATAAACTGCTCAGTCACTCAGTAGCTGGGGACTGAGACACATGTTGTGGCTTGTTTTTAAAGGACCACTATAGGCACCCAGACCACTTCAGTTTAATGAAGTGGTCTGGGTGCCAGGTCCATCTAGGATTAATCCTTTCTGCTGTAAACATAGCAGTTTCAGAGAAACTGCTTTGTTTACACTAGGGTTAAAGGACCACTCTAGGCACCCAGACCACTTCAGCTTAATGAAGTGGTCTGGGTGCCAGGTCCAGCTAGGGTTAACCCATTTTTTCATAAACATAGCAGTTTCAGAGAATGATTTTCACAGTGAGAGCACGCCAGCGTCCATAGGAAAGCATTATGAATGCAGCTCTTCCCGCGCATGCGCATTCAGCCGACGGGGAGGAACGGAGGAGGATCGGAGGAGAGCTTTCCGCCCAGCGCTGGAAAAAGGTAAGTTTTACCCCCTTTCCCCCTTCCAGAGCCGGGCGGGAGGGGGACCCTGAGGGTGGGGGCACCCTCAGGGCACTATAGTGCCAGGAAAACAAGTGTTTTCCTGGCACTATAGTGGTCCTTTAATCCAGCCTCTAGTGGCTGTCTTATTGACAGCCGCTATAGGCGCTTCCTCGCTTCTCACTGTGATTTTCAAAGTGAGAAGACGCCAGCGTCCATAGGAAAGCATTGAGAATGCTTTACTATGAGACTGGCTGAATGTGTGCGCGGCTCTTGCCGCGCATGCACCATCAGCCGATGATGGCAGAAGAAGGAGGAGATTCCTGAGCGCCGAGGGAAAAAGTTAAGTGTTTAACCCCTTCTTCACCCTAGAGCCCGATGGGAGGGGGACCCAAGAACCATATAGAGCCAGGAAAACAAGTATGTTCTCCTGGCACTATAGTGGTCCTTTAAGTTGTGAAGCTCCACACTGCAGTACTAGGTCTGTTAGTCAGATTCTGATTTCAATTTGTAATGATTGTTGCTTCTGATAAACATGTCCGCTACTTCTTGGCTCCATATTACTACTGCAGATTACATATATTGCCAGTTGCAAAGGTTATAAAGAGTCTGTCAGTCTCCTGCTGCATTAACCCCTTAAGGCAAAAGGCCATCCCTTTTTGGCGTGGCTCTAAACACCAAAGGGCGGCATAGAACGTCCCAGCCGTCCTTCATACTCACCGGGTCCCTGCCGATCCCCCAACGGTGGTCACGATCCTGGGTACTGCCTGAGAGCTCAGGCAGACCCCCTCTGCCCGATCCGCCCTCCCAGGCCATGTGATCGCGGGGGGTCCATGCGATCACGTGGCCGGAATAGCTGGCTTAGGCAGTGACTGCCTAAGCGTTCAGGCTGTCCCCCTAAAGCCTGTAAAAAAGTTTTAAAAGTTAAAATAAAGTTTTAAAACACTTTATAAATGTAATAAAAGTGCTTAGATCATATATATATGTATATATATATATATATATATATATATATATACACATATACACATATATATGATCTAAATACTTTTGTATGCACATACACATACATAAACTATTATTCTAATATTAGAATACACTTAAAATGACGTTAATTTTATATTTATATATATATATAAATTATGAATAAATACATTTTCAAAAATGAAAAAAAGTAATACAATTTTTTCTAAAAATTATATACCTGTTTAATTTTTTTCCAACTGTATTTTAATATTAATATACATATATATTTAAATCAAAATACATTCAGAATGATGTTAAAAATTCATATATGTATCTATATATCTATCCATCTCTATATATAGATATATACATATGTATATGTATTTGTGGTTGGTAATATAGTGAAATACCTTGCGATTGGAGCAAGTCGGTGTGGGTGTGCCGAAACTGACGTAAGGGTAGGCCTGTAATCAAGAGGGCCCCCTTGGAAGAATTGTAAAACAAAAAGTAAAAAAGAGGGGTAAGGTGGGTGAGGTGAACTGATCGCCACCACAAAGGTAAGAAGGGGGTGTAAGGTTTTATAGGAACGCTAACTCCTCCCACAAATACAGGCCTTTGGCCTTTAAACTCGTGGTTGGTAATGTAGAGACCGTGAAATACATTGTGATTGGAGCAAGTCGATGTGGGTGTGCTGAAACCGACGTAAGGGTAGGCCTGTAATAAAGAGGGCAAAAGGAATGTAGAAAACACACTTCATTGCAACATGATTATAACACATACTTCAAAGGGGCCTTCGAAGGGACACCACCGTCCCGAGCGCGCAGCCCAGACCCAGAGAGGCACGGATATAAGAAAAGAAGACTGCCATTTATGAATGGCGAATTAGATGGAATAAGGATTCTTTCCTACACAGCTTCACCCTTTCCCCTGGATATTTACAACTAATGAGTGATCTACATTACCAGCATTACATCCTGTAGTGAGATCCTTCCGTTTTACTATCGGATCAGTGCACTGTCCTTTCTATTTTTGCCAGTAACTATTGTTATTATATTTTTTTCATTATTATATCTTTTCTATTTTTGGGTTCATACCCTCCTCATTTTTTTAACTTATTTTTTCATCTTTTATTTGGTTTTATTTTTTTTGCATGTTTTTCATGTTTTTTTTTATTTCTTCTTCATCTTGACTCACTAGATATCACAGCATCGTAGTGGTGGATCCACCTGAAAAACTCAAACACACTCAGCACCATATATATGGGATTCATGACGTGTATATTATTGTAAATAGTTTGAGATGTGTATATGCTATGAATTGCTCCTATGTGTACTATAGATGATTTTACGGAGAGATCATCAATTTGTCAGCAAATTCTATTTTTGGATGAATTAAATATAGTTAGTGTACAATAAATTACATTTTGCATATTGATATACTGATTCTGTTTTCTTATTCACATTTGATGCATTTTTGAGTCCGATATTAATATCCATATTTCTGAAGTGTGTATATGTTAGAAATTAAATGTTAACTTTACATTCCCTGCTAATTCTATTTAACATAGCACAATTTGCTGTAAGACCATAATGTCAGAGAAAGCAGATGCCCTAAACCAACATGGCGGCCCCGGCTCTCCGTACACTGTCTTGCCCTTCTCCAACATGGCGGCACGTCCGCCGCTTCTAGCATCCCTCCTGGCTTCCGCTAGCTACAATTTGGTTCCGCTATCCAGTGTCAGTCCCCTGGGCCCCGGACGATGTGACCCGGCCAGGGCCCGGGATGCTGTTACTTGGCTGCGGCCTCCCTCTGGACATGGAGAGCCAGGCCCTGGTAATCCGGATCCGCATTCCCGATGGAGGCGCCTTTGACTGGACCGTACAGCCGGCCACGACGCTCTTATTCCGGGACATCCTGGTGAGACAGGCTGCTCTGGCCTCACACAACTTTTTATTGACGTAACGGTGACGTCACATGACCCAATGTTTACATTTGCCTGAACCCATTGATCCTCAATGTTGCCCCATGACATAACATCTCAGGGTTATTTACTACATCAGGCTTTGTTGACAATTGGCTGGGGAATTGCAAGTTTTGCCCCAAACAGCCAACATTGAAGAATAGCTTAGTTTGAGATTATTTGTCAATTCAGATATGTTAACCTAAAATTGACAAATTCCCTGGTCAGTTCCTGGTTTAGTCAATAACTGTGTGTGGAAATGAACTCGTGATGAGAAGTGATTGTTATGATTGATAAGACCTATCAGTACAAGTGATTTGCCTACCCAGGTTTGTGTTTATATTCTTTTAATAGCTGTTAAAAATTGATTTATTTATTACATGGTAGTACATGATACAGTATTATTTGATAGCGTCAGTGGTGTTACCTTGTCTCCAATTTGAAAGAATGGGTAGTACAGGCCTAATTGGCAAGGTCATCACTAATTTCTTTATGGTAGGTATTGGTTGTGAGGTTGGCGGTAGTGCAGTCACCTAAATAAAGCTTATAGTTCCATACTGTTCTGTAACTCACTCACAAACATCATGACACAGTGATGAAATCAGGGTCTTCCTTTTTGAAGTGTGAGATAATTTGAGTAATTTCAGAAAAGGGGTAAATGTGCCATACTTTGGGCTATCGACTAAACTGTGAATTGTGGAAAAAAATAACCAAAGAATTGCAAATTTTAGTCCAAACCTAAACTGGAAACAATCTCCAACTCCTCTATCATCCAGCATGTCTATTTTGGCCTAAAATTTGTAGTTCCCTTGTCATTTCAACACATTTACCCTTTTAGTGAATAACCCCAGCTAGTAGTAAATTCAGAGATCAGTTCTATACTGCAATTATTTTTTTGACAGACTGCGGTTTAAAGTGCTTTTGGCATTCTTGAGGTTTTCAAAAAGGAAGAATATTTTTTAAAAACACAGGTTTGTTTGGATTGTCATATCACAGTGGCACTAAATAATTATACTAAGAGCACGCTATTTTTTTATTATGTACTTGCTGGAAAATAATTTTTATTATGTACTTGTTAGATGATGGCACAATGCAGCACTTAAATGAGTTCTCTTTAAATCTTGCCATTAGTGATGTCCCGAACGGTTCGCCGCGGACTCATCATTGAGTAAACTTTGACCCTGTACCTCACAGTCAGCAGACACATTCCAGCCAATCAGCAGCAGACCCTCCCACCTCCTGGACAGCATCCATTGTGAAGCTGCATTCTTAGTGAGCTGTCTGGGAGGGAGGGTCTGCTGCTGATTGGCTGGAATGTGTCAGCTGACTGTGAGGTACAGGGTCAAAGTTTACTCAATGATGAGTCCGCGGCGAACAGTTCGGGACATCACTACTTGCCATTTCCAATCAATCATCATTGTCAGCTGATGGGAAAAGGCAACTCTTGTACAAGAGAAGTCCTAGATCACCATTTTGTACACTTAGAAAGATGTTGCAGCTTCTGGTAGTTTCTGCCAATAACTGAAGAGGGGATAAGATAAGTACATTTACGTTCCACTTCACCCCTCAGTAGCTACCAAGCATTGGACATCTAACCGGATTTTGGGGTCTTTGCAGATTGTGGTATTGTCACTGGTGGGGTCTTTTTTGCAGTCTGTGAGAGGCAATTGAGATTTTCTCCCGCTGAGTGTTCTATCAGGCAGCCATCAGAAATAAAAATTTGGATCAAAAACAAAATACCAATATTCTCATGTTTTCCAGAAAAGGTAGATGGAAAGACCATATGCTCTGACTTTCAGAAGGATCACGGTGTATTTTCACGAAGGGGCTGGCTCTCTAAATTGCTCTAAATTTATTTATTTTTCCCTCTTTAGGATGTAATTGGGCAGGTGCTCCCAGATGCAACAACCACCGCATTTGAATGTGAGTATTATTTATCATGGTACCCAATAACAAGAAGTATTGTTTTTTTACTTTCGCAGATATGTTATTCAAACTCTTTGAAATATTATTGCATTTTTAACCAAAGCTATGTCTGGCTTGTTACAGTTATACTTCACAACAACATTATAGGGACACTAAAGGCACCCAGACCACTTCAGCTCATTGAAATGGTCTGGGTGCAGTGTCCCAGGCCTCTTTTGCAGTTTGTGATAAAGTGCAATGATTACCTTGCAGGGTTAAGTCCACCTCTAGTGACTGTCTACCAGACAGCCACTAAAGGGGCTTCCAGGTGGTTAGACGACTATTGGTCACCTTACTGACGCTTTGCATAAGGACATCCTGGGTTACCAAAAACCCCATAGGAAAACATTATATTCCTATGGGGCAAAGCCTAATGCGATTGCTGCGCATGTGCATTAAGTCCTCTAGGCCGGATGACATTGGTGGAGGAGTGGAGGCAGAACCTGAACTAGCCCTGAGGTACTGGAATCAGGCAAGTGTTAAAAAATGAGTTTTTAACCCCTTCAGCACATCGGGGGCGTGGGCGGTGCAAAGGGTGACATTGTAGGGAGCTCTAGTGCTAGGAAAACAACTTTTGTGTTCTTAGCACTATAGTTTCCCTTTAAGTAAAATAAGGGATAATTTTACTTTTGCATTGAGGAGCACATTATTGTCCTGTTAATCTGCTTCAGAAATATGTTTGCTTGATATACAATCAAGTCTAAAAAATGTTAGTAATTAATGACATTCCTGGAAAATTAGTACTATTTTGTTGATTTTATTTATACATTTCATGAACACTAGATAAAAAACTATCTGGAGTTGTAGACCGTTCTGTAGGTTGTCTGCTTTAGAATTAGTCTATTTAATATGAAGTTTGATATCGCGCTAAATTCAAATAATAAAAAAAATTGTTCTACTAGTTAGGTATTCACTACACTGGCTGATTCCTTGCACATTCTTTGGATTCTGCTGGCAAAAATTATGTGGGTTCATTTTACTTATGTTTCCATTTCTGTTTGTGATTGTTTTGATACATGTTTATTTAACTCATAACGGTCAGTGCAAGAATTCCGATTCCACATACACAGCCTGCTTTACAAACAATACTGCACAGGAAATAAGAGCTGTGTAGCCATGGCTAGTATGTTGGAATGCTCACTCTGGCCGACAGGCGTATAATTATCAACTATAAATACACTTGCAATTAAGAAGATATTTCATTTTAAATTAGTTTATTTATTTATTGCCTCGGTTTAGAGCATATGTTGATACACAATACAATATGCAAGATATTTGCCAAGTTAACTTAATCATTTTGAGTTGATGACAATACTTCATACTATTTTGAGTTGTAACTGCAAGTTGATCTAAAACTGATTATTTTTCATGTTTACAAAGTAGCACTACTATGTTTATTGAACAATTTTTTACTGTTTAGTGCAATTCAATGTACTTAATTGTACTCTGAGTTGCACAAAATAGTGCAATAAGCATAGTAGTGCTACATAACAATTCTGACTTCTGTTTGCAATAAATGCATTGTTGTATGTTTTGGGAAAACAAAAATCAAAAAAACACATTTACGAAATACACTGATTTGATGCACAAAGAGAGAGAAAAATTACCTGCAATGTTTCAAAAGATACATTTTGTGAGGGAAAGGCAATAGGAACTATAACAAAAGCAAAGGAACTGCGATGTTGAATGTCGATATTATTTTCATATATAATAAATATATACACACACACACATAAATGACTTATGGAGTATACAAATGAATTCCATATACAAAAATTATATTTCAAACCTTTCCTAACAGTGTTGTAACTGTCTCCTTCCCCCCTTATAGTATCACTAATATCTACATTTCCTATTATATGCCATCCTTTTCTGGGTTGGTAGTAACGCTGAAGTTGCACTGGAGAGGAATTGGTGCTAAAACAGCTACATGACTTTTTCCTCCAACTTAGTTTGAGTCTAGAAGTAATTCAGCTGAACTCATGGAAGCACCTACTACACTTTTATTAGAAGTTTAAATTAAGTGCTGGATATCTGCACCTGTTTTTGTTTGTGACCATTCCTCTAAAGTGACCTATTTTTAATAACTTTAACAGCTTTAACTTGTATTTTCTACTCTTGTTTTAGCAGAACATGGTCCTTCTTGTGCTCAGAAAACAAGGAATAAATATATTTCTAACATGTCTCTATGTCAGTAGGGGGTAAACCAACAAGGGACTGCACCGGATCTGAAAAGTAATTGTTTGTGGGTTTTCGCTATATTTCTGGAAAAGCTTCTGCTGGGCTCCACTGTAAATAAAGTTTAAGTGAAATTATAATGCTACTCAACATATCCTCTACCCTCTGGCATATATCTTTGAATTTAGTTTTTGTAAAAACCACATATTTGTTTTGTAGATGAAGATGAGGATGGTGACAGAATAACAGTTAGAAGTGATGAAGAGATGAAAGCTATGTTGTCGTATGTATGTATTTCCTTCTAGCTGTATCCCTATTATAACTTTTTCTAGTTTTTTTTTTTTTTAACACACAATAAATCAGAGTGTTTGGTGCCACTCTCTAATATCACTTAGTAACATATTTTTGGTATTTGGTAATCTATTCATTCGCACTAACTTTTGGAATACTCTGCCGGTTAATTTTGATGAAATCACAGACTGTGGTTACAGAATGACTGTTTGTAGTCGGCTGTTTTGTATTTAAAATCTTTTGACTTGCTTTTCTGTATAAAACTCTCTGTTAAAATGGGCCTGTTATTCACGAAATGTGTAGATGACAGAATGAGTTTTGGGTAAGTATACAGATTTAAACTAAATCTTGTGCTTGTGAAATTGTCAGGAAATGAATGATTTAATCAAAAGGTGTATTTACCTGAATATTGCCCCTGTGTGTCTAATATATGTGGCAACTGTATGTTGGCACCTATTTATAAAGGATGAGTAAAACTTCTTCTATAAACCCCTGTGGTTTCATTTATAAAAAGTCGCAAATGCACAAATGAAAATGCTGCGTAGCAGCTTTAATAAGCTCACCAGGTGTCTCCATTCGTGTTTTTAATGAATAGGGCTGCTTCTGTACAAGCCTGTAGCTATGTCCATTTATGGAATAAGCTCTTGAAGACTGTCAAGAGTAGTGAGCTTTGTATAGTGTGCACACTCTTACAAGCACTTGCACAGGCAGAGGGAAGACCAATATCAATGCACATAGGTCGGTTTAATAACTGCAGCAATTTATGAAAATCATTGGAGCTGTAAGCCGTGAGAGGCAGTAGAACTGGATAGAGAAACTACTTGCATCATATTCTATGCAAGAAACATAGATTTTGCTGGAGCATGGAGTGTTTAAGGGATGAAATAGTTGTAAAAGGAAGCAGTTTGTTGAAAAAGTTGAAGGATGGAAGACTGAGAGGCAATTTTTGTAATTATGTTGCATTATCAAAGCAAACATTAATTTAATTGACTACTGACATATATGCACCCCTATCACAGACCATGCAGTAATCACTCTCTACATTTGTCTCTACCCATCTTGCACCATTCTTTTGTTCCAGCCTGTTTGTCCAGCTACCTATATCTGCTTTTATTGCCAGTCTAGCCATATTTCCTGCCTTTCCCTGTCGGGTCCTGAAGATATAAATGATCTCCTATAACTTGGAGGGTTGGGGTCTCGCTTGATGTTTTTTAATGTGAGCTACACATTAGGAATAATCTCTCTTAATGACTTGTGCATTAGGTATCGTGCCGGATAAATGAACTATCAATTTCTTAGCTTTTTTTATGCAGTACTTAAAGTTACGGCTCATTGGTAATTAACCCCCTCCAGGCTGTCAGCTGCCTGTCCTTCTCATCCTAGTGGGATTGTTCACTTTCCTCCAGTTTACAACCGACTTCAAGCTGTAATAGTGAGGAACAAAAAGCTAGTACTTAAATCATATTAACTCCCCAATTCCACATTATGCAAATGCATTGTTGTACAATTGAGGCGGATACAGCTGTACCTCTGTAGGAGTGAGGCTGACACCATCCACTTGATTAAGATTGCATTGCTGTGTGCTTGAGGCTTTTTTACAAACATTACTCTATTTCCCAGATATACTAAATGTGTGTGCACATCTCGATAAATGGATATTGTTTTACGCACCTTAACTTTACTATTAACTGGAGGGTTCATCAACTCCACTGAGTGATTTGTCTCCACTGTATGTAGGAGAAATGGGCATAGTTTCTGCAGGCACATAAACATAGTTGGCGAGTACATAGTCTACACTGTGTGCTGGTGGCGGGTGCTTCTTCTCCCCTGTGTGCACGTGGTGGGTGCATCTTCTCCCCTGTGTGAGGGCGGCGGGTGCATCTTCTCCCCTGTGTGCGGGCGGCGGGTGCCTGGTCTCCTTAGAGGCAGGTGAATTGCTTCCCTCACAACATGAAGCAGTCCTATATAGCTGACAAACCTAGTGCTCCACTGTCCACAGAAAGTGGCTTAACCCCTGAAGGACACATGACGGAAATATTCCGTCATGATTCCCTTTTATTCCAGAAGTTGTGTCCTTAAGGGGTTAAGGATCCTCCGTTGTCCCAGAAGAGACTAGATGTTATTTATTAATTATTTTTCTTATCTTGCTAAAGCTTCCGAGCTGTGCTTAGGTGACATTACTTTGTTAAAAAACAACTTTTACAATTTTTTTATTCACAATCATATTCTATCCTTGCAGTATTGCAGTATGGTGCTTGAGCAGCAAGGCAGCAGTCCTCTGATTGAGCCTCTTCAGATCTATCCTCGAGGTACGTATTCTCTGTCCTGCGGGGTAACGGGCCTCTGGAAAGACTTGCATGTTTGGGATTTGATGGTGACTATACTACCCTACCCTCCACTTTTTGAAAAGTTTATTACTGCAAATTAGCAAATCTAAATACAAACTTATCAAACTAACTTTCATTTCTGAATTTCACACATACGATTATTGCGACACTGATTATTTACAATGAGTAATAGATCAGAAATGTTCTAATAGTGTAGCAGGCACCATGTTCCTGCTGATTGCTGGGCTTTTAAAACCTTTCTCTCTGCTTTTTAATGATGTAAATAACCATTATTGTTGACCACATTACATGAAAGTCTCCTATGAAGATGAGGATGGTGACAATCTGATAGTAATGTCAGTGTTGTAAATGAAGTAATAGATGGAGTTCTTATTTTGCATTGAAGAATGATGGAACTATTTATACATTCAAATAAAGCACCTATGTTGGGTAGAGATGCACTGGGCATCCTGCACTCATTCTGTAGGATTACAACTACCAAATTTGTGTTTTAATTTTTAAATGCTGTGAGTGGGCGCTGGAGGAAGTGAATTCCTGTAATGGTTTAGCGACAGAGCATGTAGAGCTAAAAAAAGTAACTAGATTTTATACCATGTGTTAAAAAGAGGGACAGGAATTCTACATAATCAGAGGCTTTCTAGCAATTAGGAGCACACCACCTTACACACACAGGTCGTATAGCTCACCCAGCGTAGTTATTCACAAGGTGCATTTGCATGTACACCAGCCTCACGCCTGACAAACATTTACGCACGCAGTCTGCAGTAACAAAAGCGGGAAGCCCTGCACCTGTTCCCCGCTGCCCGCCCGCGCTGATACATTACTTCACATCTTGCTGCGTTGCACAAAGGCTTATTGATGTGTGCAGTAATTATAGAGTGCGTGACGATTGTTAATAGCTGGGGCACAGCACACTCTTCGCTGACACAGCAGGGGTTAAATATGCAATCCACCGAGACAGAGCAGGGGGCAAAATTGTAATTCTTTACTTCAAGACAATCAATCAAAATTGACAGTGACTTTAACAACAATTTGTGGCGTGCAGGGGACGTCAAAAGGGAACAGCCTGCTCCATGTGAGCCAAGACCTGTAAGCGTATTTATAATCATAACAGCGATCACAGAGACTGACAGACAGTGTTAGTTTAGGGTGCCTCAGCTGCACGAATCTTTGGCCTGCAGAGCTTTCACTCTGTTTTCAGTAACCATTTGCTCATGAATATACACTCATCACAGAGTATGTTCTATCTTCTGTTCCTCTTCATTGGGGCACCATTACCCAGTGGGTACCAGTTCTTACCTTATACAGTCATTTAATGTATTTTAAAGCAGGGTGGGTATTGTCTCAATACCTGCATTTGGCTGTTATATTTACAGGTGGGGCCTAATGCCTCTGGCACTCAAAATGTTAACTCAAGATTGCGCCATTTCAGAGATACAGTATGTCCTCATTTATTTTCTCCAATCCCTGAATAGTACTATTGACCCCACAAAGCATAGAGAGTCGTATGGGTTTAGTTGACGTATATCTGCTCTCTGAGATGGAATCCCACAAAAGATATAGAAGGTTTTCCTTATTGCAGTTATGTAATAGTCACATTACAGATTCTGTCTAGGGGTCAGCATTAGTTATATCTGCTCTGTCTGTGTGTCAGTGCTTAGATATGACTGTGAAATGTAAGGCTGCTGTCTGTGGCCTTTAATGAGACCAGACTGCCCTTTCCAAGAGAGATATTAGGGACATTTAATAACAAGCAGTATACTGACAGACAGCACATGGAGAGTATCCTGGATATTAATATGAATAGTCTTTCCTTCCTATTGCAAGGAATTCCCAGTATTGCAGCACCTGCTCCAGAATGTGGAATTAAGGGCAGCACACAATCAGTTTTAGCTTACAGGGAGGGTGTGTGTGTGGTTTTTATTATGTATTTTAAGCAGAAATTAGAATTTAGATGAGACTGTGTCAGGAGGGTTTGTGATTTCACAGAAAGGATCCTGTCTTCTGGGACCCTTCTCTCTCTGCTCAGAGAGCCTCTCTTCAATCATTCCTTGCTGCTAATTTTGGTGTCACTCTCATTTCTTTTTAAACGATTCATTTCAAAAGAGGGGGGGAGGTTGGGATTGTAAATGGCCCCGATGTGATCTACAATTTAGTCTATTACTGTTGCAGCCTGTAAGCCTCCCGGGAAGCGGAACATACATGGCCTCAAGGTAGGAATTTCAATAATTGTTTCAGTAAAGTTGGATGGATTTGAAATGCTGTGTTCCACTTATTGAAATGTCAAAAAAAACACTTCCAACACTGCTGACAACTAGAAGTTACATTTCCAGGCAGAAATGGTAGGTGCGAGTACAGAGGACACTAAATAAATAAAATCCACGCAAATCTATAACCATGTTCTGGATTTCTTCTTTTTTTTCTTTCCCCGAGCACATATTAACCTCTTGCCTGCAAAGTTGTAAGTACTGGGTACACAACAATGTAATGAGACAACATACACATTGTAAATGGTGGAACCCTTAGAATCCCAGTAGGAATCATAGCTCTGCAGGTTTAGATAAATTGGTTGGTAGTATATCCTGTAGATATGGAGTAGTCTGCAAGTAGATATCCATATGTGTATCCATAATCTGTAATGCTCAGTAATCAGGCTTAAAGAAAAGGAATTTGATGGCTGATCATAACAGTAGGGAAGAGCTGAGTTGGCTACCTCTGATAAATAGTGATACACAAACATGTTATTATCAAGACATAAGGAGAGAATTTTTAAATTATTGTGACTGCTAAGCCTCCACTGTACCCCACAAAGGGTGTCCTTTTATATTAATCATGACTGTTTACCAGGAACAGGGTGGGCAACCTTCGGCACACCAGATGTTATGAACTACATTGCTCATAATGCTCTTACAGCCATAATGCGGGCAAAGCATCAGGGGAGATATAGTCCATGACATCTAGAGTGCCTAAGGTTGCCTAACCCTCTTCTAGGAGAACATTGAAGTTAAATCTGCTGGAGACATATGTAGAGAGAGCTGACAGGTTTGCTTAAAGCACATCTGCTTATTCATAGGCCTATTAAATGTACAACATTTTGTAATAGTATTTGCATACATGAGGCTTTCAAAGGCTATTTGAGATGATTCTTATTTCACTACCTTTAGTTCTGAGTATGTGGCTGGATGTTTAAGATCAGTTGTGGTACTCTACTTTAGAAGGTCATAATGTCACAAAATAAAGCCAGTTTCAGGAGGGGCAGTCTCTATTATGGGCTCAAATCTCTGTCCCTCTTTTTCATCCTAATGTCCCTCTTTTGTGGGAGCTCCATTTTGTTGGTGTGTCTAAATGTATAACAGAGCTCCACCGAAATAAAACGCTCAAATGTGTCTTTAAACTACAATAAATGTGTTAAGAAATCAGTCTGTGTTAATAAGATACTTTGTTCTTGTTCTAAATTACATTTTAAAAACTGGCCCTTGGCCTACTCACCCCCACTCACACCTATAAAGTGTCCTTCTTTTTACTATTTGAAATGTGGGCTGGTATGGCCTAAAACAATTGGCATAAAACCATTAGTTTCTTGTAAATATCTCTAGATCTTCCTGCAGAGCCAAGTCCATGCTAGAGGATTGCCCCGATTTCTGAGTGCTTTTTGAAATAATTTAATTGTGAGCCATGAATTTCATTCTGTGTCTAAAACTGATATTTATATTGTATTCTTTTTTTTGTGAGGTAACTCGAATGAGCTTGACTTTTCTTTTTTCTTTTTAACGCGGTTTCTGTTTAAAGGTAAACACCAGGGCAGGACCGTCCAGCAACAGCAGCCCCTCTGTGTCAGACAATCTGCCCAGCAATAGGTGAGTGTGCATGAAAGGCAGTTGCTGTTTGGTGTCACTTTGGTTTTGAGCTGCATCACCCTGAGGCTGTGTGAAAAGCAGCAATAGCAGGTTTTGTGTGGTTCTCAAAACCAGAATGTTTGAAAGTGACTAGCGAATTGATGCAGTAAATAGAAAGTCGGAGAGGAAACATGTAGTGGCTAATCATGTGGACAAAGCTCAGCTTGGTTATGGTGTGAAACTATAAAATTTAGCAGAGCTCTGGAATTTGAAAAAAAAATCATTAATAGTATTTTTGCAGAATAGCATTTTGTTGAACATTATGCACAACAATGTAGAATACGTTGGAGTGCTATATACGGCAAACCTCTATACATACAATGAGCAGTGCTATAGGGAAAGTGTTCACATGTCATGGATTGTTTGTCTTCCCCAAATATAATCAAGATTGAACATATAGCAAAGGAACTAGACTTCCTATACAGTAGTGTAATTTATAACTGTTACATTGTATACTTCTAATAGCATAGAAATCATATTGGTTTCTCTGCACATGCTAAAGGAGCACTAGGATTTGTCACTAGTGATGGTACATGGAGATGTGAGTGAAAGGTAAATGTCATGTTGGTGGTTAGTATTCATGTACAATACAAGGGTGTGTTTGACCTAGCAGTTTGCCTGTGCTGCTCTGCTAAGCATGTGATTTTACAAGGTTAATGTCCTCCCTTTTATTTTATTTTTTTTGTTCCTAGCCTGAAGAAATCCTCTGCAGAGCTCAAGAAAATCTTGGCCAATGGGCAGGTAGGCCTCACGCTGTTAAAAAGGTGCCAAGACTGAACCCTCTAGGGCAGTACTTTTCAATTCAGTCATCACACACACCAAACGTCCTGATCTTGTCAACATCCCCATTGAAATTCTTAGGAATTGCCTATATCTTGGACATTTGGTGTGAATTGAGGACTAAGTTGAGAACCACTGCTCTACGGTTAGATTACATTAATTATGGTTTGCAACAGTAATTTGTTGATTTGAAATTAACCATGATTGATTCATTTGCTAATGCTCTTCTTCATAATCTTTATAGGGACACTATAGTGACCGAAACAACTACAGCGTAATGTAGTTGTTCTGATGAGTATAGTCATTCTCTGTAGGCTTTTAAATTTAAACACTGCCACCTAGGCCACTAGCACCTCTAGTGGCCACTCCTCAGACGGCTACTAGAGTTGCTTCCTGAATTTTCCCCATAGAGGTGCATTGATTCAATGCGTCTCAGTGAGGAGATGCTGATTGGCCAGGCTGACATTTGGCCCCTCCCCTGTCATGCCTCCTTGACAATCTTAGCCAATCCAGTGCTTTGGATTGGCTGAAATAATTCTGATGATGTCAGCCATATATGTAGATCGGGAACAGGGCCTGCGCCAGCGCTGAAAATAAGGTGAGCTTTCTTACCTTGTAAGGGTGGGGAGCAAGGGGAGGCCAGCCACCTAAATGGTGGTTTTAACACGATGGGGTCAGGAATAAACGTTTGTGTTTCTGACCCTATAGTGTTCCTTTAATTAAATGATTATCTTGAATATACTGTCATACAGACATCATTTTGCCTCCATTGTTAAAGTCTGTTTTACATTGCAAGACTGGTAAATATATTAGAAATCAGGAGTATATGACTGAAGTGAGAAGGATTGCTTTACACAGATATCTGTCATTCCCAGCTAACTTTTTAGACAAATGTGAGTTTGTCATGACACCACATTTTCTAAGAAATTTTTATTTTGAAGAATTAACAATTTTGATGTAGATGTAACAAGTGCTGGTCTGGGTCCGTTGCCACGTGGAGGCAAGCGTGGAAGCGGTGCATGTGATAACCAACAGGGTCTCTCTCTGTCTGAGCTCTAGGGAGGCAGCTGCCCGATGCTATCAAGCCTGCCTATTAGGATCAATTGGCCAAGACATCTGTGTCAGTGCAAATAAAAGGGTCTTATTGATTTCCTAACTGCTGCTCACTTCTCCTCCTTGTTCAGAAGCTTGAAATCTTAATTATCTCAGCGTCTTCCCTGCGTGACCCCTCCAAGACTCATCGGCATTTCATGAATCAAGCCGTCATAGTTGAGCGTGTCAAGAAGACAATTAAGCGACCCCTCCTTTCCCCCCTCTGTCTTTTACTCTCCACACCCACTACACGCACACATCTATCACTCTGTCTCCTTTCACTTTATCTGAAACCACTTAATCAGAATGGACACAGACTTTTCCTAGCAGGGATAACGAAACTTCCTGGTAAAGTACAGAATACAGATACCAAAACATTCAGGACACAAATACCTTGGGACACATGACATATTATCTTTATCCAACTCAAGTACACATACATCAGTACACACCTCAGAGACCCTTTCTTTCCCACACCTCAGAGACCCATACACATACATTTTGCATTTAAATGCAAAGATCGGCGGCACGTTGTTTTTTCCCCCTATCAATTTGTAAGCATCGTATACATATTATAACAGTATAGACATATTGCATACATCAAAAACATTGCAGGTGGCCAAAGAGGGCATACATTTGAGAGATGTGGCTAGAGGGAAGGTCTATTACAGAATATTTTAGATGATTCCATGACCAGTTGATCTATCTAATTGAAAAAAGTAATTAAAATAAAGCCCTAATGATTTATTTATGCAAACTACATTTAAAAATTAGTAATATTCATTCAAATTTTATTACTGTGAAGCTCTCTTTTACTAACATACATACATTACTGTGAATTTTATTACTGGGCAGTTTAGAAAATGCCCCAAAAAGATTTGAGTAGTGTTATTTCATCAGAAGCATGGGAGTCTTTTTCATGTCTTAATTTTTGTATACTCTTCAGACATTTTAAATATGCTCATTTGGGAAACAGATCTCTCACTCGGATCCACATACACATTCAGTATACATACCCCTCAACCATCTGATTAAACAGTACCTCCTGTACTGCTTTATCTTGGTATGGGAGATATATACTATTTGTTAGAATGTTGCATATCATTGATTTTAAACTTGCTTACGTAGCGCGTTTATCCAGAAGAATAACTCTCTATATACTGGATTTTACTGCAATACAATGGTGTGAAATACATCCGCTCATAGCAACTGAAAGGTTAATATCACTCCTTATTAATCATTAATAGAAAACGAGAAGCCATTCTTCAAGTTAATCAGATATTGACATGTCAGGAATAGCGCTGTAACACAGCATTGATACAGGTTATGTGATATAAATATTTATTTCTTTTCTGTCACTCTGAATGAATACCAGTATTGATTCCTTATTGATAAGTGTCAGCACTTGATAGGAAGCATTGTCGCCAGTTCCCTGAGTCTCGTGTTTGTGCCAAATTTACTGTCTGAGCTCAAGATGCTGCAACTTTCAAATCTCCCATAGAAATGTTACTGACAAATATTATCCTGTTAATTCAGAATATTGTTTTCTTAATGTGGGTCATTTTTATATAATCTGATATTTTTAAGGAAAATTCACTTTGTCTAAGCAATTATTCTAATTTTCATAGACTTTCTCTTAAAGTTCAAGTCGAAATAAATAAATTTACTTTGTGTTTAAGAAAAAGACAGGCCTATTCAATAGCAACCCTGATTTTACTTTGGAGCCAAGAGAGATGTATACATAGAATCTTGTATTTAAAACATTAAAAGCTGCAGTATCTTTGTTTAGGAAGCATAGGTTTCTGGATTTTGGAATTTATCAAGCCATTGCTCTTCCTCTCTCACTAAAACTTTCAATCTCTCCCTTTCCTCCGGCACATTTCCTTTGCCCTTCAAGCATGCAACTGCAATGCCGATTCTGAAAAAGCCCAACTCCCCATCCAACTACCACCCTATATCGCTACTGCCGTTTGTCTCCAAGATCCTTGAGAGAGTTCTGTATGCAAGATTGACAGACTTCCTCGAATCCAACTCTCTGCTTGACCCGCTTCAGTCTGGATTCCGTGCTTGTCACTCTGTTGAAACAGCTGTCACCACAGTATCCAACGATTTAATCTCTGCTAAATCTCGTGGCCATTACTCTATCCTAATTCTCCTTGATCTTTCTGCTGCCTTTGACACTGTTGATCATCAGCAGCTTCTTCTTAGTCTCCGTAACCTCGGTCTACGAGATACTGCTCTCTCCTGGTGCTCCTCCTACCTCTCCCAGCGCTTTTTCAGTGTTTTTTTTTTTTTTTTAATGGCTCTGCCTCTTCTCTCCAACCCATCTCTGTTGGCGTTCCTCAAGGTTCTGTCCTTGGTCCCCTATTGTTCTCAGTGTACACTGCGTCCTTTGGTAAACTCTTCAGCTCCTTTGGCTTCCATTATAATTTATATGCCGATGACACACAAATCTACCTGTCTTCTCCTGATCTCTCTCCGCCCATCTTGACTCGTGTCTCTTACTGCCTCTCTGCGACTTCCAACTGGATGGCTTCTTACTTCCTTAAATTCAACCTGTCCAAAACAGAACTTCTGGTCTTCCCTCCCTCAAGTGTTGCTACTCCCGTGTATGTCTCCATCCAACTCAATGGCGCCACCATTACCTCTACCTCACAGGCTCGCTGCCTAGGTGTTCTCTTTTACTGCGACCTCTCCTTCACCCCTCATGTCCAGTCTATCGCCAAATCCTGCCACTTCCATTTCAAAAATATAGCTTGCATCCGCCCCTACTTAACACCAGACAAAGCTATGGTGCTGGTCCATGCCGTTGTTCTTTCTCATCTTGACTACTGCAATGCCTTTCTCAGTGATCTTATATGTTCCCAGATTGCACCGCTGCAGTCTATAATGAAAGTGGCGGGGAGGCTAAATTTCCTGTCCGCGCCCCCGCACCTCCCACGCCTTCCCACTCGGTCAGGTTTTCTTCTTCTTTTTTTAAATGTCGTGACACATTAGTAAAGTGGAACAGTCATACATTGTCGTGGCTTGCGCAGAAGCCAATATCAATATGATCAAATGCACTTTTTACGCGTGACAAGTATGTGCACAATCTGTCACAATTTTACATCTTTATATAAAGAAAATAGAACTACATAAAAAAAACTTTAGAAAACATAGGTACCATTGAGTTAAGCATTGGTAATATTGTCACTTGACATCCACACGGGCCATTGCGTGTTGTTTCAGATCCAGGCCCAAGCCCCGCCTGTTTGCACCTCCGGGCGTACCCGGGACATGGCTCCTTTATGTTCTGTAAGCTATGACCCTCACCCGGTTCTACCCCGGAGCACCCACCCGGCAAGCCGCTATCGTCCACCGCTGTCCCATCCCGGCCCCCACCCCACCTGTCACCGTTTCTGTGTCAGTGGTGGGCCCCCATGGGTGGATACTAGCATCTGTTGGCTAGCTGCGTTACTGGTCAAGTGTACCATGTGGCCCTCGAGCCGGTCCTGCTTGATGACTAGATCAACGGTTCGTGTTCCCCACCTGTACCCACGTCAGTACGCTCTTATGTAGTATGCGGTGGGATAGAGGTGTGACGGTGGGATAGAGGTGTGACGCAGTATGCAAGGGGTTGGATAGAGGTGTGACGCAGTATGCAAGGGGTGGGATAGAGGTGTGACGCAGCATGCGAGGGGTAGGATAGAGGTGTGACGCAGCATGCGAGGGGTAGGAAAGAGGTGTGACGCAGCATGCGAGGGGTAGGAAAGAGGTGTGACGCAGCATGCGAGGGGTAGGAAAGAGGTGTGACTCAGCATGCGAGGGGTAGGAAAGAGGTGTGACGCAGCATGCGAGGGGTAGGATAGAGGTGTGACGCAGCAGGGTAGGATAGAGGTGTGACGTATGCGAGGGGTGAGATAGAGGTGTGACGCAGCATGCGAGGGGTTGGATAGAGGTGTGACGCAGCATGCGAGGGGTGGGATAGAGGTGTGACGCAGCATGCGAGGGGTGGGATAGAGGTGTGACGTAGTATGCGAGTGGTGGATAGAGGTGTGACGTAGTATGCGAGTGGTGAGATAGAGGTGTGACGCTAGAGGTTATGCGAGGGGTAGGATAGAGGTGTGACGCAGCATGCGAGGGGTAGGATAGAGGTGTGACGCAGCGAGGGGGGGTAGGATAGAGGTGTGACGCAGCATGCGAGGGGTAGGATAGAGGTGTGACGCATAGAGGATGTGACGCAGCATGCGGTGAGATAGAGGTGTGACGCAGCATGCGAGGGGTAGGATAGAGGTGTGACGCAGCATGCGAGGGGTAGGAAAGAGGTGTGACGCAGCATGCGAGGGGTAGGAAAGAGGTGTGACGCAGCATGCGAGGGGTAGGAAAGAGGTGTGACTCAGCATGCGAGGGGTAGGAAAGAGGTGTGACGCAGCATGCGAGGGGTAGGATAGAGGTGTGACGCAGCAGGGTAGGATAGAGGTGTGACGTATGCGAGGGGTGAGATAGAGGTGTGACGCAGCATGCGAGGGGTTGGATAGAGGTGTGACGCAGCATGCGAGGGGTGGGATAGAGGTGTGACGCAGCATGCGAGGGGTGGGATAGAGGTGTGACGCAGCATGCGAGGGGTGGGATAGAGGTGTGACGTAGTATGCGAGTGGTGAGATAGAGGTGTGACGTAGTATGCGAGTGGTGAGATAGAGGTGTGACGTAGTATGCGAGTGGTGAAATACAGGTGTGCTGTTGTATGTTAGAGGAATGGGATATAGGTGTAATGTAGCTTGTGAAGAAAAGTATAGAAGTAGGCTGATCAGCAACAATAAAACCACCTGCCTAATATCATGTAGGCCCACATCGTGCTGCCAAAGCTGTTCTGATGCATCGAGGTATATACACCACAACACCTCTGAACGTGTCATATGGTATTTTGCATCAAGACATTAGCAGCAGATCCTCCATGGATCGGATTTGTTGTTGGAGTACATCCCACAGATAATCAGATTGAGATCTGGGGAATTTGGAGGTAAGGAAATAATTTGAACTCTCTGCCATGTTCCTCAAACCATTCCTGAGCAATTTTTGCGGGGTACATTATCCTGCTGAAAGAGGCCAAGGTCATCAGGAAACACAATTGCTCTGGGGTGTACTTGGTCTGCAACAATCTCTAGGTAGGTGGTATGTGTCAAAGTAACATTTACATGAATGCCAGGGCCCAATATTTCTCAACAGAAATTGCCCAGAGCAAAACACTGTCTCCATCGGCCTGCCTTCTTTCTATAATGCATCCTGCTGGCAACTCTTCCCGCATCCGCACCCGGCCATCCACCTGATCTAAAAGAAAACGTAATTCATCAGACCAGGCATCCTTTATCGATTGCTCCAAGGTCCACTTCTGTCGCTCACGTCCCCATTGAAGACACTTTTGGTGGTTGATAGGGGTCATCGTGGGTATTCTGACCAGTCTGTGATTACGTTGCCCCAAATGCAGCAAACTGCAAGGCGCACAGTGTTTTCTTACAACTCTATCGCGGCCATTTTTAAGTATGTCTGCAATTTGAGCTACAGTAGCTATTGGACCAGATGGGCTAGCCTTCCCTCCCCCCCACAAGGATCAATGAGCTCTGGGCACCCATGACCCGGACTCCGGTTAACCGGTTGTCCTTCCTTGCAACACTTAACCACTGCATACCGGGAGCACACCACAAGATGCTCTGACCAATCGTCTAGCCATCACTATTTGTCCCTTGTCAAAGTCCCTCCGTTCTTTATGCTTGTCCATTTTTCTTGTTTCCAATGCATGAAATTCAAGAACTGACTGTTCACTTGCTGTGTAATATATCCCACCCCTTGAGAGGTGCCATTGTAACAATATAATGAATGTTCTACACTTCACCTGTCAGTGGTTTTAATGTTGTGATCTGTGTATGTGTATATGTATGCAATATATATACATTTTTATTTATTTAACCTGTCATTTAGTTTTAAAAATATGATAGTTTATCACTTTCTCGTAGAGCAGATGAGTGTTTGATATTAGAGATCCAGTACCGATGATCCAGTAAGCTTCCATGGATGTGATGTATTAAAGAGGATATAATAGGCTTCCTGCAGGCCTTTCTGGCAGTGAAGTGGTTTACATGGCCAAAAGGGGTGAACCTGTTTCACAGGGTTGAAATGTGCAGAGTGGAATGAGAAAGGACAGGCAAGGCCAAACAGAGGGTAGCTAAAGTTGTATAATATATTTCTCTTTTAGAACTGCTAGTACATGTTTACAGTATGTATTTTAGCATGTCTGTGTACATATATCCATCACACCTATTATCCACTGGGGCTTGGCAGAATATGTGTTAAATAGCCTGACCTGATAAGATAACCACCCATTGGGGCTGCTGAATATCCCCCACCCCTCCCCTGCTTTGACCCTCCGCACCTCTGCTATATCATCCCAGCCTGACACCTTTTATCAAACTTTAATGAAATGACCCAGGCAAACAAATTGTCATTAAACTTTCCATCACTCTGTCCCTTGGTATCACCTTTTATAAATTGGACGGCAAATGTTGTATTGATCTTGCTGTTCTTGCAGCTGAACTTGAAATGACCTGGGCCCTGGGTTGTTTATGGCCCCACATTGCTTTTCCCTGACACTTTACATCGAGAGCTTGACACATTGTCCCACTGTCACTCAATTCACTCACTCCCTCATTTACCCATTATATTCCACTCTGCCTCTTCTTAGCATCTGTCTCTCATACCAACCTTCATTCACTCATGGCTTCTCGATCCACATTGCATGGTTTCTATCTCATTATCTCTTTCCTGCTTCGCAGCTCACGCACTCCAACTCTCATTATGACCTTCTCATTAACTTATACTCGCCTTTTCATATTCTCTAGTTGATACGATGCTATACTGTATTTGCTTCTTGCACTCTTTTTCCACTACTCTTTTCTCTCTTCTCACCAGTTCACATTCTCCCTTCCCCATCTCACTGGCATGGTGATTACACTCCATTTGCCAATCCCATGTTTTTATCCAAAGTTCCTCACTCTCTGCCTCTTGCTCTGCTCATCACCTTGCCATGTTTTTACTTTCTGTCTTTTGAGCCTTCAGTTTTTTTGTTCTTTTTTAGTACTTTCCCTCTCTAATTCTCCAATTTTAATCATCCTCTTTCCTACCTTTCACCTCTTTCGCTTATCATCACGTCCTTATCTGTCCCATGTAATTTATGTCTGCTTATGATTCTTATTCCCAGGCTTCCTGTTATCTTTGTTAATCTATAATTGTCAAAATACATCTTATTCTTGGTTGTCTGATTTACTTACATTTGCTCATTATCTCTTCCTACAGATAAACGAGCTTGACATTCAGTATCGTGACATTCTCGGTCATGGAAATGGGGGGACTGTGTATAAGTGAGTATTGGCCCTGTGTACAGACTTGACATGTTTTGGTGTGAATTGTAATGGTACACAACTATGGGGCTACCATAGACAGCCCAGGAACGAAAGCCAGCCAAATTCTAATGGCATCTGTGATGTCACATTGCAAAGGATAACAAAACAATGTGTGAAAATGTAAGCAATGTTACCATACTCTCCATACAGGTTTGCCTTCCTTTTGAGCCATATGGATCAAACTTATATAGCAGCCATCCTCTTCACCATCATTTAAGTCTGGAATAATTTATTTACTATGTCTAAAGATCAAGTTGTACGCAGTTCTACAGTATCAAAGTGGCGTTTTTAAAGGAATACTTCCCTTTGTTTTTATTCATTTGAAATTCACCTGAGCTTTTCAGTTGTACATAAGAAATGATGGAGAATGCTTTTTCAGAAAGGGAGCGTGTTCTTTGGCAATGGGCAGAGTTTAACCAGAGTGCCATTTCAGTTGCTAAGGTAATTTACCCACTATGCATCAGTCAAAAGGATCCCGTGGAAAGGCAAACTACAGATATCATGGACAGAGGAGAAGAAAATGGAGGTGCCCAGACATTGAGCACAGGGGCGCAAAGAAAAAATATTATATTAGTAAATGAGAGCAGGGGTGGTTTAAAAAAGGGACTTGTGGAAAGGAGAACCGAAAGGGGCAAAATAAAAATACCACAAAGCATTAATCAACCCTTTTAAGTTGGGAATTACATTTTAATATGCTTAAAACCCTAAACAATGTAAATGAAAAAAAAAAAAAAAATGTTCGTAAAATTTTTTTATTTTTTTTTTAGTAATCTGCGCTCTACAAAATGCTGCCCCCTCTAATATTCATCCTAAATACTCACTAAACATACACAACAAATTTAAAGGTACTGAAACCAGTAGAGAGGAACAGTAAATAATCAGGTTCCCTGCCTGTCCTTTAACTGTAATTACAAAAGTTATGGGACCAAGTAGATGCTGTCCAACACAACAGAGACACTGAACAACTTGCCAGTCCACAGCATAAGAAAAACGTGGCTTTTAATTCATTGTCTTTTTGATCTTTAGGGTCACAGTGGTGTGTGTGTGTGTGTGTGTGTGTATCTATGTATATGTATATATATATATATATCTATATCTCTTTAATGCTGCCTAGATTTTACCTACCTAAGAAGAATGTCCTGATAAAAAGGCAAAGTCACTCATAGAAAGCAGATATGTCAACATACTTTTAAAAGCATGTGCAGTGGTAGATTCTGTGTGACTGTATGGCTGGCTGAGCTTCATGGTATTTAACAGTCCACAACAGCTTCATTGTCTGTTTGCCTTTATTGGTGTGATGTGTATGTCTATGTGTTGTTGGTGTATATGCGTGTGTCTTAGTGTTGTCAGACAGCGTAACACTTTGCTTACATACGCAAACATTAACACACAGTCAGATCTGAAGCCGGACTCAGCAGCTTCTGTGTTGAAATATGGCTGCCATTTATTGATTTTTTTATTTTATTTTTCTGAGCTCAATTGGATGAAAACTTGTTTGTGTAGCAATATTGGCCTGTCCAGTACCCAGAAACAATACTCTCCATGCTTTGTAATCACCAGCCTGCTTCCCAGGGATAATAACATTGCTGTAAAGAGGAAAAGAAATCAAGCCACACAGACCTCATCACACATGATATACCAGAAGGGATCTGACCTCCCACCCCACTCAATTTTTACCAGTTAACCCTTTTATGTCTGAACATTAAATTATTTATGGATTTTACCAGTGTAAGGAGACCTGTGACATACCCTAAAGGAGGCTCAGCCACAGTCTGTTACCATAAAACCATACAACTTAATTACCCCACTGAGTCTACCTCATTCCATCCAGACTAAAGGCCCCTGTCCTTTTTTTTTCTTTAACACTTAGTAAATAAAGTAATACTTCCTGATATTTTTAAACCTTTACCCCTCTAATTTAGGACTATGTCCTCTTGTTCTGGTAGTTCTCCTTCTTTTAAATATAGAAACATAGAATGTGACGGCAAACGTATATTTTTTGCAAGGTCAATATGGCAATACACTGTTGTTTGCTAGAAAATGAATAATAATTAAAAGTAATACTAATACTTTTCATATTAAAATGCTTAGAAAACAAAGCATAAATTTGGATACCACTGTGAGAGTCATAGCAAGGCTTACTTTATGAAATGAGAGGTATATAACTATTAAATGTAAATCAAGCTAGGAAGTGTTGTGTGCTACTAAGACCTTTAAACTATTAAGAACCTAAATAGTTTATAACAATATGTAGAAATGTAAAAAACCAAGGCCACTGGTATGTTTTGGTTGATCCCAGGGTCGTGAGAGCATTAAATGACTAACGATTCTTCTCTCTGCATTAGGGTGTCAGTTGGTTAATCATAACTGCAGGCAAAGATTACATTAGCATTGTTTTGTGCTTAGGTAAGTGTTGTAGGCACTTAGATAACCAAGTAACCATATTATTGTCTTCAAAAAAGAAAATGAACAAAGGAATAACTTGTACCATTAAACTTGCACATTTTTCTAAGATAAGATTTTGTCCTTGGCCCCTATTAGGTTGTCTGCAACTATCTTCCACAAGATGTCTATTTTATTTGAGCTTCATAACAGGAGCAATATTGGAAATGTATACCCAATGATGCATTGAGGGAATCAACAGCTTTTGTATTGCTCTATTGATCATCTCTGTATAGTTAATCATACTTCCCTGTAGAGCCTTTCTATAGATCCTTGTATTGCCCCATTGAGTCATTCTGTTCATATAATCACTCCCAAGTAACTCCATTTTTATAACACATTATCTTACTCTGTATAACTAGTCTCTAACTTCTATAGCTTCATTTCTTCAGAGTGCACTTTTTAATAACTCTTGCAGCTCTGTGTAACACCTTGCTTTGTTCCAAATATTTGCTTCCTGTAGTAACTATCATAACAGTGTTCTAACAAGAGGCTACTGAATCTATAGAATGTAGGGAAAAGGTAAGCTGACATAACACATTGCCCTCTCAATGTAACTGTTGCCTTTAACTTCTTGTTATAATAGCTCACCTTATACCATTTAACCATTACTTATTATCCCTATAACCACATTGTCTTGTTCTATTTATAATCTCCCTATAGTCCTATATCATAATACCTTTATGTAACTAGTATTCCTAGTCCTTTATTCTGTTATTTTGCCTTGCTCCTTTTTACTCATGTCTTTAACTCCCTATAATACCTTTCAATGCTTCATATAACCAGTGCCCATTACCCCTTGTTATCACACACTTTGATCAGTTTGTACCTCTCCCTATAACCCCCTTGTTAAAACAAGTTACTTTGCTCCATGTAATTACTACCATAATCCATCTTATTGACCCATATAACCACTTCCTATACACCTTGCTCCTTGCTCACTTGGAGTATTGTACACAGTACTGGAGACCGTATCTTCAGAAGGATATTGATACCTTAGAGAGGGTTCAGAGAAGGGCTACTAAACTGGTTCATGGATTGCGGGATAAAACTTACCAGGAAAGGTTAAAGGAGCTTAACATGTATAGCTTGGAGGAAAGACGAGACAGGGGGGATATGATAGAAACATTTAAATATATAAAGGGAATCAACACAGTAAAGGAGGAGACTATATTTAAAAGAAGAAAAACTACCACAACAAGAGGACATAGTCTTAAATTAGAGGGACAAAGGTTTAAAAATAATATCAGGAAATATTACTTTACTGAGAGGGTAGTGGATGCATGGAATAGCCTTCCAGCTAAAGTGGTAGAGGTTAACACAGTAAAGGAGTATAAGCATGCGTGGGATAGGCATAAGGCTATCCTAACTACAGGGAGTGCAGAATTATTAGGCAAATTAGTATTTTGACCACATCATCCTCTTTATGCATGTTGTCTTACTCCAAGCTGTATAGGCTCGAAAGCCTACTACTAATTAAGCATATTAGGTGATGTGCATCTCTGTAATGAGAAGGGGTGTGGTCTAATGACATCAACACCCTATATCAGGTGTGCATAATTATTAGGCAACTTCCTTTCCTTTGGCAAAATGGGTCAAAAGAAGGACTTGACAGGCTCAGAAAAGTCAAAAATAGTGAGATATCTTGCAGAGGGATGCAGCACTCTTAAAATTGCAAAGCTTCTGAAGCGTGATCATCGAACAATCAAGCGTTTCATTCAAAATAGTCAACAGGGTCGCAAGAAGCGTGTGGAAAAACCAAGGCGCAAAATAACTGCCCATGAACTGAGAAAAGTCAAGCGTGCAGCTGCCACGATGCCACTTGCCACCAGTTTGGCCATATTTCAGAGCTGCAACATCACTGGAGTGCCCAAAAGCACAAGGTGTGCAATACTCAGAGACATGGCCATGGTAAGAAAGGCTGAAAGACGACCACCACTGAACAAGACACACAAGCTGAAACGCCAAGACTGGGCCAAGAAATATCTCAAGACTGATTTTTCTAAGGTTTTATGGACTGATGAAATGAGAGTGAGTCTTGATGGGCCAGATGGATGGGCCCGTGGCTGGATTGGTAAAGGGCAGAGAGCTCCAGTCCGACTCAGACGCCAGCAAGGTGGAGGTGGAGTACTGGTTTGGGCTGGTATCATCAAAGATGAGCTTGTGGGGCCTTTTCGGGTTGAGGATGGAGTCAAGCTCAACTCCCAGTCCTACTGCCAGTTCCTGGAAGACACCTTCTTCAAGCAGTGGTACAGGAAGAAGTCTGCATCCTTCAAGAAAAACATGATTTTCATGCAGGACAATGCTCCATCACACGCGTCCAAGTACTCCACAGCGTGGCTGGCAAGAAAGGGTATAAAAGAAGAAAATCTAATGACATGGCCTCCTTGTTCACCTGATCTGAACCCCATTGAGAACCTGTGGTCCATCATCAAATGTGAGATTTACAAGGAGGGAAAACAGTACACCTCTCTGAACAGTGTCTGGGAGGCTGTGGTTGCTGCTGCACGCAATGTTGATGGTGAACAGATCAAAACACTGACAGAATCCATGGATGGCAGGCTTTTGAGTGTCCTTGCAAAGAAAGGTGGCTATATTGGTCACTGATTTGTTTTTGTTTTGTTTTTGAATGTCAGAAATGTATATTTGTGAATGTTGAGATGTTATATTGGTTTCACTGGTAATAATAAATAATTGAAATGGGTATATATTTGTTTTTTGTTAAGTTGCCTAATAATTATGCACAGTAATAGTCACCTGCACACACAGATATCCCCCTAACATAGCTATAACTAAAAACAAACTAAAAACTACTTCCAAAAATATTCAGCTTTGATATTAATGAGTTTTTTGGGTTCATTGAGAACATGGTTGTTGTTCAATAATAAAATTAATCCTCAAAAATACAACTTGCCTAATAATTCTGCACTCCCTGTATAAGATAAGACTAGGGACTAATGAAAGTATTTAGAAATTTGGGCAGACTAGAGGGGCCGAATGGTTCTTATCTGCCGTCACATTCTATGTTTCTATAATTACAATTTGCCCACTGTAACTTTGCATTTCTTAAAAAAAAATAAAAAATATTTATTTATTTATTTTGGTTTTTTTGAGTTTTAGTTGGCAGGGAAGGGAGTTAAAGAAAGAAGAAATTACGTTAAGGGTTTTGATCACATTGCTACAGTCAGTAATAACAAGGTACAATAAGTGGCATCTGTACATTCAGTAATATATTCTACTACAGAGGAGGCACTAGGTACTTCAGCCTTGGTTACAAAGTGGTCATACTCCTAGTTTCTGTGTGGTGGCAGAGAGACCTCCTGTTTTGTAACTTTGCATTTTAACATTCTATTTTGTACTTATTACCCCTATAACCTCTGGTACTAGAACATTGCATTGCTGTATATAACTACTACCTATAACCCCTTGTTCTGAAACACTGCTTTGCTCTGTATAATTACCATCTATTGCTCCTTTAACCCCTTGTTATAAGACTTTGCGTTGCTATATATAACTACCACATATTACTCCTTGTTATAACATGACTACTAACTATTACCATAGCCCCTTGTTTTAACCGGTTGTGTTGCACCATATAACTTCTCTCTGTATCCTCTAATGTAATTCAGTCTGCCCGTATATGTCAGTAGACCAGGCTTGGATTTTGTAGTAGACGTAGCTCTGCTCTAACTCACTGACTCATACCTTTTATGATATTTCCTGGGTGTTGTAATGTTAGAAAGATACACAATGCAGGCAACAAAGCAATAAACTATAGCTAATTGATTTAGCACAAAAAAAATCTGAGCAAAGGAGAAAAGGCTGATATATATATATTAGAAATCACAGAGCGGAAAACCTCCAGAGGAAGAGCTCGTTTAAAGTCATAAAAACTTTTCCCATCACCTTTAACAAGTCTATATGTCTTTATTCCTGGCTGTAAATGAGGAGCCTGCACGTTTATTTGAATTTAACTTTCTTGCAAAACCAATTAAGCCTCAAACAACTGTCAGTGTGCATCATCCATCCTGCTCCTTCTCTGGGAACAGACAGATTTGGTTCAGTGTTGCCATTTCACCGCCTAATTAAATGCTTGTGCGCGTGTGTTACCATGCACTCCAGAAGCTGCTACTCCCCTATCCCTCTTATTTCCTGTCATTTATTCTACTGTCTTACTACTCTTACCTTTTACCCCTCTCATCCTCACCGTTCCATCCTGTTTTCTTCATTCTACTTTTAATTTTATCTTCCATATATAATGCCTTTTTTTATTTTTATTTTTTATTATATATCTAAACAGAGATGGGCAGAAATGAATGCTTAGGTGTTTTTTGTTAGGTATAGCTCCCAAAGTCCTTAGGAAGATTTCACTGACCTCAGACTTATTGCTGCCCAGATCTTTTGTTTATTTACAATTCATTGGTGGCAAGCTTTTTGCTAAATTTAGGCAAAAATAAGTTTGTTAGAATATTTATTGCAATTATGTTGCCCTAAATTTTCCTTTTTATTTGTCAATTCAAAAAATTTCATTGTTTAGTAAATAATTTCTTAGTTGTTTAGAATTAGCCCTAAATTTCTATTTGTCAAATTATTTTTCTTTCACCATTCACGCTCTGTCCACTTTGCCTTGTTCGTCGCTGCAAGTTGTCTTTGTACAAGCGCAAACCCTTGTCAGCAACTGCAGTGAAAGTTTTACAAGACAAACAGCCTGGTCTGGGGCAGATAGATGGAGCGGCGACTTAAGGAAGGCGTCTTGATGAAATGGTTCAATTAACAGCACAAGCATTTACATGGTGTAATTTCCCTAAATTGCCAGCCATTCCCTGCAGACGGCAGTGTTTGAGGAGGGGGGATTGATCAGTACATTGATTCTGGCTGAAGATGATAAATTTATGCTGGTTAGTTAAAGTCATTCTGCGCGGGGCCTTGAGCTGCGATGCTGAACAGCTTCTTTATCGGGTGTTTAAAACAGAACTTATTTCCCAAGGCTGCGAGGTCTGTTCTCAGTCCAAGCTATTCCCAAACCATCTCTTACTCAGATGATTTTTGCTTAGCTTCTGTATGCAGATCAATAGGTGATTGAAACTGATTAAAACTTAGGCAGCCAGTTACCGGCACCAGTTTAATTAGAAACAGGCTGATTCTTAAATGAAAGTGCTTTGTGTTTGTTTTTTTGTTTTTTTCCCCCATATTTAAGCGTCACACAAAATAAAAAGGCCCATTTAGTGTCTTTGCACTGGGAAATTCCCACAGGCAACACATAACATTAAGAGAAGCTCCTCGGAAATCTGACCATCTGATAATACACTATTCTATCTCTCCACGGCTGGAACGCTCTATGCAGATCTTTAATTATACAATGTGAACACATAAATAGAGAAGAGTATTTCTAGGACAAGAGAGCAAGGCCAGGCATGCTGCATGCCTGATACAAAACAACAATTCCCTTCCAGCTCATCCATGCTCTGCAGACACATTTTCTCAAACCTATTTTCAGGGTCCACGTATGGTTCAGGTTTTTCAGATTCTTTATCAGTAGGGATATATATTTAAAAACTCTTGTTGTTTGGAGAAGTATCGAGATAAATCTGGATTAGGCTGATGGGATATGTAGTCCAAAACTAGCTGCAGAGAGAAGTGTTGCTTGGCTGTATTAAAGATGACATTTATTTCTTTATTGCGTTAAAAAAAATCTAGCTGGCACAAAGGTCTGAGTGCGGCACTACTGGTGATTCTGTTACTCGTCTGGCACAGAAAGCGTTAATACAGTCTCTATTGAAAATAAATCCTTTCTTTTGGCACTGCAAATTTGCTCTAGGTTGATCTCTCCACATTGTATGTGTTTTTCTTTTTTTCCTGAGTAGCACTAGTCAATAGGTAGTGTTTAGCACGGGAATTAAAAATAATGCATTAATGGGTTTTGTGTTCGAGTTCCTGGCCAGCTGTATTTGTCCATTTTAAATTTACACAGACCGTATACCAGTGGCATCTATTCATTTACACAATCAGGGTATTTATAAAATATTGTTTTATTTTAATTAATTAAACAATTACAAATCGTTTGCACACTGGCTTTTTGCCTGGTCATACCATTAAAATTTCAGCTGGTGTCCGCAGCATTATTCATTGTTAGGATTAAAACACATGCTAGCATAGCATTGGGTCTCTCTATAATAAAAATACATGTATTATTTTAACCTATTGCAAATGTATAGATACATTTTTGACCTTTGTAGTTTTTACCACCATGCTATTGGCTTGGTGTACCTTGTCGGGCATATTAACAGCAGTGTCATCCCACTACCCCTAACGCACTTGGATACTGTGTGCAACATTTGTGATTTCTCGGTTGCCATCTTGGAGGCCTTCTTTGGACAAGAATAGTTTTTTATCTCTATATATTTTTTTGTAATTTTGTATGCAAAAGACATAGACTAAAGTGGGTACCTACCCGGAGTTAACTTTGTCTACACGATTGTGGATGACAAATTGAAATTGCAATCCAGTATATTGCCATGGTCATTTGTAAAATAAAGTTCCAATTTCTTTAGTTAATTAATGATATAAGACTTGGCATGAAGAAACTGCGTTCTTAGATCTGAGCCCCTTTTACTCTTTCTTTTTTTTTTCTGTGTTCTGTGAGTCTGTATTGACTCTATACGTCTTGCACAAGTCTCTTGATATCATATGCATTTTTTTTGGTTTTATGTTGTGTGTTTAAACATTTACCTGTTACATATCACTTTGTAGAAGACCTAGTTATTGGCTTTTTATTTTTATCAAAGTGAGTGTGACTCTGCTGGGGGGCTTCCGGAATCGTAACGTACTTTTGGTCCGCTCTGCGTGAGTACCTCCAGCGTCAGATTTCCCCATAGAAAAGCATTGATTCAATACTTTCCTATGGGGAGGTCTAATCCGCGCACGGCATTTGGCCCGCATGCGCATTAGCCCCGCTTGTTGCGGGACATCGGAGCGCAGCTGGAAAAGGTAATTTAAAAAGGGGTTTTAACCCTTTATTTGCCCAGGAGAGGGGAGGCAAAGGGACCGGTAGTGCTAGGAATACAGCTTTGTATTCCTAGCACTATAGTATAGTTTATTTTTGTGAAGGACAAATTTTTAGTACATTAGGCAAACTGTGCCGTTTGGTAATGAAAAGGCACATGACCGCAAGACTTAAAAGGACACTCTAACCCAGTAGTACCAAAAAAAATTTCATCAGGAACTGGAAAGGCCTATGCTGCCTAATCCGTGCATATTTATACAAAAAGCGCTGCCAAAATATTCCGAATTGAGTTTGACAGTCTGAAGAATATCTTTTAATATTGAACTTGTGTGAGTTTTATTTACAACTAGTGTAATGCAGGTCAGACGTATCGATCTTTGACCTCTTAGACCTTTGGTTTGCATTTCCACACTGCACTCACTTATTCTAAATCAAACATCCATGGAAATTTGTATTACCCTTCCAGAAAGTAATGTGGAACACAGCTGACAATGCAAGAGTCCACTGTGTCCTCTCCATTGTTTCCATGTATGCAAATGGTGCAGGCAGACCAGTAATTACTGCAGCTGCTACAGGCTTCTTTGAAGGGCTGGCTGTTAAGTAAGATAGAGACTCAGTGAAGGTATATGTTACATTGTAACCTGAGCAGCCATTCAAGTTCCATTAATCACTTTGCAGTTAGTGTTTGGGGTAAGTTAAGGCAATTGTTATCCCATGCTAAAGTCATCACATTCATTTTCCTTCCTGATGACATGCCTATCCCCTGCCTGCTACCCAAATCCTCCCCATAATTAAATGTTAAATTGGTACTGTCAGTGATCTGTAAACCAAACCTGGCGTGTACCCTGCATGAGAAATGTAACCCGGACCTCCACGGGTGAACTGGCGCACACCATAATTAAATCATCAAGCATTCCCTTTTAATTGGCCGGGAAAGAGTAGAGCCATGCACTGGAAATAGGAGTCTAGTTTCATGAGAAGCTAATTAAGTTGGCAAACAGTTTGGCACCTGAAGTGTTAAGGAGTACCCTTTTATTTTATGATCATTTTGAAAAGCTTTATTTTAAACTAGATGTTTAAACATTGTTGAGTATAGAAAGATTATTTTATTTAATCTTCTAGCATATAAGCTTATTGAGCAGGGCCCTCAATCCCTCTGTTCCCGTGCGTCCAACTCGCCTAGTTACAAATACGTGTCTGTTAGTCCAACCATTGTACAGTGCTCCACAATTTGTTGGCGCTCTATAAATAATAATAATATATAATCTTTGCTCCAAGGGGTTTTGTCAAGGTCAACACAAGCATCTTGGCTATTTTGACCTTAACCTTAAAATTTTTGTTGAATTCTCAATTTGCTAATTATCGCTGACAGTGTACATTCAAAATAGCCAGTATCTACAAAATAGTGATTGCTCCCTTCTCACACCACATACCGTAACCCCATGTGGTCCATATTAAGCCTCTCGAAGTCATATTTAATGCTCTGCAACAGATATTCACTGATAAGTTCATATGCTTAAACATACAGGTGAATTCAGTAGCCTTGTTCATTAAATAGGTCCGATATAAAAAATTACATTTCAGTCTGTGTTCTGGCATTTTATCCACACACCCTAAAATAAACACAAAAGTGTATAAATAATATTTCCCATCGTTGAAAGCGAAAGCCTGCCCAGCTGTAAGCGACATAACCAAATTCAGTATAGAGTGTAAAACGATCTGTCCTTTGAGGACCAAGGGTTCTATCAATGCCTGCATAATTTAGAAAGCATGGTCGTGAATAGCTTATTGATATATAGTTTAAACAAATCTATACATAAACATCAATGCATGCTACAACAGGCTGCACCCAGTATATTTACCGTTTTATATAAATTATTGATAAATGCATGTTTGTAAAATTTAAAATATGCACATTTTTAAATTACAGTTTCCACTATTAAGTGAATGCATTTTTATTATGTTGTTGTCTTGTTCACCATCAGCCACTTAGTGAGTCTTAACTCGGAATCTACAGGTATAATTTCAGTTCTTACATCATCCTTGTCAGTAACTGAATTCTAGAGACACAATAACTAGATCTGATAAAGATTTTCAGCACAAGTTTAAATAACAGGTATCCACTTTCACTAGAAGCTGGTAGGTAAAACCTTACTTTAAAAGTAAACTACTTTATTTGAAGGGATGATGTATAGTTTAATGTACATGTGCTGGTTTTACAGAAATAAATGTCCCCAAGTTTAGATTGCTAGCTAGGCATAATTAACTTCTGATAGAAGTTAATTAAGCTTAGCAATCTAGACTTTGGGACATTTCCCCATACAAATACATTTATTTATTTTATTTATTTATTTATTTTTAAACCTACCATTGCCTTGTAAAAAAAAAAGTGTTTGTTTTTTTTTGTTTTTTTTTCTGAGAATTTTCATGGAAACACACACACACTTTTTTTCCCCAACTTCCCTATTTTGGATTAAAATTCTTATTTATTATAGTAAATGCATTTTTATTGTCAATGCTTCACAATGCATAGATAAGTAAACATTAAAAGGAAATGTAATACTAAAATAGTACTTGTGGGTTTTGTGTTGAGATGTGCACCTTAAAAAGTGTATGCATTATATTTTTGTAATGTATGGCTGTGAAAATGTATATTTTATTGTGTGTTTTTTTTTTTTTAGAGCTCACCATGTCCCAAGTGGAAAGATCTTGGCTGTGAAGGTAAGATATATGTATTGGTTTGTTGATGTTCTATCAGGATGTTGGATCATGAGCAGTGAGATGCCCAAGTAATGGAATTCTTAGAAGTGAGATGGTTTCATTCTCTCCATTAGACTATAGACTGACAATGTTGTCTGGATGTCCCTGTTAATTATGATTTCATGGTGTCTTAACACATTTTACAAAACAACAGACTTAATTCTACTTGTTGAAAATCTCACTAATCATGCGTGTGTACATGAATAAATAAGACAAACCGGCTCTTTTGATACATCCTGAGCTCTGTATTTAGGAACATATGTCACAGACCAAGGTAGGGATTATGGAATTGAATTAAATCTCTTAGAGAGTAACATTGTTAGTCACAGCTTTCTTTTACAAGATAGACCGTTTATTTCTTGGAATGGAAAGCCCAACTCTTGCTCTTCCAAGTTTCATATTAATAGAACATTTTAAGATTTTTTTTTTCTCTTTGCATCTTAGATTGACCCCCTCAACCCCCTTTAAATTTTTTTTAAAAATAACAAAATTTAACTGCAGTGTAGTGCAAACACAAACTACTCACTGCAGATTTATGTGCCCTTCCTGATTTTTTTGCATGAATCGCCACAATCCACAGATCCAGTGCTTCTCGCACACACATCCAGCTTCCCCTTTACTTTGCGTGCTGGTGCCAGATGTAAAACAAAACAACAAAAAAAACCTGAAATTTTATTTACAGTAAATAATTTTTTCCTTAATATGGCAGCAGTACCCATGTGATGAACTTTCTTATGCTGGACAAGTAACCTAAATAAATGTAACAAAAATAATTATCCCCTCCCACTCATGCCGATACCCACAGAGCTATCTCAGTCGTAACAAGAAATCACACAGAGGCCAAATGCTGCAAAATTATTTAACTTTTAATACAGAAAAAATGGGGAGAGAAATCTGTACTGCCACTATATTAAGGAGAAAGGGAATTTACAGTAAGTAAAATTTCTGTTATTCCTAGCATATACTGGCAATACCCATGGGATATAGCAAGATCCCGAAAGGGTGAGTGAATCAAAAGATGAGAGCCTGAAGCACTGTACACCGAAAGCAGCTTCTGAGGAGGGAAAAATGTCTAGAATGCCTGATAAAGTTATTAAAAGAGGGCCAAGTTGCTTCTTTGCAAATATCCTCTGGACATATATAAGGTTTTAGCCTCATATTTGCAATTCCCTTGTTGGCATTTGACAATTTCTGGTTTAGTGTATAAGCCCAGATAACTAACTTTTCATTTAATGCCTGCTCTGACTTAACCCGTTCACTGCTGCAACTAGATTGTCTGCTTCCTTGACTAGTGTCTTCTCTCTGCTTTGCCTTACATTTAAAAGCTGTAGACCCTAAGGAAACCTATCACCGTTATTCTAGGTATTGCTAGTATACAGTTGGAATACCAATGCAAAGATTAAGAGTATCTGTAACCCTTAGTTATAAATGTGTGACATTTTTTTGTCCTGCTATAGTCTTGCCTCTGGCACTCAGATGGTTAATAGCACAGCCTTTTCTGTTCTATATATTTATTTCTTTTTTAATAGAGTTTACATACACATATCATCACGTTCGAGATCCTGCTAGCATATAAGATATAGGAACAGAGAAGATCAGCCTTTTTGCGTGGCGATGTAAACCCATCATATGCCCTGCAGTAGTTTACTTACTGTAGCAGACAATTATGTCGCTGTTGATTAAGTGAATTAAAACTGAACATCAGCTTAATTTGACCTGTGATGTTTGCTCTCTCTCTCTGGCAGAGAGTGTATGCTGAAAGTAGGATCTGACAGCCTGTGATAAATTGCTTTATTTACAAGTGTATATTTTTAAAGGCCTCCCCTTAGTTTATACCGAGCTCCACTAGTAAATTCTAATCATCTGCTCTTCAGATCAAACATTTAATGTTTAAGCATACCTGTGGGGCATTGTAAGGCAAAATATGGATACTGAACCTGCAGAGAGCGTTAAGGAGAATATTACTAGTGGATTATTCACTAAAAATTTATAGTGAATTGAAAACAGAATTTATACAACATATAAAGGGCATTCACATTGCACAATGGTAGATAATATATGTGGGTAGTCAAACTCATGTACCATTTAATGTGTTCACTTCATGCAACTTTTTGTTTAAAAAAAAAAAATTACACTTTTTTTTGTTTTCATTTATATTTTATTAAAAAGTGTTATATTAAGGGTGCAATCAAGTTAACAATAATGAATGCAATTTAACAAGGTAGCGATGAAACACACACCCTAAGATTAGTGTACCATATCTCCTATAAAAGTTAATATGAAGAAGAATATGAGTATTTAAAGGATTACTTTGTAGCCCATGTTAGTGGTTATGGTGTGAGGAGAACCCTGTTACCATTTCCTGGCAGTGGGACTGTGTCAGCCTACTCGCAGGTGAGTGTCGCCACCAAGGACTCCCTTTCCCCCTTAGTGATTAGCTCCATAGCCCATCCCTAGTCATTAGCCGAGGCTCAATGTAAGCATATGTTTTATTGGCGTGAATGTTGCATTTTTATACCTGGGTCACCAGGAGAACAATGCCGTTGCACAATAAGGGACACCTAGGTGTCTTTACCTGACAAGATAATTTGATTTATAGTATCCCTCTAAAAATGTTGCAAAAGCAGTTTTTCTGAGAAACCATCTGTCCCTTTGGAAACATTAGAAATGTTTAAATGGGAACCAACCTTTCCACGAATTTTTACCATGGTAACCTAGCCTTATATTTAACAGATATGTGTATGGTCTGAAAATTAGTGTTAAATGTAAAAATCCACTCGGTTGTATTCAGCTTTATCCTAGAATTGGATTCCTCCATCTTGGCTCCCTGTCAATCATTATTAGTTTTGCCCTATTCTATCATTTCAACATTTTAAGTGGAGAAGGAGAAATAAAAACAATGGTTCAATTTCTCCTACTCTGATGCAATGTGTGTCCTGGATTGTGATGGCAGTGACTAAATCTTTACAAGGGAATTGTCACATCTTTGGAAATTACTTTATTAACGGGATCCTACAGTACCAGGAAAACAAACCCCTTCAGCCACTTACCTGAATTCAGCGCTGGGTCAGGCTCCGCCCACGCTCCTCCCCCGGGGGAGACCTAATGCGCGGATTAGACCTCCCCATAGGAAAGCATTATTCAGTGATTTCCTATGGGGAAAACCTGACGCTGGAGGTCCGTGAGGACGTCCATCGTCAGATAACGGACCAAAAGTTTGTTTGGAGTCCGGAAGCCCTCTAGTAGACAGCCACAGAGGGCAGACATAGAGCTGCAATGTAAACATTGCAGTTTCTCTGGAACTGCAATGTTTTACATTGCAGCACTAAGTGCAAAAGGGTCACAGCACCCAGACCACTTCAATTAGCTGAAGTGGTCTGGGTGCCTACAGAGTCCTTTTAAATAAACTTTGAAACTCCACTATAGTTTGTGTTAAATGGACACTCCAGGCACCCAGACCACTTCTGCCCATTGGAGTGGTCTGGGTGCCAACTCCCACTACTCTTAACCCTGCAAGTGTAATTATTGCAGTTTTTTTATAAACTGCAATAATTACATTGCAGGGTTAACTCCACCTCTAGTGGCTGTCTTTCTATGCTTTCTTATGGGGAGCTCTAATGCGCGCACATGCGCATTAGGTCTCCCCTGCCGGTGGGCGGGATCAGTCTCGCCCACCGGCCGACATAATGCAGAGGAAGAAGCAGCGACATGGGACAGTAACCGTGGATTGGTGGGTGGAAGGGAGAGGGGACCTGCAGTGCCAGGAAAACGGATTGTTTTCCTGGCACTGGAGTTTCCCTTTAACTTTTTTCTGTTAAATGTATCCAGTTCTGTCCAGGCACAGCCAGGGCATGCATTGCAAATGAGGAGGATAAATAGAAACATTATTTAGTTTCTCATTTTCTGTGTATGCTTTGTCTATGTCAGATGCAATGGACCGACTTCTAACCATGATTGACAGGGAGTTAAGATGGAGGCGCCTAGATGCAGGATAAAGTGCTGTAGATTTATTCACTGAAATTTTTTGTTTAACGCATCGTAAATGCGTATTTGTTAAAGGAACATTCCAACACCTAAAGTAAATGTGAATAGTGTCTTTTTTTTTCTATTTTAGAAAAAGTGCTGATTTCTAAAGAAATTGCCACTTTTATAAATTGTTACCTCTCCCTCCCTGTCCGTCGGATAACCGATCCTGTTACTTCCTGATTGCTTAGCTCAGTAGAGCTAAACAGAGGCAGCAATTGCCCAGCGCACCTGCATTGCACAGACTTCTCTTTGAGCTGCATGGGGAAGTCTTTAAATGGACAGCCACAGGAAGCTGTGTGAGGTTACAAGGAGAGATCTTGCCAAGGCTCAGAAAAGAGATCTGAAGCATTTGCAATTTGTTTTTAGATATACTCTAATGCATTATTAAATGCATGGATATTTTCTTTGGGGGTATGTTACTAAGCAATCATTTGTTTTGTGTGTGTAGTTGATGTGTCCATTTAAAGGGAAACTATAGGCACACAGACCACTTCAGTGACTTGAGTGCCACTCCTCTATTCCATTTTAATCCTTGACACTAGGATCCTGCAGAACAGGATACTGGCGCTGCAAGGGGGAAAAGTAAAATTTATTTTTTTGCTTCTTCCAGATGTGTGTGAGGGATCTAAACAGCCCATAGGGAACTATCGAGCTAAGACTACACATTTGTATTGCTAACTCTATAGTGTTCCTTTAAATATAGGCAATAAGTAAAGATAATGTAAAATATTGGATACTAAAAATTGCCCTTTCTTATACAAAAGAAAACAGAGGATCGGATGGGGAATAAAATAAGTTATATCTGATTTTCAAAATGTATTCAACGGTGTAATCTCCAGAAAAGTGACAGTTTCCCTTTAAGCATTTTGTCACCAAGATAAAGCCAATGGCTGGAGAATGGTTTTGTAAGTGAGTTTGAAATCTGTAAAATGCACTAAAAGATCATGTAAACTAATGTGAGCAAGGTCCTCCTCAAACTATTGTTCCTGTAATATTTTGCCCTTGTCTCATTTATTGTTAAATTTCCCCCTTTTATAATATTGTAAAGCGCTGCGTAATAAGTTGGCGCTATATAAATACCAATAATAATCTAATTCAATCTGCTGGTTTATAGATTTACAAAATGTGTGGTGAAGGTGCTTAGACAAATATCTAATTTATAATATATCTAGTGCTGCTACTACACTCTAGTGCAGTGATGGTGAACATTTTTGAGCCCGAGTGCCCAAACCGCAATACAAACCAACTTTTTTTCCTCAAAGTGCCAACACGGCAATTAAACACACAGACACTCACAGATACACAGACCCTTAGTGCTCTTCCATACCCTCCTGTCCCTTAGTTCTCTCCCCTGTCACCCTGTGATCTCCCCTACCCCTCTGTCCCTTAGTGGTCTCTCTCCTCCCCTCCCTTAGAGCTCTCCCCTGCGTCCTTAGAGCTCTCCCCTGTGTCCTTAGAGCTCTCCCCTGCGTCCTTAGAGCTCTCCCCTGTCCCTTAGTGTTCTCTCCTCTTCCCCCTCCCCCTTTAGTGGTCTCTCCTCTCCCCCTCCCCCTTTAGTGGTCTCTCCTCTCCCCCTCCCCCTTTAGTGGTCTCTCCTCTCCCCTTGGTGGTCTCTCCTCTCTCCCCTTGGTGGTCTCTCCCTTTCCCATAGTGGTCTCTCCTCCCCTAGTGGTTCTTTCCTCTTCCCCTTAGTGGTTCTCTCCTCTCTTCCCCCTCTTTATTGCTTTCTCTGCTTTCTCTCCCCTCCTTTGGTGGTTCTCTCCTCTCCCCACCCTACTACTTTTCCCCCACCTTGGTGGTGTCTCACTCTTCTCACCCCAGTGGCTCTTTCCTCTTTCCATTCTCTCCCCCTCAGTGGCTCTTTCCTCCCCCCCCTCTTGGGTGTCTCTTTCCTCTCCTACCCTTAGTGTCTCTCTTTCCTCTCTCCCCTTAGGTGGCTCTTTCCTCTCTCCCCTTGGCTCTTTCCTCTCCCCTTAGGTGGCTCTTTTCCTCTCCACCCCTTAAATTGGCTCTTCCTCTCCCCCAGTGGCTCTTTCCTCTCCTCCCACCCTGGTGGCTCTTTCCTCTTTCTCCCCTTGGTGGCTCTTTCCTCCCCTAGTAGCTGATTTTCCTCTTCCCATTGGTGGCTCTCCCCTTAGGTGGCTCTTTCCTCCCCTAGTGGCTATTTCCTCCTCCCCCTTGGGTGATGCTTTCCTCCCTTGGTGAATTCCTCCCCTTTGGTGGTTCTCTCCTCGCCCTCCTTTGGTGGTTCTCTCCCCCCATCCCTTGGTGGTCTCTCCTCCCCCCTTTAGTGTTCCCCTCTCCCTCTCCCCTTGGTGCTAACCCCCCTTCCTGTTGTGCCTCCTACCTCCCTGTGTAGCATGGCTGGGTGGTGTGGACCGCGGTACAGGAGCTTCTGTTTCCTGTACCCGGCCAGACTGAAAGGAAGTGCTTTCTCAGTGAGTACTTCCTTTTAGTCCGGCCGGGTACAGGAAACCGAAGTTCCTGTATCGCGGTCTGCGCCGCCCAGTCACGCTACTCAGAGTTACTGGCAGGAGGGAGCGCTGTGCGCTTCCCTCCTACTGGGTCACTCAAATCTGGCGCCCACCCCGGTGACCTATGGTTGCTTGCCCACAGAGAGGGCTTGACGTGCCAGCTGTGGCACACGTGCCAAAGGTTCGCCATCGCTGCTATAGTGGGTATCTCCCTTTCCCACAAAACAACGAAGAAATGTGAAACAGCCCTTCAGCCTATCCGAGCGCAGCGCTATGTAAAAAAAAAAAATTATATTCACTTACCCCTATAATGGGGGTGTGTTGTTCTATGTAGCTTCACTGGAGAGTATAAAAGGATAAGGAAAAAAAACGGGAAAGACTATGCTGTGTATCTTTAAGCACTCTTATGGTTAAAATACAGTGTTGGTCGCACTCACATGGGATTGAGCCGATAAGATAGGCTCAAATCATAACAGCAGGTGTGTACTCAAGAGACACATATTCCCTTTTTCATATGCCCCAGTAGTGATAGCTTTAAACATAAAGAAAACACAGGCAGCAGCCCGTAATGCGGTATATCCTTTACACTGTGCAAAATGACATAAGTAATGTTGCTGCTCACCTTGATCAGAGCCCAAGATACGTGGCTCTGGTTGTAAACACTTGTGTGCCTTTTAGGGGGCTCTTAAAGAAGGGTAGTGCCCCCTAAAAGGCACACAAGTATTTAAAACCAGAGCTAGGTATCTTCGTTTATAGATTTGCTTCAGTTCACCTAGTACTATCTAGCTGTCAGGTGCTATCATTTACTAAACCGTGAATTAATAACTGAAAATCAAATTGCAATTCGTGCAGAAACGAGAAATTGTGATTCATTTTTTTCTAACTCACCACAATTCACTGTTTGGTAATTAGACCCCAAAGTTCTTTTAAACCATTCAGGGTGAATATTATCCTGGTGAAAACCAAATATCCCATCTGATCACTGTGATCTACGTCAGTAAGTGATTGATTAATAGTTTGTATAATTATGGCGTGCCTGCTATTGGAACAATCCATTTCTGTAAGTATATATTATGCATATCTTCTGACTGAGTAGATTAAAGCTATCAATACACATTGTACCTTAGAAGTTCTTGTTGCTCAGTAATTATGTATAGCTATTATAAGAGACTATGATTATGAACAGACAAATGATTTCTTTATTATTTTAACAGTTCATTTATTTGCACTGTGGATACTGTGCTTGTATTGTTAATGTGGCAGTTCACCTACAATTAAGTGATTGATCGTGAATGGAGTTCTTCTTATTAATGAATATTGATGCTGATTCCTGTCCTGATTGTGATAGCTTACATCACATAGTGAGTGTGGTATCCCTTATAGGTCCTGTGGATATCACGTCACTAACTACAGACTATTTAGAGATGACGTTGTAAAACTACTCAATGGACTACAGGGTGCCAAAGATATGATGACTATGTAATGTTTAGGGTCCCTTTAATTTTACCATAGTATGGGGTCCTTTCAATCTGACTTTACTATGCTTAGATGAGGGCAGACCATTGATCTCTATTAACCTTGTGTTGAAAAGACTGTTATTTTGGCACAATGTGATTAATAGGGCATGGGTATCTAATATACCAAAATATTTTGTTACTGACTCCATTATCTGATCGTCACGTGGATTAATATGAGGGCAGACGTGAGCCATTGTGGCTACCAGAATGATTCTACTTACATTCTCTTGTATTATCTTCTGACCCATTGGATATCTGCTCACCTGTCCTATATCCTATCTACTGGCCGCACAGGATTTGGGTATTTGCATTCCATTGCAAATAGAATCCCATTCTGGGAGCTTCTTCCAATAATATAACCAGGCTCTTTCTCATGGGAGCAAGTCCCTCCTCCTTACACAGCAGCCTGACCTGTCCCCAGGGTACATCCCTCCCTTGGCTGAACTTGACACAGGTTAAATGCCTTTCACACTTTAATTGAGTAAAATTGCTATGATGTAGCAGCAAATTATTATTTTTTTTCAAGTTTTTCTGCACTGAAAAATGTAAGTGAGTGGAGTTGGCAAATGACTATTGATTTGGGAAACTGTGTTTTAAATTTCTCTTGGCAGTTCTATATTACAGCTACAAGCTGGATTAGTCAGAGCGTTTATAAATAACCCTAAAGCAAGCTTTTGATTGAAACAGGTTGCGTCTTATTCTATTTCTTCCGATGTCAGCGTTCTCAAATTTAATTTATGCCTTTGCATATCATGTCTCAATATTCATCCCCTTGCTACATATAAATCTTAATTTATATGTCTGTTCTGACGGCTGCACAGATATACGAGTGCATTTTGTAAGATGCACGTCAAAGCACTTTGTATTATTATTATTTTTTTTTCTATCAATGCTGGAGGCATCTCTAGCACACATCTAGGAAAACAATATTCCCTGTCAATGAATGGGTTAATTTGCATGTTTGTCTATTTGTATGTCTGTCTCTCTTTCTTTGTAGTAGCCAAAATCTTAGTAAACATTAACATCTCATTTATGAAAGTCAGGCATTATCACTGGAGAATAAAAGGCAGGTATTGCCACCCAGTGTTAGTAAGAAAGCAATTGGGACTAGGCTTGCTGTGTTCTTGCTAACACCTTCACTGCCAAGTTATTTCAAATAAATAAGCACCAGAATTGTATTTTGTTTCTATCATCAGTATAGTAATGTGTAAATTTATTTTTATATTAGTATATATTAATAGCACATTACACTAATCCTTGTTTAAGAAACGACAAGAAAACAAACCTAAAATAACTTAAAGAATAATGGTGCTAACGACCAGAATACAGTTTTAAGGGAGCATACGAAGCACCATAACCACTGCAAGTTATTGCCCTGGCTGTAGAGCTAGGAGTCTTTAGGTGCCATCCCCCCATTTCTAACAAACTGTTTCCAAGTAGTTTAACCAAAACTATAGTTTTCGGCAAAGCCTGGCCCCTCTACAGCAACTTGGGTAATGTGGAAGATTTGCTAATTCATTATCTGTCCAAAGCCCAGTAACTTTGGTATGGCAATTATAGGTTGCTAGCATTGGTTGGCAGATTAGACCAGCAGTCAGAGCTTATCATTGCAGTCCAATGATGGGCAGATAATGTGGACGTGAATCTGTCGTGATACTTTAGTGCATGCAGAGGAGTTGGACTTTGTGCCTGGGAAGCGGTGTGACAGAAAACCGGGGGATGGCACACAACTACTTAATGGAGCTGTAGGGTTATGGTGCTTTGAGTGCCCCTTTATTTCCTTTTATTTGCAAGTTCTATACATGGGATTGGGCTGAGGATGCAGACCGTTGCTGTTCGTGTGTAGATTTTATTGCAAGTGAACGAGTTAAAACCATCCTCTAAATTACTGTATAAGTGGGGGCGGTGCCTGACTGTGATGATGGCTGGACACATTTTCAGAGAGCTCCGGGCAGATCGTTGAATCTAAGCGACTTACTCGTACTACCGGTACTCTCTCTGAATCAGATAGCGAGGTTTTGAATGCCAGGTGTAAGGCGACCGGCTTTGCACGATCGGTGGCAGCCGTCCAGACTAAGCCCTCAACGGGCCGCAGTAAGGCCTAGCAAGCAGCGCAGAGGGGAGAGGTGGCCGCTCTATCAACCAATCTCAGGCGGACCTCCGTACAACCCTTGATGGCACCCTGCAACCCCTCCTTTGGACCGGCGGGGGAGATCCCGGTCCCCACCCTGGAGGCTCACTCCCTCCACCAGGACTAAGTGACCCTGCTTCAAACAGCATTGACACCCCACATGGCATAACCTACATGGCGGACGCTGCGGACCCCACGCCTGATTATGGCGCTGTGATGCCCAGAACAACCATCTTGCCGACTTCTGGGGAGCGATGTCCCTCCGACAACCAGTACCCGCCCAACAAACCTCGCAAGAGCACCCATCTAAACCCGATCCCCAGCAGCCTCGAAATAGGTGTAGCACAAAGAAAACACAAAAAGGGCTAAAAAAAACGGGTTGGCGGAGCACAAAGGGCGGGAAGCACGGGCCTGCATCAGACAGTGTTGCCTATGGAGCCAACAGCCGGAAGGCCAAGCAGGATGAAGCAGGGAGAGGAAAGCAGGGGATACAGAAGAAGACACTAAACGTTATGGACACTGCACTGACCTTGTCTGGGTCACTACGCCTCATCCCAACACCTGGTTCTGTACCCTGCTCATGACGGGCATAGGCTGAAAGCACAGAAGGTCGTCGGATCCACAATCACATCACACACAGCCAGGAGAAATCAACCTTCCAAACATCCTCACACTAGCACCTACCAATAAAGTCACTCAGGGTGGCAAATCTCGTTTGCAAAATACCTTTAATATGTAACTTACTGTATATGCACCATATATCAACCAGCTACTGCTATACTGCAAAACATGTTCATACATTATAATTACGCTAGCATAGCTAACCTGTCAAGCATCAATCATTTTATTTTATTTCATCTTACTCTGACACACATGGCTTATAGCTTGTGCCCTAGTATATGTTTCTTGTGAAAAGCCTAAACTAAGCAAGCATAACTCACTCTAATGTAAGCGATAACAACTAGAACTAACCTGTATTACTCACTCTGAATGTTTGTATAACCTGTGACTTCAATAGACTAGCTAATATGCTGAGCAAGCCTAATTACAGTTTAAACTTACTCTTCAAAGTCGATTACTTAAGCTGAAAATAATATAAAAATGTGCCTGTTAATCTTTGTCCCGCATGTTTTGTGAGATAATTGCCTGGGGACTGCTTTCAGGGCACCTCATGCCTGCTTGTAATATCTATATGCACTGCAAAAATAAAAAATGTAAAATAACAAACAAAAAAAATTACCATATAAGTGGTAAACCAAGTCTGCTCCCACTCTGATATGATGGACAAGTTTAGCACAATCTGTGTGGGCGTGCATTTCTTTTCAGTGAGAGCATGAAGACCATTGCATATAGTATATCATGCCCTTTATCTCTTGGTATATTACATAATCATCAAGTGTTTGTGTCCATCAAATAACTGCTGGGCCATTGTATATGATGGATAGAGATGACTTAGATGACATTTAGGAATGCATTATAAAGGTGGTCATTGTATTGCAAACCTGTCAAATGGTAACTGCTTAGCATATTTGATATCTTGCACGGTGTTATTGGATATCCAAAAATATGTCATGAATGAAATTCTGATTATGATGCATCACGCAGAGCCTAAAACATGCTCAGATAATAGTTTCACACATACAGCCAAGGGAATTGTCACTTATAAAATGCAAAATGTGTTTTAAATGAGAATTCCCCTAAAAGTTGAGCCATTTCTACCATGCACAAGGAGTACTAAGCATTCATTGCAAGGCCATGTGGTGCTCCAAACAGCGATGTCTCATTCAATACATTTAACCCAGCACATCAATGTCTCTTTCAGCAAATGGACTTTAACGTGTTTGTGCATCATCTGACAACATGAGAGCATGAGGCAATGTTTGTTTGAAGAGTTAGAATGGGGCATGCTGGTAGTATCCATGCAGTGCTGAACACACAGTATCAATCAGTGACAAGCGATCTCTGTCTGTTCTCCATAGGTCATCCCGTTAGACATTACTGTGGAGCTTCAGAGACAGATTATGTCAGAGCTTGAGATCCTGTACAAGGTGCGTGAGCTTTGTGTCTCTGTTTTGGGAATTGATGTCATGAAAAAAAGATTTACCACTGCTTCACCTCACCATTCACATTTTATTTTGCAGTGTGACTCTCTGTACATAATTGGATTTTACGGGGCTTTTTTTGTGGAAAATCGGATTTCTATCTGTACAGAGTTTATGGATGGTGAGTTAACTAATGCGTATATTTTGTGAGCAACCTATTACTTTTTTTTTTTTTTTTTTTACACTCTTTGTAACTGCATTCTGTTGTAAAAATTGTGTTTGTGTTCAAAGCATTACTCGCTTCTATGAAAACTATTGCTGATTCGGTGCCTTACTTAAAATAATAATTGCCGTGAATGGCACACTTGCTGCAACATTAGCTGCAATTCTTACCTAAATAGGCACCCAAGTACCTATCAGAAAAAGTGTGCAAAGGAAGCTCCACGGACAAAAAACAAATTGTTTGTCGCAAAGTACACCCCTTGGTATACTATAAAAAAAAATAGCCCAAACCAAAGTATCACTATTTCATAAAATCCAAATAAAGTGCCCTCTTTCACATCTGCCAATCAGAAATTCATGAATAAATACATAAAACTCAAAAATAAGAAATAATGCCTATGTCCATTAAAACCAAAAAGAAAACAAATGCTTATTTGAATTAATCTTGCATCTCTAAATGGAATGTAGACACATGCAAACCCTTTAAAGACATTAATGCTCATTAGCCATAACAGCGGTGTATTCTCTCATAGTAATACCTACAAGTATGTAGCTATGATTAGTAGTGTGTTAGACATGCCATTCAGAGATGCGGGACTGAGACATAATGTGGCATTTATTATTTTCATTTTGGTTTTGAGGAATGCATGCACTATTCTTTATTTTTGCTCTTTTCTTTAAGAGTTTTATGTCTTTATTAGTTAATTCCTAAATGGCATATGTGAAAGATAGCACTTTATGTGGATATAGTGCAATACAATACATTTGTCTGGGCTATTTTATCACAGTTAACTAAAGGGTAATACAAAGAGCAGCCTTTACACCTATGTGCTGCGCAAAGTAGGACACATAGCTATAGCAAACACAGAGCAGTGTTTATACATTTCAGTGCATGTAAGCTTCTTTGAAGGCAGTGCTAGCTATATGTGACATACTGGTACATATATTTATGTAAGGGCAGATTGTGCGCATTTTTGGAACATCTGTATGATCTGTACTGTTATCTATATAATATAGAACACACTCCATAGTAGTGTCCTACAGAGACAAGCAGGTGTTTCTTTTTAGCACTCTAAACTGTATATGATTTACAGAGCATGTTCTGATCGTTATCTCCCTTTATCATACAGGTGGATCTCTGGATGTGTACAGAAAGATTCCGGAGCAAGTTCTAGGCAGGATATCTGTTGCTGTGAGTAGCCTCTCTTTTCCTTATCAATGTTTAGTAATATTTTTTTTTTCCAAGAACCGTATTTTTAGATTAATTTTTTACCCAATTTGCTTAATGCGGGTTTACTATAGATCAACATAAAGACTTCAAACTGTTGCCTGTGGCTTCTTGTGCGCAGCTGTATTATTAAGTATGCAATTCTGATATGGGTTACCATGTTCTAGGTCTTGAAGGGTCTCCGATATCTTTGGAGTTTAAAGATTTTACATAGAGGTAAGTTCTCTGTTACGCTTTTACATATGCAAACAAAAACAAATACTTTGGCTTGGAGTTAACTATTAAAAAAAAATAAAAAATAAAAAATTGTTGTTAAATTGCTTTATTGTTCCTTGCACACTTGCCAGATCTGTCTCTAACTGAAAGATGCTAGTAGTAAAAAAACAAATCATTTCATAGATCACAAACTAATAAGCATAATTAGAGGGTTTGTGTTTTTTATTTTTATCGCATATTCCGATTTTGGCCCCAATTTCATATTTTGGATAAGATTCTCAAATTATTTAATATTATGAAAAATAGTTTATGTTTTTGAAATTTTAATATTTTGCAAAAAATATATTTAAAAATTTTGCATAAAATATTTTTAAAGTGTATACAAAAATAGAAAATCAATTGAAAAGCTTATCTGAAAAATATTAACTTAATGCCTATGTTTCCTGATGCTTTCATATAACCATTAGCATTTGCCTTACTAGGGTTAGTTGGATGATTATATTTCACAAACTATAAAATGTGTAAACCTGTTATGAAAATTCAGTAAATATATCGCATTTCAAATTTTGCATGATTAAATGTATCTACAGAAAATAAAATTTTTATATAGTGTTGTAGTTCGAAGTATTTTTAATTATAGTGTTACCTCTCCAAAGCGTAACTGTGTACATTTTTTTTTAACTTTTCCAAGTGATGCATTGCTATTCACTATTATTCACGCTCCTAAACAGTATTTTCATATCACTAGGGTAACCCAAATACAGTAGATCCTTTTCTCACTATGCCTAGAGGAATATCCGCTACACCTCATTGATGAGGCACAATTAAGGTCATAACTATCATTTCGGGTTGTTGTATATTTCATGCAGAGTGAATTTGCTAGCATAATCAGATCTGTCCTTGTGTGTAACATCAGTTCGATATGTGACTGATGGGTGCTCTCTCTGTAATGGCACAAGTGATCTAAGTTTTGTGTGAGACTTCAGGGAACCATGGGCAAACTATTAACTTTTGTCCGTTCTCATAAAAAAAAGCTTTGGGATATCTACTCACTTAAGGTCTTCTAATTTATTTGACTTTTTGTATATTTATTTGATACAGACAAAATAATTTAAAAAACTGTAAACACAAAAGAAGATAACCATTTTGTGAAAAAGGGTAAAACAACATGAATCGCTTCAGTAACTACGTATATAGAAAGGTGTGTGTGTCTGACTCTTCTCTGTGGTGGTCTATATAGATATATAGTTTTACTTTTAGAAATCACTTTTCACGTGATCATACTTTGAAAAATATCCTATTAAAAGAATAATCTAAAATAAACTAGGAAGGAATTCCTGTTGTGTACTAGGAACTACAAGGATAGGTAGTACAGTGGTACCTCGGTTTACCAATTTAATGGGTTTTCCGGGATGTTTTGTATTGCGAAAAATTTGTAAACCGAAACGTGGTTTCCCATAGGAATGCACTGAAAACCAATTAATTTGTTGCGGAGGTCAGAAAAAGTCAAAATGAGCTGGCATGGAAACCAATCCACAATGCAGAAGACACAGTAAAAGGCATGCAAACGACGAAGCTCAGCTCCCTACCTTTCTACCTCTTGAGAAATGCACCAAAAAAGTCCCAAAACCGCTGCTAAAAATGTCCAGAATGGCTCCAAAACTCGATGCAAAAACCGCTCCAACACCTCCACACTCGGCACCACGTGCTACCCACAGACTCCAGCATGCATGGGGGTGGCACTATAAACCTCCCAGGTGCAATGCATTCTGGGGAAACTTGCTTAGTATTGCAAAAAAAAAGTGTAAAGCGTAAGGCATTATTTTCAATGGATTTTAATTTGTAAACCGAAAATTATGTTAACCGAGGCGTTTGTAAACCGAGGTACCACTGTATTTAGAAGGGGTGTAACCAAACGTATTCCTAAGAATGCTATCTGATACATTCTCACATGGGTCAGATTAATAATTCAGGTTTATAATTAATGGTGATATGTAACCTAAACATGTGGAAGTTTTTTGTGATCTATAGGATTTTGGTTAGGTAGTTCAAAATGTGCTGGTTATTTGTTGGTTATGCATGACCTAAAACTAATTCTATCCGATTTATTCACTAAAGTGAGAATTGTCGGGAATTCAAGGTGAATTAAAATTGTAGGTCGAAATAGCTGAATATAGAAAAATTCTCCCAGTCAATTCTGTTTTAAGCTTGGCTATTTTGGCCTTAAATTTCAAATTCAATTTGGATTCCCCACAATTCTCATTTTAGTGAATAATCCTGTATTTCATCTGTGTGATTATAGTGATTGTTAGTTAGATTTTTTTTTTTTATTTATTTTTTTTTTAATTGTGCAATGTATAATGTATCTGAACTATATTGCTGTTGTTTCCTCCTTGGCAGATGTTAAACCCTCGAACATGCTGGTAAACACTCGAGGGCAGGTGAAGCTTTGTGACTTCGGTGTGAGCACTCAGGTAAACCGTTAATACTCTTGTCAAATCAAATGCAGCTGTGCCTTAGCTATTCGAGTACCTGCGCCATAGGTAAACACCTATAGATACATCTCTTACTGTGTTCATCGTGGCCCAGCTCATCCATTACAAGTAGCTGTATATGTTTCTGGGCACTGTAGGTCTTTACAGCAGGTAAGGGGTTAAATGGAGTAACAGATGATGTGGTAATTACTAATGGGATTGCAGAGTCATTAATATGCGTCCAGGGGAGTTAGGCAAAGATCGGCTCTGCCCAAACAAAAGAATGAGATGGGGGGGGCGGTTTACTGGGGAAACTGTTATCAAAAATAATAATAATTAATAAAAATGAATGTACAGCAAAACAAAGCATCTGAGGCCTCTTCAAGACCCTCCCCCCAAATTGTAATTAATTTCCATCTCTTGGACTCCCCAGAGACGACCCATCAGGTTGACCCTTGACCTTCCTGTCATGTTACTTTGAATAGACTCCTTCACTCCCCCTGCTCAGCTAGAAACCGCAAGGCTCTGGGGGCTACTAGCTATTCAGTACGGCCCCACCTGCTGCACTGCCAGCTTCACTTACACAGGCTGTGGTATTATCAAGTGTCTTCCACTCGTACACTGTGAGCTGCTCAATTACTTTTTCATTGCACTAGCGCTCTCCTTAAACCCTGACTGTCTAGAGGTGTCTTTCCTGCACTTTGTGTCTTTATCCATTCTTTTTGCTATTCTTGTAGTTACTGTAATGTACTTAAATTGTCTCCCTCTTTATTGTGTTCTTTTGTTTTCTGGTGAGCAGTGTTCTTGTATTAAACACAATTTATATAGCTATGATGTGTCTGATCTCACTGTGATTGCATCTTTAGAATATCCAAAGCCCCATGGGTTCCACTAAGTTGCACTTAATTAGAGAAATTGTCCTATCCAGGAAATGTGTGAATAATCCTTAAAGTGTACTTGTCATGAAACCCACAACTTGAATTACAATGAAAACTTGTGGCATTTGGTCTATAGATTGTGCTAGTAAATATTACATTTTCTTAAAAAGTGAAGTAACATATTGTTCTCTCCTCACAACTGTCAATCATTTCTTGACATAGGCTCCTCCTACATGCTGTTCTGCTCTTCATCACAGCAACTACGAAGTGCATGTGATGCACTGTAGTCCCTATGACTGTTCTACTGATAAACGCATCTTGCTAGAATAGTGTGCTGTGGGGAGGTCTGTTTAAGTAGATGGTGGACTGGACATAAGTGGGAACTGAGATTGGTGCTAAAAACAAAAGCTGCAAAGTAACAGAACCCATTTAGAGAAACACTGTAGCGTTTAGAATGCAAACCTGTATTCCTAACACTATAGTGCCCTAATTCCGGGCCCACAGTTTTTTGTGTAAAAACTTGTAACAAGAAAAGAAAAGGGGGTGGGGGTGGGGGAGGGTTGTTTGTTGTTCATCTTTTTCCAGCACCACACTCCTTTGGTTCTGCTCACCTCTCCTCCTCCAACAACAACATAGAGGAGGCATTGCTTCCTCACCGCTAGTCCAAGCATTCCTATGACATTCAGCATCACATGACCAAGTTTTACTAGGTCAGGGCCGGGGAATCGCTGTTTTTTTCAGTATGACCGTCACTTGTGATGTGTTTATATCTGCAATGTAAACATTGTAGTTTGTAAAAAAAAAAAAAAAACTGCAGTGTTTTGCAAGGTTAAAATGACTGAACCAGAGCTAGAGATCAGAGAGGAGTTTATAATCTAGTTCTCTTTACTTTTTTTAAAAATATACATTAAAATAAAAGTATGTTTTGAGATTGGCAGAGGTTAAGCAAAGTTCAGTTTCAGTTCCTAAGTTAATTTACCATCAAGGAAACGAATCCCAAAGTAGAACAAACTGCAAAAAAAAAATAAAAAAAATGGTGGCACGCAGATATTGAAAAGATAGGAAATATACATTAAAATAGAAAGGAGGGGGGGGCGGGGCCTGACCAGCAAGGCAGCCAGACGTGCTGAAAGTGAGCTCCTCACAAAAATCTTGTAATCCAAACCTTTACAGTGGGATTATTGCCCCCAAATGACCACCAAACAGTTCATTATCTGTTCCAGTATGCAGGGGAGCTTTCTTGTGCGAGTCTGGAGCCTTTATTATCGACCTGCGGCTCGAAATTAAATTTGGGCCTACAAGCTTGAGGCGGGCCTTGAGGAGGGGAAGCAGCCATTCTCCCTCCTGGACCTTCTGCAATTACTGAAGAGGTTGCCCCGTTCACCCCCCCCCTTAGGACCGGTGGGGGTTATCCCGGTCCCCACCAGGGAAAAAGCAACAGCGGACCTTGTGGCGATACAGCTAAAAGCTATTGGGACAGAGCACGACTGCATGGTGCTGTTAAAATGGCCGCCACAACAACCACACACTCAGCAAGCAGCTGGGAAGCCAAATTTACTGCTACCTTTGACGCGATCTGCGCAGCATTTTGGAGCCGACTGGAGGCCCGTCAAGCAGAACGGATACTCACCGTACCCTTGGTACCCGCGGTACCCCCTGGGCCAGGAGTCACAATGGGCGCGGTGCCCGTCCAGCAGCCACACAAGAGGGAAACTGCCTGTGGTATGGAGAATCCCCAGGACGTTAACCCTTTCAAGGGAGCTGGAGGGGCTGGTGGTTCCCAGGCACCGGCTCGTCGGCCGACCCGGGTTCGGCGGGCGGAGCGGATGATGGAACGCCGCTCGATTGATCCATACAAAAATACAGTTCTTCATGCACCCGAGGGCCTCTTGACACAGAGGGGATGCTGGAGCAGAAACACCAAGCAAACCATGGAGAAGTGCAGAATTGGCTCCCAGAAGAAGCCTGCTTGTGGCATCGGCTAAGTAGATGAACTGCCTTACCATAAGCAAATAATCTGCAAGTGCCCCACACTAGCCAAGAATGTTATTCTGTTTATTCTGTTTTGTTTTTTTTTGTCTGTGATTCCTGTCACATGCTTCTCAATTTGCCACAGGCATTTAGTTGTAACGACATTACATTAAAGAGTCCCAGTGGCCACCACACTAATTTTAACACCTTTCCCATAACAACCTGGTGGATCTTCTCATGTGTTTCTCCTCATGCGTTTTTAGTTAAAAATTCATATGAAGCCTGCAATATCCAAGTCTGTCATTAGTCATGTTTTTTCTATTACTTTACATACCATAAAATGTGAAAGTCTTTTCACATGTCAGGTGGCAACTATGCGACAGTAGCTACAGCGTTTACTTCCATTTGACATGTAATAGTAAGCTTGAATACGTAACTTAACTTGTGAGAAAAAAAAAAAGTGCAGTTATCAATTACATGCCATACTAATCTGTTTATTGAAATGTTTATGTCTGCCGTTGTGGCATAGCAAGCATGATTGTTAATCTTTTTGCACAACAAAAATAAAGAATTAAAAAAAAAAAAAAAAAAATAGAAAGGAGGATAGTATAATCATTAAAGGAACACTATAGGGTCAGTAACACAAACATGTATTCCTGACCCTGTAGTGTTAATAGTGTTAAAAACCTCATCTACCACCCCCCACCCCTCTCTTGCCTACCTAAATATAGTAATTCAAGTCTGCAGCTGCTGCCTCTGCCCATGTCTGACGCTGAGCTGTGGTGGTTTGAGCCAATCACAGTGCTTCCCCATAGGATTGGCTGAGACTGTGAAGGAGGCAGATCAGGGGCAGAGCCAGCAAAAAGTCAAACACAGCCCCGGCCAATCAGCATCTCCTCATAGAGATGAATTGAATCAAAGCATCTCCATGAGGCTGTTCAGTGTCTGCATGCAGAAGGTGGATACACTAAATGACAGTACTGCACAGTGTGCAGCACTGCCACAGGAAGCACCTCTAGTAGCAATATGAGGAGTGGCCAGTGGAGTTATCCCTAGGCTGTAATGTAAACACTGTGTTTTCTCTGAAAAGACAGTGTTTACTGCAAAAAGCCTGAAGGGAAGGATTCTACTCACCAGAACAAATGCAATACGCTGTAGTTGTTCTGGTGACTATAGTGTCCCTTTTAAGATACTGAGGGCACAAGGAAAGGGAAAAGAAACATTACTGTGTTTCTTCAAAGCGACACTGTCATCTTCTGGGGACAGGATTTGCAAAACTCAGCAAATCTCTTGATTCTATCTTTATGAAATACTAATGTTTCAGAGGGGTGACAGTGGCACTTTAGTTTAGTGTAAAGCATATGCATATGAACAATGAAGGTGTTAGGCAGGTTGGGAAAATACTATCCCTTAAATCAGTTGTATATATTGAGATATATATATATATATATATATATATATATATATATATATATATATACTGTATCTTTATGATAATATATATGTGCCATGTTTAAAGAGATGTTAAATCATAAAGTGTATCTGTCATGACATGTTCAATTTAAAAGCCTGGAACAAAATATCAGGAACTTGAACGAGTCAGAATTGTTTTACATTATGAGTTCAATAACATTATTTAATTTTGACCATTAAAGCTGGAGATCTAATAGTGATAGGAGTTGTAATCCTCTATTATTTGACACAGAATATGTTGCTCCCCATTGATATGAACATGGAACCGGTCTCCCATTCAGTGATTTATTCTTAGGAACATTTGCATTGTTTATGTGTTTGTGGATAGAAAGCAATATAATCATCTTCTCTTTAATGTTTGCAGATTAAAGTACTCTCTATATTTTTTTATTCCTTCGTTTATATCTTTATTTTGTTTTCTTCTTTTTCTTGCTTTGATGGGTGGATTAAGTGAGAAATAATTGCCCGTTTTATGCCATCGTCATTTTAACGTGATCATTTTCTTTTTTTTTTCTTTTTTTTTTTAGCTGGTGAATTCTATAGCCAAGACCTACGTGGGAACAAATGCTTACATGGCTGTAAGTCTTAAACACCTTATAACCTTTGGTTATAGGAGTACCATTGCTTTTCTGATCTTCACAACACAATAGATGTTTATTGTGCAACACATATTGAATGGTTTTTGTGCTCAAATATTTTTTGGTCACTAAAAGTAAGATTCCTTCCTGACTATGACAACACTGACGTGCTGATAAGTAATTGCAAAGATGTATTTCAGACATCAGTGCTTTGTGTCTGAACCAATTCAATTAATGGTGAGATACAGTAGAAGCTTTTTGACAATTTGTGAGAAGAGTATGGACAGCTAATGCCTTTTGTGACTATCATTTGAATCACCTAAACATATACTGTCTCCTTTCTAGGAGCTGGCACTACCCTATTATCTGCTGCTCATAGCCTATTTATGAACAAAAGACTGGGCACAGTATCATGAATTAACCTGCATCGGACCATAGTCCTGATTCTGTGCCGAATCCTTTCTTTCTGTTGGAATCACTAAGGCAGGATACCCTGGACTGGTAGCACTTGGGGGGTCCTTAAATTCAGTGCCCTCTCATACTTGTGTTTATGTTTTGTGTGAGTTAGACCAACTTAGCAGTGCAAGTCATTCCTTTGCCTGTATCTTACCAAATTGTGTGACCGAGCACAAGGAGAGTTTTGGCACTTGTTAATAAGAATTGTATTAGAATTACATTTAATATGAAATTATGCATCCCACATATTTAAAAATGATATATATACAAGTTTGATGTGCTTCAGTGTTTTACCTATGTACTTTATTATTCTGGAGTCTGCAAGAAATATATAATATAGAGTCACCTTTGGCCTTAAATGCATTTTGTGTGATACCAGAGGCTCCCGTTTTATTTACCGATTGTCATATGTTTCCAAGAATCTTTAACACAGAAAGGGTTAAATGTTCCACTTATATGAAAGACTTGCATTTAGGTAGTAATTAAATTGAGATTCCCTTTGATGGTTTGATCGTAGATTATCTTGGATGATCCTAGGTGTACATTAAATGGATTGACAGATGAAGGGGTACCTCCATCTGGTAATTGGAATAGGGGATTAAATTCAGGAGACAGGACAATTGCTATATGCTTTGCTTTAGAAATAAATTCACCTTTTGTTTAACAATTTTCTAGCTAAAAACTGTTCTGCGGAAGGCAACTACATTCTTTGTATCAATATTCTTTTGTGTGCAGTTACTAAATGAGTTTATTACAGGGTGTGAGGTCACCCTAACTCAGGAAAAATCTCCCCCGCCAGGCACACGTAGAAGGGAACAGTGAGAATACAATCACTTTAAGGTCTGGACTGTGACTTTTATTTACAGTTCCTTCCCCTACCAAGCACTGACCTGGATAAGCACACAAAACACACTCATCTGGCACTAATTTCTGAGTTTGTTTTCTTGTATAGGGGCCCTAGGGTTATACAACGATAAGAGAAGGTGTAAGGCAGTCAGGTGCATTAAGGGTGCTGTGTTAAACTGTGCCAAGGGAATGCTGCTATACTGCACTCTTGATCTCACTATCTTAACACAGCTAAACACGTTCAAACCAATACTTTGTACATATACAAGTCTGGAGCCACTACACCCACCTGTATAGTTAGTAGACGCAAAAAAAGCTGACCACACGTTTGGGAAATTTAGGACAAAATAGCTGAATTTGGAAGAGAGAAAAAAACATATATCTCTGAGATAGCTGTGAAGTGAAGTGGTATATGTTAGCTGAGGCTGGGTAACTAGTTGGGTAACCATACCATCTAGATCTCAGAACATAGCTGGAAACTAGCAGGAAGCTAAATGTACATTTCCTGGCAGCAATACATTTATAATTTTGAGTATGTTCAGGCACTTTATATTAATAAACCAAAACAGAGAGACTACTGACAGCAGGTCAAATCAGTGAGCCCCCCATTTAGTTTTCAATATAGTTTTAGCTCAGCTTGTTCCATTACAATGAGAACCTAAACAATTTGCTTATCAGACAGATCCCACCCTAAAGTGTAGTCTAGTGGGTGGCCAGATGTCAGGGCTTTGCTGGACCTGGGGTATGTTTCTATAAGGATAATGAAACCTTAGAGAGGGTTCAGAGAAGGGCTACTAAACTGGTTCATGGATTGCGGGATAAAACTTACCAGGGAAGGTTAAAGGATCTTAACATGTATAGCTTGGAGGAAAGACGAGACAGGGAGGATATGATAGAAACATTTAAATATATAAAGGGAATCAACACAGTAAAGGAGGAGACTATATTTAAAAGAAGAAAAACTACCGCAACAAGAGGACATAGCCTTAAATTAGAGGGACAAAGGTTTAAAAATAATATCAGGAAGTATTACTTTACTGAGAGGGTAGTGGATACATGGAATACCCTTCCAGCTGAAGTGGTAGAGGTTAACACAGTAAAGGAGTTTAAGCATGCGTGGGATAGGCATAAGGCTATCCTAACTATAAGATAAGGCCAGGGACTAATGAAAGTATTTAGAAAATTGGGCAGACTAGATGGGCCAAATGGTTCTTATCTGCCGTCACATTCTATGTTTCTATGTATCCGTGTGCCAGTGGTAACTCCATGTTTCTTCTCTTATGTTTCTTCCTTTTTCCCTTAACTGTTTTCCTTTTCTTTCTTCTTTATTTTCCCTGCCCTTCTCCCTCTTTTCTTCCCTTCCATCCCTTAATTATTTTAGTACTTTTCTGCTGGGTCTCTCTTATAATCCAGAAATGATTTATTTTTCTTTTGCATTCTTCATTCATTGGATTCCTATAATTGGTGCACTGGTCATTTGAATCTAGAGGTTAAAGGATCACTATAGTATCAGGAAAATAAACTAGTTTTCCTGACACTATATAATCCTTAGGTGTCCCCCCCCCCCTGCTTGGCTGAAGGGGTTAAAACACCTTCACCCACTTACCTTTATCCAGCGCCAGGCTCCCTCGGCGCTGGTGACCTCTTTTCCCCCTCCGACGTCAGCTCCCGAGCGGCCAGAGCCCATAAACGCCCATAGGAAAGCATTACTCAATGAGGATATGCTGATTGGCCTAGGTGACATTTGGCTCCACCTGTGACGCGTCTCATTGGCTGAGATCATCAAAATTTAGTAAAGTAGACAGTGCGTTGTAGGTGGGAGGCTTGAGTGAAGCAGTGAGGCAACCTACATTCAGCTTGAGTTCGTGGTCTACCATTAAGATGTTTGCAAAGAGGTATTGGATTAAAGATAGTCTAAATAATGAGCGAAATTTAAGGAATGCAGATGCAGGGAAGAGGTTATTGAGGTGTGAGTGGAAGTTACCAAGAATAATCAAAGGGAAATACAAAGGGAAAAAAGTCAGTCCTTTGTGTAAATCTGAAAGAGAGAGGAAGTGTGAATTTCAAAGAATATGAAGATATATATGAACCGTAATTTTGGTATGGAGCAGAAGTCCAAAAGGAAGACAAGTGGTCCAAATATGTACATATGTAGTTCAGGAAAGGGTTGATGTGAATGTAAGAGAAGTAGTTATTGCTCTGTATACACAGAATATTCATGCCTTTTATGAAAATACAGTAATTATAGAGATGTGACTTAGTATGAAGGAGATGTTGTAAACCTTAAGTTCCAGAGACTGAAGAACCTGTGCTAGATGAGGGCAGGTAACCGGTTGGTAAGAGGTTATTCTTATTTTTAGACATATTCGTTTTGTTCTTGGGGAACGTACAAACAAATTATATCCTTTATCCCTGCAACTGCCATCAACCCACCATGAGCAAGCATTCAGAGAGGTCTATGCCAAAGAGGCACACACTTTGCTTCTGCTGACACCATTGTCACCAATGACAACTGATGTGTGTCAGAAAAACGTCACGAGCAATGTTTCGTCTAACCAACACCTCTTGGGACGACCTAAATACTAATTGTAGTCTGGCAGCTGGTCAACCTCATTAACTGCAGTCTCCTGAGAAATATCCAGTGGGCCAGTCCAGACCTAGAGATCATTGAGTTTGTGGGCACCTAGCCCCTAGCAAATCCACCTACAGCTGCACTAGCATTAAGACTAGGCATTGCAACTGTTAAAGAATAGAATTCCTTAATGTTCACTCAGCCAGTCCTAATCTAGAAATATTGGAAAAAGAACGTATGTTTTTTTATTTTTGCAAAGAGGAGTTTTAGCAGTCTCTGGATGTCTGCAACTGCAGTATCCTGACTGATTCAATTAAACAATATTTACATGTAAATACAAGTGTTCAGAAAATATGATTTAATAAATTCAGCATTAAAGGCCTGCAGACTATTATAGCAAATAATGAGTTGCACTTTCGGAGAATCTGTTGTATCTTTACTTGACATCATGTGTTATAATTTTTTTTTATAAAATACAATAAAAAATGAATGTTTTCGTATTTATTCATTTTTTATTTTTTTTTTGCTTGCAGCCAGAAAGAATTGCTGGGGAACAATATGGAATTCACTCCGATGTCTGGAGCTTGGGAATCTCATTTATGGAGGTGAGAAACATTATTGTGCAATAAATTCTTTAAACCAATGCAAGCACACATTTCAATGTGCACGTGTTTCAGTGCAAACAATGTTCAATGCATTAAGTTGTGACCACAAGATTGTGGAGAGTTTGCTTTAGTTCATTTTGTATTTATTCTGCAAACATAGTTAAAGGTAGACTATAGCATTAGGAATACAAACATTTATTCCTAACACTGTAGTTGTTTACTACCTATTTTTGTGTCCTTTCTGCTGTGTGCGTTTAAAAGGTGAGATTTACTTACCTTTCAGCCCTTCCCGCACCAGTCTCCGTCCTCTTTGTGAATAGCAGATTTAGCTCAACTATTGGGATGGAAGTGCCTCTAGTAGCTGTCAGCGTTACAGCCTCTAGATGCATGGTAATTCTGCAATGTAAACACTGCCATTCCTGCAGAACAGCAATATTTTAAGTTGCAGGGTCGAAACTACAGGGACATGTTATCCAGTTGGGGTGGTCTGTGTGTCTATAGAGTCCCTTTAAACTGGCACTATAAGGACTACATGTGATATAGACCGAATAGGGTATATGTGAACTAGACAGAATAGAACAATGATTTAAAAGTGTGAGGAATTTTCTTTTGTCTCAACTACTGGAATCAATATTTCAGATATCCAATATGTACCTATTATAGCCATTACATCCGATATTTGTCAAGGGATTAGGATGACTCAACATGCGTCATCTTAATACACAGAAATACAGTAAATACAGTGAGGGGGGAAAGTATTTGATCTCCTGCTGATTTTGAACGTTTGTCCACTGACAAAAAGAAACGATCAGTCTATAATTTTAATGGTAGGTGTATTTTAACAGTAAGAGACAGAATAACAAAAACAGAAATCCAGAAAAACGCATGTCGAAAAAGTTATAAATTGATTTGCATTTCAACGAGTGAAATAAGTATTTGATCCCTTCGATTTAGTACTTGGTAGCAAAACCCTTGTTGGCAGTCACAGAAGTCAGATGTTTCTTGTAGTTGGCCACCAGTTTTGCACACATCTCAGGAGGGATTTTGTCCCACTCCTCTTTGCAGATCCTCTCCAGGTCATTAAGGTTTCGAGGCTGACGTTTGGCAACTCGAACCTTCAGCTCCCTCTACAGATTTTCTATGGGATTTAGGTCTGGAGACTGGCTAGGCCACTCTAAGACCTAAATGTGCTTCTTCTTGAGCCACTCCTTTGTTGCCTTGGCTGTGTGTTTTGAGTCATTGTCATGCTGGAATACCCATCCACGGCCCATTTTCAATGCCCTGGCTGAGGGAACAAGGTTCTCACCCAAGACTTGAAGGTATATGGCCCCATCCATTGTCCCTTTGATGCGGTGCAGTTGTCATGTCTCCTTAGCAGAAGAATACCCCAAAAGCATAATGTTTCCTCCTCCATGTTTGACGGTGACGATGGTGTTCTTGGGGTCATAGGCAGCATTCCTCCTCCTCCAAACACGGACAAGTGAGTTGATGCCAAAGAGCTTGATTTTGGTCTTATCTGACCACAACACTTTCACCAAGTTCTCCTTTGAATTATTCAGATGTTCATTGGCAAACTTCAGATGGGCCTGTAAATGTGTTTTTTTTTTTTTTTTAGAAGGGGGACCTTGTGGGCGCTGCAGGATTTCACGGCGATGTGTGTTATCAATTGTTTTCTTGGTGACTATGGCCCAGCTGCCTTGAGATAATTAACAAGACCCTCCTATGTAGTTCTGGGCTGATTCCTCACTGTTCTCATGATCATTAAAAAACTCCATGAGGTGAGACCTTGCAAGGAGCATCAGACCAAGGGTGACAGTTATTTTGTGTTTCTTCCATTTGCGAATAATTGCACCAACTGTTATCACCTTCTCACCAAGCTGCTTGGCGATGATCTTGTAGCCCATTCCAGCCTTGTGTAGGTCTACAATCTTGTCCCTGACATCTTTAGACAGCGCCTTGGCCATGGTGGAGAGTTTGGAATCTGATTGGTTACTTCTGTGGACAGGTGTTTTTATACAGGTAACGAGCTAAGATTAGGAGCACTCCCTTTAAGAGAGTGCTCCTAATCTCAGCTCGTTACCTGTATAAAAGACACCTGGGAGCTAGAAATCTTGCTGATTTGATAGGGGATCAAATACATATTTTACTCCTTGACATACATATCAATTTATAACTTTTTTGACATGCGTTTTTCTAGATTTGTTTGTTGTTATTCTGTCTCTCACTGTTAAAATACACCTACCATTAAAATTATAGACTGATCATTACTTTGTCAGTGGATCAAATACTTTTTTCCCTCACTGTAAGCATATTATCAGTCTTCACAATATCTGGATTTAATGTGATTCCTGGACTGGTCTGAATGACAGAGTGCTGAAGAGAAGCAGGCCAAGGACAAAGAAGCATAGAATTCACAGAATTGATGATGCCAAGCCGGGTCAAAGATGTTGGGAACGGGATAATCAAAAAAGAGCTAAAGCAAATAGCAGGGAATCGAACGAAGGCAGAAGTACATATTATTGGAATCACAAATAAAATTACAACAGGGCTCTAACTCATGGTTGTATCATTTCACCTTGCCCAAAACATATATGGATGTTGGACTATTGACTTCTAAGACAGGACACAGGGAGAATGACACACGTACTGATACAAGTTGCTTACACCAGCTTCAGAAATGACACAGGAATGACTGGTTTAGGAGACACCATGCAAGCAGCCACAGCTAACCTTACAATCATGAATGCAGATGCCAAGTTTATAGATAATGAAAGTCCTCACAATTATACCCCAGGATATGTTTTATATTTTAACAAATGAGAAAAGTACTAAAAACATTATTTTTGCCTGTGAGAAAAATGAGAGGCAATTACAGTGTATCTTTCTTAGTTAAACAATTTCAAATTATTCCTTATTTTTATATATATATATATATATATATATATATATTTTATTTTATTTTTCTTTGGGGAGTGCAGTGTTAAATACATGCTCAAAATATGACAGGCATTTAACATGAAGTATTATCAGAAAAATATGCTTAAAGGGTCACTATAGGGTCAGGAACACAAACATGTATTCCTGACCCTATAGTGTTAACACCACCATCTAGCCCCCCCTGGGCCCCTCATGCCTCCATTAATATAGTAAAAATCTTACTGTATTCAAGCCAGAAGCTGTAGATCTGCATGCTGTTAGACTCAGAAAAACAAGCAGTCTGCTGACTTCATCAGAAGTGGTCTGATCCAATCACAGTGCTTCCCCATAGGATTGGCTGAGACTGACAAAGAGGCAGATCAGGGGCAGAGCCAGCATGATTCAAACACAGCCCTGGCCATTCAGCATCTCCTCATAGAGATGAATTGAATCAATGAATCTCTATGAGGAAAGTTCAGTGTCTGCATGCAGAGGGAGGAGATACTGAATCACAGGATGCTGTGCACAGTACTGCCCTGAGCTCTGCTGACAGCAGATCTGAGTGTATGGAGGCATATTATGCCTCCATCAACTCCGAAGTCCCTCTGGTTCACTCTGAGACTGCAACTGGAGGTGTTCCTAGCTTTCAATGTAAACACTATATTTTCTTTAAAAATACAGTGTTTACATGAGAAAGGCTTCAGGGAGCTATAGTTCTCACCTGAACAACCTCATTAAGCTGAAGTTGTTCAGGTGACTATAGTGTCCCTTTAAAAGGTCAAGATGTGCTGCGCCTTTTTTTTTTTTTTTTGATGTACAGTACAATCAATATTACAGATACAATACATGGCATGTCATGAGTGGTGCACATTTGACAAAAACTGAAAACCGTAAAACAAGATAAACTAAACTAGGTATACATGTCTTCAATTGGTAAACAAGCTTGGTGTGCATGGATGAACAGGGAGATAGTAATAATACTACATCAACCATGCATAGCTCAGGTGACGTGTAGAACAAGCTGATAAGGCAAGATTCTTATTCTATAAGCATAAGATAAGTTAGCTACTTGATGATTAACTGTTGAATACTGTCATCCTATGGTAACCATGACCCTGCTTGCAGAGTACAGGAGCACAGACAACCTAGGAGCTATGGATCCACTGGGTGTACATTATAAAAAGAGCAGAAAACATAAAGCAAAGAAACTCAAAACAACAGAAAGCCCTGCACTATTAAACAGGATGGTGTAAAGAGTTCGGTCGGAATGGGATCACCCAATACCACAAGCATCCCTCAGGCAGTCCATTTTTGCACCTACTTTAAGGTCACCTCTCTCTCACATAGACCCCCAGTCACAGCTATGTTTCGTGCCGATGGTCTGTGGGAGGTTTGCAGGCTTCATCTCTCTGTGGCTTAACCTGAAGGGGAACCAGAAGTGTACTCTTAGGAGTCCACTCAGTGTGATCCTGGGTCCCAGGGCTATGCGGTTTTTGGGGAGACTTCTGGCTGCTTGAGTGGCTAGGTGGACGCACCTCTGTGCTGTAGGCGCCTCCAGAAAGCTTGGCAAATTTGCTTAAAACGGATTTCGAAGTGCAGTCTCCATTGCTGGAGCTCTGGCCCTTCTATAGTTTGCTGAGAGTGCAGCGTGGCGGCCATCTTAGGCGCATTGGGCTACTCGCCGCTCGGCAAGAAATTCCCTTTTTGCAGGTGAGTGTGATTCCCCACCGGGGACCAGGATATCTCCTCCACCAGTTCAGCGGGGGGATAGCGGGAGAACAAGAGAGCTGCTGCGCGGTGCGGACCCCGCGTCGGGAGATCGGCTGCCTCCCCCAACAACCCGGCCACTTTCCGTGCTAGACCTCAAAGGCAGGCCGCGGCAATAATAGCTGCTTGTGTGGCACCAAAAAGATCAGCGTCACTTTGCCTGTCTTCTGGTGGCCCGTTTTTAGCTTTTCAGGGCTTGTTGTGCTGTTTTTTTCTCTGTATTTATAATGCAGAGCAGGAGCTGTGCCTACAAATGTCTGCTCAGCTCATCGTTCAGACCCCGCCCCCCCACCCATATGATTCTTAACAGCAGGAAGATTTTTACATGTAAATGTGCTTGTAGTACATAATAGCCTTTTGTGATCACAATGTTGACTACAAATGTCAACCACTGTGTTCATTTATATCTTCCATTAACAGTGACTATATAGGAAAAAACTAAAAATGCAATACAGCCGTCTTAAAATAGGCCAATAGTTTGCTTTGAACAGCACATACAGAATCACTTTGATATAGCTTTGTAAGACCAGCAGCCAATAGATATTTTATTTATTTATGAGCTTACACATTGGTTTTGTCTGCATAACAGTCCTCTTCTGGCTTGCTAATTTTGCCTCGTTCACTTGAAACAATTAAAAAATATAGTGAAAGATAATGATGTTTTCTGCCAGTGATCTAGGCCATACCAGAAGCACAATTAGAGGATCTTGCTTTTGCAAACTTTACCTCTCTGCATCTTCTGCATGCTACCTGGTTTTGTTAATTCTCCCTGTTGGTCTTTTACTGCGAAAAGTTTTCATACGCCATCTAGTCAGCTACCTCCTTCAGTACTGTTTGCAGAAAACCTACCATGGCTCAACTGACCACTTCAGTTTAACTTTTTCTGAGACAAACTATTATGACATCATTGCTTTCTCCTTCCTTTGTTCTGTTTCCCACTAGTGTACACCTGTCATCCTGATATAATCTTGTGCTTTTGATGTTCACAATTGTCTAATCCTGTCTGATATTTCTGTGTATTGCATTGGCAATTGTCTATTAATTAAAAGGACACAATAGTCACCAAAACAACTTTAGCTTGATAAAGCAGTTTTGGTGTATAGATCATGCTTCTGAAGTGTAACTGCTTAATTTTCTGCCACTTAGGAGTTAAATTACTTTCTGCTTATGTTTATGCTGCCCTTGCCACACCTCTCCTTACTGTGACTGACACAGCTTACATGAAAGCAAAATGGTTTAATTTTTCAATCAGATGTAACTTATTTAAAAAAAACAAAAAAAAAACTTTTATCTTCTGCTCTGCAAATTGAACTTTAATTACAACAGCAAGCTATTAACAGAGCAGGAGACATGACATTCTAAATTAAACATTAGTTGCAATAAAGGATGTGTAAACATTAGATCTCTCTTTACAGGAAGTGTTTAGGAAAGCTGTGCAAGTCACACGCATAGAGGCGTGCCTAGGGCTGCATAAACAAAGTGATTTAACTCCTAAATGGCAGGGAATTGCGCAGTAAGACTGCAGGGGCATCATCTAAACAACAAAACTACTTAATTAAGCTAAAGTTGTTTTGGAGACTCTAATGTCCCTTAAATATATATATGCATATATGTGCACTCCGACATCTCCTTAAAGTACTTGTGATTTAATATGTTATAAAAATCACATTTACATAAATGTGGACGATCAAATACACACGCGCGCACGCGTGTGTGTGTGTGTGTGTGTGTGTGTGTGTGTGTGTGTGTGTGTGTGTATATAATTTATTTATTTATTTATTTTTTTAAAGTAAGGAAGTCAGGCACTCTACCTGTGAAAATTTGTTGAGATGAACCTCGGTGCTGCACAGCGTGGATAAATACGAGATGTTGAAAAGAGCACTCCAGAGGATTTGTTTAATGAGCTTTATATGTGATTTAAAATGATCAACGTTTCGACCCAAGAGGTCTTTGTCAAGATGTGAGTACAAGTGAGTAAATTATATATATATATATATATATATATATATATATATATATATATATATATATATATATATATATATATATATATATATATATATATATATAGCATAAATTGTAAAAATAGTCACTTACCCAGTGCAGGTGTGACCCCAAGATCCCTGAGTGAACGCTGTGCACGTGTGACGTCGTCATACCGTGAATGATAGGTCGGGAAGGCGTCTGGTTGGCATAGTGACGCGGTATTAGAAAATAAGTGTATGTGAAGTGTGCATTTCAATCAGAGTAAAATATCAATAAAATGAGCAAGGAGGAAATACAGAAAGAGTGTACAAATGGTATATACACAACTGATCTGTCAGATTGTAAAAAAAAAAAAATATTAAGTGGAAAGCCCAAACCAATTGAATAACGAATGAGTGATTGAAAGGGGATGTGATCGTGAGTGACTATTTTTACAATTTATGCCATATATATATATATATATATATATATACTCAGTTGTACTCACATCTTGACTAAGACCTCTTGGGTCGAAACGTTGATCATTTTGAATCACATATAAAGCTCGTTAAACAAATCCTCTGGAGTGCTCTTTTCAACATCTCGTGTGTGTGTGTGTGTGTGTGTGTGTGTGTGTATATATATATATATATATATATATACACACACACACACACACACACACACACACACACACACACACACACCAGCATTAATTCTTTTCAGGAATTTGAGCTACAGTCGCTCTTCTGTGATCGTACAAGACTGGCTAGCCACGTGCATCAGTGAACTTTGGACACCCATGACTCTGATGCCGGTTCATTGGTTGTCCTTTCTTGCACCACTTTTGGTAGGTACTAACCTCTGTATACCCCACAAGACTCGCCATTTTGGAGATGTTCTGACCCTTCACTGTGAACCCTTATCAAAGTCACTAATGTCTCTTCGCTTGTCCATTTCATTTGTTTCCAACCCAAGAAATTCAAGAACTGACTGTTCACTTGCTGCCTAATGTATCTTGACTGGTGCCAATGTAACGATATAATCCGTGTTATACACTTCACCCGCCAGTGTTTAAATGTTGTGGCTGATTAGTGTATGTATTTTTTTTAAGTGTGTGTATCTATACTGATATAATGTATATTTTCTTAAAAGGCAAGTCAGGCCCAAATATAAGTACAGTGATAAACATTTAAATTTATTTTTTACCGAATTGTGGATTTCAACATTTTAAACCAAAGTAACCAAACCGAAAACATTTTTCACATTTGCCTATTTTAACCTTAAATTTTTAATTCTCTTTACATTTCTGAGAATTCATTCTTCAGTGATTTGGAGTGGTAATGGTGCCTGGAGTCTGTATGTGCAGCAATTCGCTTTGAAAAAAAGTGTAACTCCTCCTCCGGCACTGCCATAGGGGTGCCATTCACAAACTAATTTTCATTGCACAGAATGACAGCCATTGGCTGATATGATAGGGGTCAACTGAAGCTCTCTTGTCACTGGGCAACCAGCAAGCATTGGAGCTTGGGGGGATCCAGGTTAAGGGGACAAAGTGTTGTTAAACAGCAAACACCAGTACTGGGGGAACAGAGCCAGTGTACTCCTGGCTTCATAACCACTAAAGAATGTTGTTGTGTTTATAATGCTTGGAGTAACTTTTAATGAATAACTTGTTGAAGTATTATTCATTAGTCTTGGAAATTTCTTACAAATGTAAAGCCAAATAGCCAAACTGGAAATAAATTTTAAAAATTTAAATATCATTGATTCCTCTCTGATAGTTCCCAGCTTGGCTATTGTCACCTAAAATTTGCTGTTCACTTTACAGCTCTTTTTAAGTTGGAGTTGGAGATTTTTATTTTTTTATTTAATTTTTTATAAAGCTGCTGTTTTGACATAATTTAGCAACTTGGTTATCAGTCAGAAATCACAGCAGTTCTACCATTATCTTCAGCACTTTACCAGTAGCTTGAGACCCGTCTCCGACCCATGTTTACATATTAATACAATCGCGAATACATCCTACTGGGCAGCTTTCTTCATCTTACAAGGGTCTGACTATATTTTTTACAACTTGACTATTTTGGTCTAAAGTTTATAATTCCCTTGGCAAGTCTCCACAATTCATGATTTAGCAAATAAATTCCTTGGTAAACCTTCCAAATGATGGAAAAAGAAGCAAGTTAACGTACTTTCACTACAGTGCTAACAGCAGCATGACTTATTTATCTATTAAGGCTATTATTTAGATTTTGAGGGAGTGTGGTTTATACCACTAGTATTAGTACTTAGATGAACTTAAATATAAAACCTGACCGTATACCCTGTGTTGGTTCAGCATAGCTCTCTAGATTTAGACTAGTCTGCAGTCAATATGCCTACCTATGCGGGAACTTGTAAAGCTGTGTAGTTCAGGTCTCTGTGTGTCTTTGTTCTTGTACTCTATGTCCAATGTCTGCATATAGGACATCTTCCCAGCAATAATTATTTGAACAAATCAGCTTATCAAGATCTAAATTCAAATATTATAATCTTGCAAACTACACGGTTAATAGGAAAACGACTCTTTATTTAAACTATTCCATAGATCCTGCACAGAGTATTGAATATAATACAACAGCGTCAAATCGCCAATAGACTTGCGAGAGCCATGGGGCTGAATGACACTTGCTGACCTGGCTGGGTGTAGAATTGGGGGCAATTCAGGACTACAATTAACTAGCAGCACCTCTGGCTGTGAATTAATAGTTGCTCGAACAATATTTCCCTCCCCCTCTGTCACCAATGCAGGGAAAGTGGTGAGTGCCTTGCGGAGGGCTATCCATCACTCACTGACCAGAACTTCCGTAATTAGTGCATGTTATGGGCTTGTGCTCCAGCGATTCAGAAGCTGGCACTCCAGTCGCAGCCAAACTTCTTTGGAGTAAAACTCGCAGATGATTTATCCAGCGGCTGTGCAGGGACATGGAGCAGGGGGTGGCAAGACGGCTGTGAAGTGTAAGCGAAGGTTCGCTCAGGCCCGGCTGGGACTTCCATGCATCAAACTCAGGCAGCCAATGCACACACAGCTTGTGCGAGAGCAGAAAGATAAATAAGGCAATTACTGCAGCAGCATTTGGTACAAATCGAAAGGGAGCTAAACTGGGTCCAGCAGGCTGGGGAGAAGGGAAGCAGGGCTTTTAAACAAGAACTGTGCAATCTTAAGGCATGGTGAGCCGCAGACTGGTGGCACTACGGATTCACACAGCAGCATGTACACGAATGTTAGACCTGAGTGTCTTGAATCACCTACACATATGTAGAATAACCAGTGACATGTTTCTCTAAACCCTAACCTTATTCTTATCACTTTGTAATTATTCTCACTGTGCTTTGCTGGCAACTTGATTCTCCCCTCTATACCATGTGCACAGCCATTTGTTTATTCTGTATTGTACTTTAACAATATAACCTCTGTATTTTGCCTTGGGTGCCAAGTTTGCCTTTCTTTTGATATCTTCCCTGTTTCCATATGTGTCTCCTATCCAGGGTTGCAGAACATGTTGGCACTTTATAAATAACAATAATAATAATTTGTGTCTCTCACTTGGGATTTTACCATGCCCATCTCCGTATTATACATTTGATATACTCCACCCACCACTCTGTGCCCGCTGTCACCTGTACTCTCTGTTGTATGCCTTTGATGTGGCCTGATTCAGGTCAGGTCTCTGTCTTTTCAATCAGTCTATGTTCCTGACTCGACTGACCCTCCACAGGGGTCATAGCCTGTGCAAACTGCCAGCTATTAGTGTTATACATTAAACATGGAGCTTCCTTGCTCCCCTCTCTATGTGCTCGCTTTGTTCCAAACCCCAAGACACATTCTGCTCCAGCAGCCAGTACACATCAGATTACATTCATTTGTAATTCCTTCACTTGCACTCTCGGCCTCATTCACAGTTACTATACTGGTGCCTTCCTGCAATCATTCAATATCCGTGCTAGTTGCAGAATCTGGAATACGTTCAAAACTGTTCATTTATCCCGTAGATTCTGCGACTTAACCCCCTCATTGCCTATAAGCTCCAGTTTGCAAAATAAATTAATAAATTGTGTACATTTGTGATCATGCGATGAGCTGTAATTTAGTATTATTATTGTTAGAATTGAAACTCTGGCATATTTAGATACTGTGATATGACATCTAGGTCAAAGGATGTTTATCTTTACGCATTTGAACCAGTAGAGGTAATTAAGAAAATTCATGCAGCTCATTCTCAAATTGCTCTTATCATTTTTTTATTTTCATTTTCTTAACTCATTCTCAGTTATCAGCAAACTGTTCCCCATCCCTTATTTGTTTTCTGCCTGACTCTTAAAGCATACTGGCAGAACGGAGAGGGCCATAAAGGCTTCATTAAATTTAATATACATTTTGTACAGTGAAATATCTGCAGGCTAAGTCTGGAGAACATTATATGCTGCTCTTCACACAGCTCCATTTCTTAATACCTTTGCAATTATGGCTCCAGATTAATAAGAACAACTAATGTAATGTAAATAGAAAGAGGTGAGGACGCAGAGCAGCCAAGGCTTCACGCTGTGCAGTTGTGCTAATATGGAGGAACAGTCCCTTCGATGGCTGAAATGAAAGAAATGTCAGAACCATGTTTACAGATACAACTGTGATGGACATCATTGAAGTTCAACAGTAGCAGTAGGGCCATTTTGGCTGGCTGAGCATTTTAGGATTTGTCATTTGAAAGGCGGAACGGACTTCTGCTGGGCAGGTAAATGCAATAAAACAGAAACATTGAATTTTAGCTAGTGTACGTTAACCCTTTATACACTTCATAATTCCAAGATATTTTGGGACACCTGTGAAAACCCAATTTTCCCATTAAACAGTAAACAGAAACATGGTCAAACATGTTACAATTTGTCCTAAATTTTACTGTCTGTATTTAGGAGACACTTGGGGAAGTGTGTTTTACTCTTACTTTATTATACTCTTCTCCATCAATACATCTGATTCTGCAGTGCTGTACAACAAAACCGATTTTATACAATGTTCAACTTTAACTTACATGGAACAACACTACATGGGAAACCTACTAGTTTAGAAGTACAGAGTGCCCTGCAGTACATGGTTAAGGTGGGGACAAATGAGACTTTTTAAAGGGTTACTCGAAATATAATTTATATTGATTTGAAGTGGTCGTGGTGCTTGGAGTCTGTATAACTCCCCCTTTGGCAGCGTCATTAGCTAGCCTACTGCCCCCCGCCCCACCAGCAAGGGTACCTGCGATCAAATACACTGTTTTAAAGGCACACTGTATTTGGTTGCAGTAACACCTTAAAGGACCACTGAAATCAACCAGAACACTTCATCTCAATGAAGTGGTCTTGGTGGTGTGGTCCTGCAATTTTAAGAATCTTAAGCCTAAATTTCATGACAGCCACAAGAGGCGCTTCTGCATTGAGATCAGAGTCAAATTTGGTTCTCATTCAAATACTGTTTATAGAGCATCATTTGATTGTCACAGAGTGGCATTTTGATGTGCATGCCCACTAGCCTCTCAATGTATTTACTGCGCTCTCCAATCTTGAGGATATCATCCAAGTAGGCAGTGCAGAAGGACAAAAACTGGTGTGAAAGGGCTGGAAATCTTGCCTATCAAACAAGACATGAGGGGGAACCTAAACAGGTAGATTAAAATTATATAGCGTTACAAATACATATTTGCATTTAGTGTAAAAAGCATATGGGAAGGTGATGGGCTTTTCTGTTTTCAGCAAACATTTAAACCTGTGAAATGTGAAGAAGAGTCTGACAGAATGAATCCCAGAGATTAGGTGTAGCTGAGGAATAGTAATGTCAACCCCAAAAAGTTTTATGGAGGCTCTTATGGTACGTCCATAAAATACTTTAGAGATCGTCTGTTAGCCATAATTATAGTGCTTTATAATACATGGATGTTACTGTAAAAATCTAGAGAAGACTTTTACGTATTGCAAACTAGACTTGAGGATGGGATTGGTTTTTGGAGGAGAATGTCTAATGTCTTCTTTGTTTGTTTTTATTCTCAGCTGGCACTGGGAAGATTTCCATACCCACAGGTGAGAAATATATTTAAAATCAAAGAATACACACAATTACATCAAATAATTTTTATTAATGTTTTAAAATAATATAGTGTATCATGCAACATTGGCATATATATAATGACTTATAAACCATTGTCAAAACTAAACAAGCAATCGAATAAAATACACATAAATATTTGTATATGAAATAAGTAAACTATGTACAGAAATAAAATAAAGTGTCAAGTAATTAATACCAACATGGTACTAAAAAAAATAAAAAATTAGATGATGGAATTAGCTGATATGAGAAGATAGCCTACTATAAATTTTTTGTATCAAGGCTGGTTAGATGGAATTTTCTTAAAGAGACAAAGACACTGGGATAATGTTACATCGAATTCTAATATGTGATTAATTCATTTGAAAATTTTTAGCCAATAATTTTAATTTTGGAATACGAATAGAACATGTGGAGTAATGTACCAATTTGACCGCGGTCTCTCCAACATTTATCATTTTCACTAAGGTGCATGTTAAAAAAGTTTGGAAGGGGTTAGGTACCATCTACAAATTAATTTGTAATGGGATTCCAAATGGTTTGCACATTGAGTAATACCTTTTAACGATAATAAAAATTCATTCCACTCCTCTACTGTTTATAACCCAACCAGCTCACTCTCCCACCTCAACATGCAATTGGGTTTATCACACGATACCTGCACAAATATTGCAACACAAGGAGATGCTTTGTTTCCGACCAGGATTTAATAAATAGATTTTTTTCTAATGTTGTCATATCCAATTTCAACACAATACACACAATTTACAATGTGCTTTCAATCCATATTCTGCTTATTGGAGCTGGGTCTAAATGGAGTTAACAGACCCACATTGTTGTATTTTGCCTTCAGAATACTGACCAAATTCTTGTTCTACGCTCTGTTAAAGCTTCATTGTATTGTAAGTATAAGATATATGCACTACTATTACAGGAGCAATAAGAACGTAGACTATATCACAGGACTGACCAAACTTCTACTCGTGTTGGTCCATAAAGGAAAACTCACATTTTTTTATAGTATATTTACTTATAATAAATAATATAATGTTTACGCCAACCACTTTTTAGAACGCTGCATATCCAAAGATATTTGGTCTTTGTGCTGGGGGTTAATGCACCCCAGGCATACATGGCTTAGCCAGCCTGGAACTCTGTTCCGGACTACCTAATCTCAATTCTGTGCAATAAATGTGTCTCTTCTGCACGTGCTGGCGACAGGCATTGTCAGCTCCTCCCCTTGCAGGGAGCGCTCTTGCAAGGGGGTGCTTGATCTAACCTTCCTCTTTTACTGGAGCACTACCTACCACACCCTCCCCCTCTCCCCACTCCTTTTTTTTTTTTTTTATAACTCCTCCCTCCTCTGGTTCAGAGTTTGCACATTCGCTCTGAGCCGGAAGAACGGTCCAGTCAAATGCTTCTCAATGAGCGAGGCATGGAATCAAGTGATTCCTGGTAAGTATTTCTTTCCTTTACAAGTTTATGTGGAATAGGGCATTCTACACTTGTAAATCCAGTCCTTTTATAAAGGGTTGGAGTAACCATTTAATAAAATATTTGTGAAGTGTGAAAAATTCATGTAGAAATCCACACCTCTTTATCCTGCATCTTGACTCCTCCATCTTAGCTCCCTGTCAATCATTGTTATAAACTGTCTTTTGCACCTGGTTGTTACCAGAGAGAAAGCTAACGGAGAAGAGGAGAAATTAAACAATGTTTATTTCCCCTCCTGGTTTACAATGTTTACCTTCAGTTTGCCTTGTCTGAATTTGATTATGAAATAATTTGCAAAATATTTAATATAAATGTAAACTAAAAATAGTCAGCTCCTGGGAAAAAAATGTAAACAAATGAAAGGTGAATTTCTATATTTCATTCAATTTAGTGAATTCCAGAGTTTGTATTCTGTGATTTTGCACCTGTCTACAGCAGTTTAAATTCAACATCCCTCCCACCAGATAAAGCAGGATATTATGTGCCCATCCAGGGATCCCTCACCCTGGGAAAATACCGAGCTGTTGGTGGGTGAATATGCTGGCGTCTTGTCCGTGCCCCCAGGCTTTCTTGGGTTATTTATAGAGTGGGGCAGGCAGAGCACCTCAGGCAGCTATTAACAGCCTATTATAATGCAAATAGCACAATCGCAGCTTGGGACCCTGCATTATAAGCAAAGACTGCCCATTTATACCATCTTGATGTCAATGTACAATGGTCTTCCAGCGCACTAACAGAATTGATAAAATATTTTATAAAAGGAAGTTGAAGGTGTGTGTGGTATTGCATTTAAGTGTAGCAAATTCCCCTTTACTGTAATAATTAACAAATCACACAGAAAAAATAAAAGCCTCTTGGTTCCCTTCATTGCAGGCATACCCTTTGCATTATGTGGAGGTCCATTCTCCTGTCTGCAGCCTGCTGCTATCCTAACCCCCTTACTGCAGCGCTGGCCGGCACTGTGATATCAACCAGCCAAATTCAGCTGCGATTTAATGAAAATGACATGGAACACACAGCCACACAATGCATGCGTCACAGAGTCACTTTATCCCCCTGTTTTACTGAACAGGATTAGATTGTGAGCCTTATAAGACTAGACACAAACAGGTTACATGAGGTGACTGTTGTTATTTAAAGAATATCCACAAAGTGAAGAGTTATTTTAAGGATAAGGAAACCGGTTTGGTTCCGGTTCCTGAGAGTAGCCAATAAATGAAAAAGAAAATTCCCCCGAGAAGGTCTGATCAGATATGTGAGAGGATTTTGTCTATTATAGTCGAGCTGCCTGCCTTTTCACACGCCATTAATTCATTACTTCTATCTTTTCATTTCCAAATTTCATTTTTCTTTTTCTTCCCCCCCTACCCATTCCCCTTTTAAAAAAGAATCCGAGCTGCCCCTCCCTTCATTCTGCCCCCTGCTGCTACCTCAGTCCTCTCTGCGCTGTTAATTTTCTTGGCTCCATATGGAGTAACAGCGATTTTACCTGGAGGCTAAATGAGATTCTGCTGCACATCCCCAGGCCAGAGCTATGAGATCAGTTTCCCGGTGCCCGGTTGTGCCAGGCTCCCTGAGTGGCAGAGCACAAGTAAATTGAGTGCATCTGCAAAACTCGTGTAACATCTTGTATTTAATGGGCGCCTTTTCGTTTCCAAGCACTTTACACCCTCCTTATAGGTTTATTCTGGCAGCAGCAATACTCCTTGTGATCAGAGATGATCTCTCCCATACTGCTTTCTCAGTCACACATACCTCACGGAGCATCATGGGAAATGTAGTTGCTAGTTGTTATAGACTATATAATTAAAGTGTAAGCATTTTAGATCGGGCATTCTCTGACATTAAGCGTATTGTTTTTTTACAGCAAGCTCTTTTACTTTTTTTTTTAAAATCATTTTTTACTTGGGCATTTTAATCAACATGAAGTGTTCAGCATATCCCTTTTTGGTCACTGACAATAGCACCACTGATCCCTAGGTTGCATAACTATTAACTGCCCTTCATGTTCCCTCTAGAAATCTTTGTGGTGTTTGGCAACATCTTGAAGGAATGATAGTAGTATCTATGATAGCCAATGCCGGTTGAATTCCATATGGATGTAGTAACAATTACCAACAGTGTCACCAGCAAGGCACCCCCAGATCTTGAAACGGTCTCTTCTGTTGACATTGGGAATCACACCTGTGAAAAGCATATGCTAACTGTTTTTGTGTGTTACAGCTTCTAGGCAGCTCACCCCAAAATTTAACATTTTGATTATTCCCACAAGACCAACTTTAACTCGTTGGATGCAAAGATTCTTCTTTTTTCTTCTGGTTCTGTTGAAGTAATTCTTCCATTAGGACTAGTTTCAAACAGATTGCTATGAAGAGATGATTTTAATACACCTGTATTTTTAGTAACATTTAGCTACCTATTATTTCCAGGTGATCCATAACTGCACTTATCTGAGGTTACAGTTGACTTCTCCATTAACCATAATTAGAACAGCCATCTGGTTAGATGTTTTTGGCCACAACATGTTGAAGTACTTGGTTAATTAGGTGTCATGCTAGTTAACTAGAATGGCACTTAACTTGCATAAACCATCATTACTGAACATGCCTTCAAGGTGGTTGCCACAAACCTATTTTTTTGGATGTACGTTGTAGTGTTAATTCTTCTTTTGGCTTTCTCTGGATGTTAGCAATGCTCTTTAGTAGAGATCTGCTCCCATGACATAATTTGTGTTTCTCTAGGGCAGGGGTAGGCAACCTATGGCACGTGTGCCATGCACAGCACTTAAAGTGTCTTTGCACGGTGCTCAAGGCTGCTAGAACTAAACAGACCTCTCTCTCCTATCAGGAATCCCAGTGAAACTTCAGATATCTGCTAAATCTGCTAATACGAAAAGGTGGCAAAGGACAATCCTCAATTTATGCATTGCAGCACATAGAGGAAGTGATTTCAGATCACTTAATTCGAGCACTTGTGAATGGGAATCCACACTGGAGTAGAGCAGCCCACAGCTGTTGTTGCAGCTCCTGTCCTTGACCTGTACCTGGCTAGCCTGATCCCCACTGGAACCCAGGGAAGCCACCCACACTGCTAGATATACACAGAAATGCAGAATAACCCTCCCCTCATACAAATAATACGAACAGCCCACACACAAACATACACACAATTCGCACAAACTCAGCACCACTAACAATCAACATACATCCACACAACCCCATATGCAGCCTCTCACATGCAATACCCCAAACAGCCCCTCACATACACACTACCAAACACACAATGTGACATATCCACACACAATTCCACAAGCAGCCCCCATACACAGCCCACATTCATAGGTATCATACACAACACCACAAACTACTTGTGAACATATACAATATAATAGCTCATATACGCACAAATACAACGATACAAAGCAACTGCAGTATAAATACCACAAGCAGAATACGGCAACATTCACACTTAAAAAATTTTTAAAATAGGACCGGCACGCTACGGGACGTCACAATCTTATTTTGGCACAGTGCTGCTAAAAGGTTGCCTACCCCTGCTCAAGGGTGTATGTTTGGCTTATGGCTTTGCTGCCAATTAAGAATATTATTAGTTCATCTCCCATCTTCTGGATTGGTTTTGGGACCCAGAGAAAGATTCTAAGTGAGGTTCTAAGTGAGGTTCTATTGGCATCCTTGTGAAGCCTCCTTGGGAGGGCTCTCTTATAGCTCTGGTAAAGGATTTGGGGGTGCCTCTCCAGGCAAAGCCTCTAATAACAACACAGACTAATTCCAGCCCAGCCCCATGTTGTGATTAATTTGCATTCTTTGTCAGAAGTTAATGGAGTTTTTTATGACTGCTTCTGAAGAGCTGATCTGCTGTTTATACACTTTACCAGCGGAAATCCTCGCCCTCCCCCGCACTGATTGATGGAGACACTCTCTGTTTCTCCAAACGGCTTTTTAAGCTGTTTTTAAGAATTATTTGAATAAAATGCAAGCGTGCATCATATTGGGGGGGGGGGAGGGGGGTAGAAGGGAAAATTATCTGATGAACAAGATAGAAGAGACCTATAACAGAGCCCAGTGGGAAGAAGAATGATCAAAAGATGAAAGAGATAAGAGTGTGCAACGGAGAAGTGGGAGGCAGGGTGAAGACATCTATGTCTGAAGATTGGGTCTTTTACTTCCTCTTATTTTTACCCTGCTACATAGCTTCTCATGACTCCCAAACCTCCAGCACTGAAACAAAAGATTAGAACCCTCTTTACATCGTTACCTTATGAGTGCAAGTGTATATCTCTCTTCTGGTACAGTACAGAAAATCAATTTATCTTCTATCTACAGAGAATGGAGCACATCTGGGGAACTGTCATTCTACCACAAAATGCGTTGGGGTACAAAACCATAAACTGTTAGAATTAATTAATATAATAGTTTTTATTCTTTTTGATCCAACTGCAAGAATTTGGGAATTGTCAGGTAGTTGTTGTGGTCTCATTTTTGTCTGCAGCTAAAGTATTGTGTGTTTGTGTAACTAAGTAGTAAGATGAAAACAAAAATCACATTATGAACATACATTCTCTTGGGCTTCTGCTTAATATGTCGAAACGGGCTGTTTAAATAGCATCAGTGCTAATTGTAGCACTATAATATTTTGACACAATGGATGCAGTAACATTAAACTTAACATACAACATATTTAGGCCACTGCAAATTATAAAAATATTACATAATTTCAGTTTATAAAAAACAAAATGTGTGTCCCAGAAGCATATTAAAATCTGACTTATATTCACATACTGATCTACATGCGCACAGCAAAAAATGTACAGATCCAAACTAAAAAAACCTAATAAACAAATTGATTAAAACAATAAATCTGCCTCAGATTTAAATATTTTACAAATTTTGACATTTTGAGAACCCTCTTAAGCAAAAGCCAGCTTTCTTTAAATGTATTATGCACCTTTCCATCAGCCTCCAGTTTAGGTACCTTGTTCTTTTAGAAAGGGAATTCTGAGATTGCTATGTAATCCATCATCTTAATTTTCACCACCATTTTAATTATTGCTTAAAACCAAACTTTCTATTTACCAACTTTACCATTTTGGCTCAAATAATGCAATGCAATTGTCTACCCTTTTTTTTTTTTTTTGTTCTTAAATCTCAGAATTGACTTATAAGTCATCACCATAACCCTAACCAGACATTAATTTAGTTTAAGTTATTTCTAATCTCACGGATATCTTGCATAGAACATTCTGTGCCACGAATATTTGCTATAGGTCTTTGGGCAGAGTTCTCTATACTTTTTGTACCTGTATGTCTATTTGTCTGTAATCCCACCTGTGATCTGATGCTCAAATGTGGAAAGTGTTCTCAATACGTGTAAGAATAAAATAATCTGTCAAACATCAATCTTCACCAGATATCAGCTTCATCACAAAGCCCACCTAACTGGAGAGAGCTACCCTGTGACGAGTAATTTACATCTGCAGTAAACTATCGCCTTTTCCAAGCTTGGCCCTTCACATCACACACCAGATCCCTGTCCCATTACAGAGATATAATTAAAGTTTGTGTCTCCCAGCCAGAAATTAGGAAGGGGTGACACGCCAGGCCAGTCCTGGCAGGCGGCCAGAGATTCTAATTTCTGACGATGATTTAATTTCAATTTTAAATAAATCGTTTTTTAATTTAAAAAGAGCGAGTTTCCTCACATTAGCGATGATTGCCACATTAAGCTCTGCGCTCACGATGGAGCCGCATAAAACATTATTTATACACGGAGCGGAAACGGCTCTGCCTCTGAAATGGATTATGCTTTTTTTTTTTTCCTCTTATTTTTTTTTTTTTTCCCCTCCCTCTTCTAATATAACCTGGAGGATACTAAAAAGTGTTTGTAGTAAATTAGCATTCTGCCGACTTTCACCCATAAATGAGAGAAGAGCTATTAACACTTGTGTATTTTCATTATGTAAATTGTGTTAACACATGCCCACAAATTGCCACCAGCAAGACAATCATTTTCTCCCAGTGATCATAATGGGTCCTAGTGAGATGGTTTGATTATGACATGCTAATTACATATTGCCTTTTTCCCCCCTCTGCTCTTTTATTTATTTATTTTTTCTCTTTCCTATTTTTTTTTTTCTTTTAACAATATTTAATTTTTTTTGCCCCCTTTCCTCCCCAGATTCAGAAAAACCATGGATCTCTTATGGTGAGTCTTATATGCTCAGGCAAAGGGGGAGCAGAGCAAACAGGGCGTATTGGGAGGGGTTGGGGGGGCCATTGAAAAAAAAAATCACTTTTCTCTTTTTCCTGATGGCTGATTCTTTCTGCATGCTCCACTGCCTTGTTTTAAACTTTGCAAATTGCATTTTGAAGAAAAAGCAAACATTTAACTGCCTGTATTAGATTAGGTACCATTAGAAATAATAGCAATGCTCCAACATCAATGTTTTTATAAGAGCTCTCTGCTGTTGATTAATCTTGCTATTTTTATTGCATTAATGGTGTTTTTGTGTCTCTTATGACTCTACTGTAGAGATATTGCATATAGGTTAATACTTGTCTCTCTCTCTCTCTCCGCAGCCGCTCCAGATATTGCAATGTATTGTTGATGAGGTGAGTCTCAGACTTATGTGCTTTCGCTCCTAAAGTCATTCCTAATGGAGTGGAAAGCTTATATTTTGTTTCCTAATGAAGCACAATGGACGACACCCTCTGAGAGAGTTCATTGGCAAGGCTTGAAGCTGTTTAACATGGCTTGGCCTATGCACTCCCCAGCCCCCTCCTTTCCTGAGCCCCCTGTAGTCTTATCTTAGCTGCTGTAACCGGACCCACGGACAAAGCTAAGGAATATTAATTGGGGCTCATCCTTGCCTGCTGGGGATATGCATAGAGGGGCAACTTCATATTGAGCTAGTATTATATGCATACAAGACATTGGGGTTATTTAATGGAATGCTGTTTAATGGGAAGTACAGGACTGCATGGCATTTTTTATAATGTATGTGTGTGTGTATAATGAACTTGTTTACAGTGTGTATTTGTAAAGAAAGGTGCATGGGCTGCATGCAGAGGGACAGTGGTTTGTGAGCATTGATGAGCAGTGTGTGTATATTCAGGAGTTAGCAATTTGCATTTACAAGGGGAATGTGGTTAGATCTTGGGTTGCCATAGTTATTTAGCGTTATGTAGAATGCCATTGATATCACCGTGGAGTTTGCTTCTCTAAGCAGTGAGTAGGGGTTACCATACACACTGAGCAAAGACCTGTTGATTACACAAATGGTCCTTGCACCGTGATCAAACAAAATCATGGAGTGGGTCAGAGCAAAAGCTTTGTATCACTATGCTGCATTCCCCACCTGCTCACTGCTTTATCCCAGCATCCCTTATAATGTTATGATATCTATAGCCCCTCTGGGCTTATTATACCAAACAGCGCTGTACTGTCTTAGCTGCAGTTATGTGTTTGTGGAAAGCGTTGCTTGGCTTGTAATTTCCACGTTGCTGTATGTGGATTTATTTTGCTCCTTTTGTAGCATTGGATGAACCGTGTTCTGTTAATGTGGGAAACAAATTTAAATAAAAAAAAAAAACCTTAATAAGGGTTCCTACTAATTGTTCCTAATGTAATTACAGCTTTTCTGATAATTGGGCCACTGCAATTATCTGTATATTTACTAATCAGTTAGCAGCGTGATGCTGCCCCTGTGACTGGTAGCTGTCTGCCACTGCTTTTAGGAGGTGTGCTTAAAGCACATGCACAGGGGAAGGAAGGGTGTTTGGATATTCTCCATTATCACTTTGAATGCTAGAGACAGACACAAAAGCAACACTTGCATCACCTCTTTAGCACTCAAAGAGTTCAACATCAGTTTTGACATGACATTTTTAACCCCGTCCCCAATGCGAAGCTGTTTTAAAAGTGATCGCATGTTTAATACATAAAACAGAGTCGTGTTAGCTGGTTCGATCTAGAAAATACATTTACTAGAATATGATAGCAGAGTCACTTGTATTTTCTTTGACCCCGCTGATAAAGATGTTTCGCACAATGAATGACTATTGTTTAGATATTTGTTCTTCGTTTACTATTCTTGTCGCATTACTCATGTTTCCATGAAATGATGATGGATCTATCTGTTGCTTTTTCGTACCAGGACTCACCTGTTCTTCCTGTGGGGGAATTCTCCGAGCCCTTTGTACACTTTATTACTCAGTGGTAAGAGACTTGGAAGATAGGAGGATACCTGCTTTATTATCAGCTTTTTTTAAGTGTACAATTTGCCCTTATTAATGATACATGTACATAAAAAATAAATATATTCTTCTCTCTGATCTGTTTACGTAGTGAACATCTTATGCTTGTGCTGTTTGATTCATCATTTACAAGACATGCTGTCTGTTTGAAGCTCTAATCTGACACTTCAGGATAGCTTCTCCCCCAGGGAATGCTGCCCTATTAAACAACATCAACTGAATTCCCAGTCATATCAGTGGCAATGGACCATTTGCCTACTTATAGTGTATTACTGTGCCTTGCATTTGCCTCTACTGTCTTCTGCAAGCCCTTGCTATTAACCCATAACAAACTCCTCTACATGGTTCATTTATATGCATTCTTATTCCTCATGGAATTATGTTTGTTATATGTAATAGTATTCTGTGTCTCATTTTACTCCTGATAAGTTTCAACTCAATATGTCTTTTCCTGCTCTGTATTTTCTTCTGTAACCCCTCCTAATACATATGAGAAACTTTTCTCCATAACTCATTTTTATTTTTTTTATAGAAATTCTACCTGTAGTACCTCTTATTCCTTATAAGCTTTCTCTAGAACACATCCAAACTAAACACCCCCATATATCCCCTTATTGCACTGTGTAAGTTGTTCCTAAATGTTGGGCTTGCACTATTTTATTTTATAGAAGAATATTATACTGTGTGTAACACGTTGGTATAACTGGAATGTACATAGGATATTACTAAAGTGTCAAATTCCACAGTTCTGTACAGCAGATCGTTACTATGTGCAAGTAATGAAAAATAATATATATTTATGTATCATATTAGATACGTCTATTTCTAGATATTAACACTCAAGCTCTTACAAATGGATACAGTTAACAGACGAACAGTTCTGAGCATGGATGCTGAGAAATTCAGCCTCAATTCAATATAACGTTAAAATCCTAGCAACTTTATTATTTCGTCATAAAAGCAGTTGCATTTATTTTGTGTCAGAAATACAAACCTTTATTCCTGACACTATAGTCCTGCAGTGGCTGTATAGGTGACCTGCTCCCTTTTAATTGCAGTAAAAAGGGGGGTTTCACTCATCTTTTTCCCATGCCGTGTCGATCTCAGCATGGCTGACCCCACCTCCATAGCTGAGATCATCAGTTAATGCTTTTTCACAGGAAAGCATTAATAAGCAATGCATCTCTATAGGAACCATCCAGCATCTCCATGCAGAATGTGGAGATGCTGAACGACAGTGCTGCACACTATACAGCCACTAGAGGTGTTATTAGGCAGTAATGTAAACTCTGCCTTTTCTTTAAAAAGGCAGTCTTTACAGTGGTAACACTGCAGGGACATGCTATAGACACCAGAAACACTACATGCTGTAGTTTAAGGGGAACAATGGGGAAGTGGGTGTTAAGCCTTCGCTTTTCGTGTCTCTGTGACACTTTATCACATAGGCTCGAAATGCACAAGGCCCACCACCATTTACTAATATATTTGCTGTTATGAAGAAACATTTACGTTTTTATGATTTAACTTTATGCCAAACTGGGGCTGGATTTATCTCCATCCATGCTCAAGGGTTACGATCGTTTGCTAATTGTCTGCTGCACAGGAGGAAGAGAACCTCCTGCTGGGCCTCTTTGGTATACATGGACTGCGGCTCTATGTAGGCATGACTCTGGTTCCTAGAGCTGTATTTTCTGAAGCATTTCCCCCCCCCCTTAGAAATGAACACTATTTTTTTGTTTTGTGTTTTCTTTTTCTAATCTTATAGTTCCAAGCCTTTGAACAGAGCTTGATTTAATTTAATTTTTATTTCACAGTATGAGGAAGCTGCCAAAAGAAAGACCAGCACCCGAAGAATTAATGGTAAGTGTGCGTGTGTATATATATATATATATATATATATATATATATATATATATATATATATATATATATATATATATATATATATATATATATATATATGTATATGTATATGTGTGTGTATCTATATATATATATATATATATATATATATATAAATATGCAAAAAAAAAAGGGATCTGGCACTCTACCTCTCATGTGGTAACAATCCAATAAACCACGCTGCTGCACGGTTAAGATTATATAGCAAATAGGAATAAAGAGAGCACCCAATGGATTATCCAAAAAAAATAGTCGTGTTGTATTTAAATTATCAATGTTTTGACCCGGAGGTCTTTATCAATTGAGTCCATTGAGTGCTCTCTTTATTCCTATTTGATATATACAATATATACCGAGTCATTTAGATTGTTATAGTTAGTGCCTGAAATGTTTAAATGATAAAGGACACTTATTTAGCAAAACAACACAAGGAAATGTGTTGCTGTTCATATTTAAATTGCCATGGACCTTTAACTGGCATTATATCTGGCAATGAGGTATTTTAAATGTTTAAACCGCAATTGTGTGTATTTTGAAAGTGGTTCAATATCCATTAAAAGCTTCACTTTTAGGAGTTTGCCACGCAATTGCTCTTGCACTTAAACCTCAGTGTGCCATAATTTTTTTTTCCCTGTCTGTAGCTTGTAGTGAGTTATGGTTTTAAATAAATACTTCATTTTTTATAATGATTTGTTTGCAGAATCTTTTTTGAAAGGAATTTAAAGATGCAGCATTGTAGAATGTTGTGTGTCCAATAATATTGTTGGTTTAGATTTCACATCCTAATCAATGTGATAAGAGGGCCCAGAAAAGAAAGGCGAGTGAGAAAGTTGAAAAGAATGGATCTGTACAAGAGTTTTAGCAATTCAGACATGGCCCTGTTTTAAGCGTCATAAAAGGAATAAAAGTTTATACTGATCTAGGAATGAGTAAAGAGACAGATTAGCACATAATGGATAAATTGTTGTACATCTCCATCATATCTGGAATAGAGAAAGTCATAAGGGATCTCCTACTAGTGGGAGTGGAATTTGAATGCTTTTTCCTGAAACCTACAATTTAAGTCAGACTTTTGTGTTAGAAGGAAATTTGATGTTCGATGAGATCTTCACATATCTGTGAAGCACAATAGAATAGGCTGTGTTGGTGGTGTTAAGAGTAATGAGTGTCATGTGGAGAGAATATGGTCCCTCAGAGAGGCACAGTATGAGGCAGAATATAGTCCCTGAGGTCCCTCAGACAAACACAAGTACACAGTGGATGTTGCGTGAGCCAAAGGACATGTTAAGCAGAATAAGACAAAATACTACAGTAGTGATAGTGATTTCCGGTGATGGTTTAATCTCTCATAGTAAGTGAGAGCGTGGTCAATAGTGAAAGTGGCACTTGCATGCTCGATTTTAAGAATTAAATTCTGCTTTGTCATGTATAGACTCCCATTTCTGTCAAATTGTGGCTCATTGGGGCTAAGAGGTGGCAGTGTGGGGAAAACATAAACCCCTATGGGGCAGACATCACCCATAGGCAGAAGGTTTTCATAGTGTTCTCAAAGGGAGAATATTTTTTGCCCACAGTTTTAAAAAGGTTTGTTCAAAGCTGTTGTAATCGAATATAGATATAATTATGGTATAATACAAAATTGTTTTAAACTGCATGTTTTTGCCTCACTTAGTGGATGTAAAGCCATTGACAGGAGGATATTGATTTTTAATTAAATAAATTATCTAAACAATGTTGCACATTTTTCACTTTTCTTTTCATCAATCTTAACTAATTTTAAACAACTCACCATAATTTAGTTAACATTTTCTTTTAGTATCCTTATCATTGTGTGTTTTGAAGGGGGGGGGGGAGGTAGGGTGATAGTTGTTTTATTAACACCAATGGAGAAGCACAAACTTTGGTGCATTTGCACTTATTTGCATGTCCAGTCTGGAGCACACTAAACAGCAAAAACCACTGTAAACTACATGTAATTAGTAGCAACACAAGTCATTATTTAATGTATTCGGTCATTCTTTAAATTGCCCTGTCCCATCTCCTTTCTCTATCCACTGTACTTTGCCCCCGAAAGACTAACGTTCTAAAAGGGCTTTTAGCACCTTTTGTTCTAGAATCCCCTGTGGCAGGTGGGCTCAGTTGTGACAATAGTTCTGATCTCAAATTAATTTTATCTCAACCTTGGCGAGATAACTTTGTGTGTTGAATGAGCAGTTTTGTGGATTAGTGTGAGGGAGAGAATTGCAAAACCTTGTATTATACCTATACAAATTGATTCTCGGTGATCAGAGCCATTAATTCAAAATTTCCAAAGAGATCCTGATTTTGCATTTCTATTTGTCACAAAGAGATTATTGCATACAGGAAAAGGCAGAAAATATACAAGAAACAAAACAGGGGTAGGCTAGCTTTGCTGATGTGGATCCCAACATGTGGATGTCTGAGAGAAGTAGAGACACAGCTGATCAGTGTATGAGTTGCATTTGTGTGAGTGTAATTCCTGGATTTGACTCTGCATGAGACCGGTTGCCCTGGAAGGCTAGGGGCATAACAGATGTTTGAGGGATTAAATTGTATGAGAGATAGCTATGTATGTTGAACGCAACAGTGAGAACATGCCAAGTTTAAGATCAATGATAAATGGAGTCCTGTTTTGATCTACAAAAAAAATATTCTGTTTGTTTGGCACATATATAGATTTCCAGATATTTGACAAAAGAAAAAAAAAAAGGAATAAGAAGTCACATTGGATTTGTCACCCTCACTTAGCACTTTCTCAAAAACAGCCCTAAACAGAGGTGAGGCACATACGTTCTCCGGCCCGCATTGTGTCTACCACATGCTGTCAGCCTGATACTTGATGTCTGATATTATTTGCACTGTACCTGCAAATCTAAACATGCGTTTACCCTTCACTTAACATATGTGTGTAGCATAAAACAGGACTCTGTTTTATTATGTATGTCAGGAGTCCCTGTGTGCCTTATGTGCGTGAGAGCTACACAACTGAGATAGCTGTGTGATGTGTAATTTTGAAAGTGTGTAGGATGAATTGAGCATGTGCAGAATCAGAGTGACAGTGCTGTTAGAAGGCCACACATCTTCCTCTTATTGTGTATGCGCTTACAATTCCTTGACCTTCTAGTCAAAGTATAGTCACAATCTGAGAAATCTTTAAACAGGAACAGTGTTTTTTAAAATTCCTGCTCCCTCTACTCCTAATGAGGTTATGACCAACCGCTTATTATAATTGCTTCCAACTCCTTTTAATTTTCAAGCTTATTAATCATAAGAAGAGTTATTTAAAATTGCATAAATTAATCTTAGATTAAAAGACCATCAAGGCCTAGAAACAATTAAGAATATGCTGGGAATCCCAGGGGCAGCACAGTGTCTGATTGTAGTAGTCAGGTGGGCCGGGCTGAGAAGGCAACTAGATGATTAATGCATGAAACATTTAAATGAGGTGTGGAAGTGCCACTCACTGACCCCATAACTGTCTCACCTGCCATAGAGATGAAGCAGTTACTGATCCTAACCAGAACTACAGAGGCTCATGGGCCCACTGGCAGGTCAAGTAATGGTAACTAAAAACCATATTACTTGATCTTCAGATACATTAGCATAGGTTGTGTAACTGTTATGTTGCCAGTGATGATGGCCTGTGGATGTATCAAATCCATCACATTATAGATTTATCTTTGTTTACTGATGGCTCATTGAGGTCATCCAACACTTTCAAAGCCTTTGATGACAATGTTAAAAATAATAAAGGTAAACCTATCTAACCAGCCACTGTTTAGTTTTTGGTTTTTATTTTAACATGGGTGTTATCTTGCAATCTCCAGTTATGATTACCCATGGTGGCTTCATCACCTTGAGGCACTATATGTCACTTAAATGAAGAGGGATGTTGCATACAATGATTATTTTTAATCTTTCTGACAGGGTCACCCATTCATTGTCCAGTTTAACGATGGGAACACAGAGGCGGTGTCTATGTGGGTGTGCCGTGCATTGGAAGAGCGAAGAGCCCAGGGTGGTCATGAGTATGTTGGCTAAACAGTGGATGTCTACAGGTGTCTTCACTACACGCATGATGGTTGGAAGAGGAGATTAACCTTTGGCAAGAATCAAGCTCTTAGATTTCTAACTAAAAGGCTAGAACAGTTTGCCATGCGGTGACGACGATATTCATGATCTTCAACCAATGGAGCTTCAGGATTGTGGGAAACAATGAGATAGGTAGCACTGTTACACACCCTGTATTCTCGAGAAATTCTTCAAAATTTCAAGAGATGGGTATTGGGCAACAAATTATGCTTCCCATCCCTAACAAAGCTTTTACTCATTGGAAGAGACAAGGTAGTTATTGGGTTGTGGCAGCCTCATTTATTTAGAACTTGGGCCTTCCTTCACCACCATGGGTCCCAGGGTCAAGGACTTCCTGATGGAATGTAAGATCTATCATGCATAACTTCTACAGTAGCGACCTCTTTTTTTCTTTTTTTGTACCTCTTTCTTTTCTTTTGGCCTTCTTAGAGGCAGTGGACTGCACATTTCTGAGAAGACTGTGTTCCCAATCAAACACTCACTCATGTGCTTTCTCTTTACACATTGGTCATGAGTTTGGCTTTCAATAACTTTATTCCTCAGTTACACAGTGTATTACATGTATTGACTGTCTTGCACAGATTTATGCTTCCTACATACTAATAAACCATATTTTGTACGAATTATGTCGGTTTGTAAATCTAGGTATCAAATGGAACATTTTTCAATAAAAATGTTAACAATAAAAATGGGTTTGTAAAATATGGAGAAACTACAGAAGTGCGCTAAGCGTGCCAGAGTATGATACTGCTGTAGTACTATGAAATAAGGTTGCCTTCAACAATCTTATGTGTGCTTGTATCTTAATAATGCTAGCAATTCTTGCATTCTATTTTAAAAATGTAATGTAATTTGTTTACTTTTCAAAGTATTTCATACATAGAGATGAGCTAACCTGTGGTTGCTTATTAAAATGCAAATCTCATCACATTCAGAAGTTATGCAAAAACTGAATAATTCTTGCAATGGTGCTGGCTGACCTTTATTTCCAGAAAAGCTGGAGACCTGCATGTGGAACACGTATGTTAAATCCAGTTCTTAAGAGAAAGTGAGGTCTGGGATAATATAAAGGAGTTCATTATAAAGATATTGTAGGATCGTGATCTTTTATATTGCGAGCAGGGCGATACATAAAGAGTATGGTTTCAAGAATCAGTGACATTGTCTATACCAAGAAGAACCCATATTCAAGGTAAATGTCTGCTTAAGTTAAAGTCTTCCTGGTTGTTCTGAGTGGAACATCTACAGATTGTGAACTTGACCTCATTAAAAGAAATGTGTAAGTGGACTTTAAGATGCCAAGAAAAATGCGTTGTGGTGCTGAAAGAAGTCAAATCAAGTGGATTGATCCCAACATGTAGAATGGATAGCAGTGCCTCTTTTTTGGTATGACTCCATATTTAGCAGCTAAGATAAGTAAGATTATGTAGAAGGCTCAAACCATGGCTCCCGGTCATTGATCAGTGTATTTTTAAAGGGATACGATAGGTACCAAAGCAACTTTAGCTTAATGAAGTAGTATTGGTGTATTGATCATGCCCCTGCAGGCTAATTGTTTGCCATTTAGATGTTAAGTCACTTTGTTTAAAGAGCCCTAGTTACACCTCCCTGCATGTGAGATGCACTGCCTTTCTAAGCACTTCCTGTGAAGAGAGATCCAATGTTTACACTTCCTGTATTGCACATTCAGTTTAATTTAGAATGTCAACAGTGCAGGACTCCAGAACATAAAGTCCTGCACTGTTAATAGCCCACAGGAACCTCCTGTGTGTTATTAAAGTTCTATGTATGCAGTTCGGGGGGAGGGGGAAAGGAGTAAGGCAGTGTCTATAAACTTGATGAGTAGGTTTAATTTATATATTTTATTCTGTAATCAAAGCAGTTCCGTCTGTCTCTGAATGTGGCTACTATACTACCTCTCTCATAGAATGCTGTGAGTCTGTAAAAGTTAGCATGGAATTGTTTTGTTCTGTGACATTACAGAGTGGAATTGATGCATCTCTAATAAGAAGTGTTAAGGTAGACAGAAACTGTGATCACCTTGCCTAATAACCTATTCTGGAAACAAGTAGCTAAGGTGCTTGGAGTGTGCCTTTAAGTTGTACCGTAATCCATCTTTGAAAGTAAAAGTGCATTGTCTATATGAAGCAGAGGCTTTGCTTTGTAGTGTAAGACACATTTAAACAGCGTATGCTTTGTCCCAAGTGTATGTTTGTGTAAGGAAAATTGCTTATCATGTTTCCTGCATGGGATGTGATTGAATATTGTTTTTCCAATTCCTTTGTAATGTGTTCAGAGGGGCACATAAAGCATCAGCAGCAGAGGTGACTGCACAGTTTGTAGATACATTTTGTCAATGTAAGAATATTTATTACCATGTATTACCATGTAACAGAAAGCTTGACTGTCTAGATTTCCTAACATTTTTCACCCATCTATCAAAATCTCAAAACATTTATTTTAAAGCTATTCTTTTCTATTTGGTTTCAACAGATTAGGATAATACTTGTCCTGCAAGTTCAAAGCATCCTTTCAAAGAAAGCATGAGCAAAATTGTATTTTCATTGGTTAAGAGTAGCTCTGTTTTTAAGTCATGTCTTGTTTTTCAGAAGCTGGGGGATAGCAAAGATCCTAATGGATTACTGACTGTTGTTATCATGCATGATCATAACATGTTGATTTTAAACGGAATCTAGCAGATTAAAACCGAATTTGGATAAAGATGGGCAGTAGTTCTAGTGACAAAACTTATTGACTTGTTAGATCATATAGCTTGTGAGCACTACAGTGCGCATATCTCGATTTTCCTTTAGGACCAGACTTGAAGTCCGATCTTTCCAAATGGAAACGCTACTATTTCTTATGACTTAAAGGATATTCCTTAAACCAGCAGTAAAATTAAAGAGCAAATAAATTTTAATCTGAAGTTTAATTCTGCTGCTGTGTCAACTGCAGAGTGCGCTGGTAAACAAATAATGCTGAGGTAGGTCATCAGCGACCTGGAGAAATTCCCACGTCGCAGCTTGGCTCCAGGTGATAAAAAAAAAGACCCAAGCTAGCAGATGTGCTGCGAGAACTCCAATGGCCCCTGCTTAGCCAGAGAGAAGACTGCAGCTGAATGCAACATGTTTATAAATGCAGGGAGATGTGGGGACATAATAAAGGGGTTCTTCTAAACCAGGGTTCATACATACAAAATGCTGTTTGTTTTAAATCATTCTGTATTTTTGTGTTATTGTGTTTACTGGGGTGAGAAGTGTAGTGGAACAAAATAAATAATACCCTTTCTCAACATTTCCCCGTCCATGGTGATACTTATGGATAAGGCCGTGCAAGGCATGCCTTTCAAAGCATTGTTTGTGGCTTGCAGCTCCGTTGTACTTTGCACCATGGGTGGGGGGAGGCTAAGTTAATTTGTATCGTGTCTCATCTTTTAGTTATCCAAGGACCCAACATTGCAGTTCTGTGACACATATGAGCTTATCCCATTACTAGTGCTTATAGACACAACAAGGGAGCTGTACTTTAGTTGTCCTATTTCTACTGACTACTAACAGTTTAACCTCAAATAGGGCAGTAATATGGGAGCAAAAATTGAAATATTATCAGTAGGCAGAGAAAGGGTGGGCTTTTTTTTCTGTAATGGCACATGTGAGCAAAAACTATTTTGAGACCTGAGTGGGGATTTACCGAAGGGCAAGCTATTTAGTTCCTCTAAGCTTTTGTCCATTCTTATATTTTTTTTGTCCATTCTTATATTCTCTGTTCTTGTTGCAATTCATTAACATGCCTCTCCCCAAGTTAAAAGGGTAATCCAGACGTGGACCCCGTGCTTACTGTGCCTAGAGGGGCATCAGTTACACCTTACTGACTAGGCCCAAAGAAGGCCGAAATGATCGTCTGGGGTTGCTATATCTCTTCTGCAGACAGAACCCAACAGCATTTTGGTTCTGGACTGCCCATACGGGTGGGATCAGTATGAGTCTTGGAATAGGATCTCTCTGTAATGGCACAAGTGAGCAAAAACTGCTTTGAGACCTGAGTGGGGATTTACTGAAAGGCAAACTAGTTTTTCTAAGATTTTGTCTGTTCTCAGAGTTCTAATTCTCTGTTTTTGTTACTTCTTTAACAGTCCAGTTACTCACGTGAAGCTCTTAGGTCGTCCTTTCATATATGAATGAGCAGTCTGGAAAACCATATTTTGCACCTTGTACCTGATAGAAACTGTGAGACCAGAAGTAATATAAATTCAAATGGGAATAAATCAGAGTCTGTCAGCAAGACCAAAAGGCAAATCTTTTTTTACACAATTTATAGTTCTGGAAAAATTAACTATATTTTCAGACAGGTGTTAAGCTCATTGTAATTGGCGTTTAAAAATCTAACTGTTCTTTCTCAGACTATCACATCCCTCTTGTTGGCATTCTTTAAAAAAAAAAAAAAAAAATAGAAAGTGCTCTGTGACTGCATTTTAATATTTATTGAAACAAAAGCAAATACCTCACTTTATTTCATGCAGCCTTTGCAAGCCCTGCTCTTTTCCCCGCATATTGGTTTTCATGTTAGGAAGATATTGTAACAAACTACCTTCCCTGGTGTTCTGTTTTCCATACCCTTCATTCGTCTTCCGAACGGACTGTGTGTGGTCCTCCCTCCTTATACCCTTCAAAAGCTGACCTCCCCTGGCTGTTAACCACAAATTGGTGATTAACTGGAGTGCTTCCCTGTGTGGCACTCCCGAACGCTGGCAGCGGTACCTGGTTGTCGACGCCTGGAACTATTTTCGACCTCGCATTTCTGCTAACCCGTTCAAATATGGTACCACTGCCTCCACTTCCCGACCAATTAGACAAACCGCGTTTGGGAGATAGGATCTACCGAACAGGGGGAGCATTCGTCGGTGTTCGTATGAGAACCCCTGAAAGATGACCAGTTGTTGCCTTGTTTTCTATGGAACTATTTTGGGACACAACTCATGGCCGACCGGCCAAAACTTTATTTAAATGGCATTCCGGAACCACCTAAAGGACCTGAGCACTATTTCAACAAAGTGGGTGCTCAGACCCAAGCTATTCAGTGATATGACTTTCGTGGGGTTTCTATGTTATTAAAATGTATTTTTATGGTGTTTTATAATATTGTATAGGTTTCTTGTATCTGAGAGATAATTAAGTTATAGTTTTCTCACGAAATTATCTCTCAGAAACAGAGACTCCTGGGAGGAAAACCCTTGAATTCTTGATGTGGAGACCCCATGCTAGGGGTCAGTGCATAAAAGCTGTGTGTGGCCAGAATAAAATCAGTTGTACTCCCAGAACTGTGTGTTGTCCAGTTACTGGGGAGGAGGTGGGCTATTCACTTGGCTATTTCTTGTTCCTGAATTCCTGATCATAGCAGAGGGAGAGTTCTGGTCAGGACCAAGGCTCTGCTACAGATATGTTGGAGCTGTTAGACCAGGAAGCCATGATGAATACCAGCCTCTTGCTTGAGGTACAGTATAACCCACTCTGAGAATATTAATAAGCTCCTTATTTTAGATTAGTAATGGACTCCAAGATTTCTAGTGGCAATCTATGCACCACATGATTTACTTATGTATCACATGACCTATACGAAGAGATTCTTGAGTTTTATACCCAATGGACATGGATTACAACTACAAACTTAAATTATGCATTTAAAGATGCTGTTGAAGATGAGTGCCAAATGGGCACATATTTTTGTGGTAATATGAAGCCTTTATGTTCTGGAGTCAGTCCATATTGGATTTAACCCCTTAAGGACACATGACGTGTGACATGTCATGATTCCCTTTTATTCCAGAAGTTTGGTCCATAAGGGGTTAATAACCAGTGTTTCTGAATTTCCAGATATTCTTAAAAATGCTAATCTGTCTAATTGACTTCCCTACAGGCAACATCAATGCATGTGCTATATCCATACTCATATGCTGGCCATCTCTACTATACTGTCATTCATGTGGTTTGTAGCCACAAAACTACTTGATAAATAACTTTTTATTTTTAATTGGTGCTGTGATAAATGCCTGCATTGTGCTCTGCCATCTTTCATACAGAGCCCATACAAGCTGGAAAGCCTTTCACAAGTTTTGATGGGCCTAATTACAGAATCATATCGACCAAAAACAGTAAAACACTCCCAAGCATCATGTATCTGATAGAGATGGTGCTGGAGAGAAAGAAAACAGCAGCTATAAGAAAACACATACCCTAGGCTAATCTCTCTCTAATTTATGTTTTCATCTTTCAAGTAAATCCATAACCCCTAACAGCAGTGTCCAGTCAAGCTGGAAGTCAATGGGCATGGTAAAAGGGTGTGCCACTGACACAAATCACGTAACCTGCCAAAAGGGGCGAACATGCCCAAAAAGAGGACATGTCTGCCCAAAGAATTAGAAGGCCAGCCTGGCATGAATGCATGTCAGGCTGCCTGCCAATCATGCAGCTGGCCAACTAAGGGCATACTATGCAGACAGCACCCTGAGCTTGGCATAAATGCATCTAATGATGCGCTCACTCAACGCTTTCTAAGGACTGTTCCACAGCACTCACTGGTCCACTTGTCTCCTTACCTTCTTATTAGCAGGCAGAAGCTCCTGGTATATAGTCTGTGAAGGAGAAAAGCTGTATGTAGTGAGTTTAGAAGAAAGGGAACATGCCACAGTGTTAGAGAGACCAAAGTCAGCATTACCTTAAAGGATCACTAGAGGGTCAGGAACACAAACATGAATTCATTACCCTATAGTGTTAACACCACCATCTAGCCCCCCTGGACCCCTCATGCCTCCATAAATATAGCAAAATCTTACTATATTCAAGCCTGAAGCTGTAACTCTGCATGCTGTTAGACTCATAAAAACAAGCAGTCTGCTGACATCATTATAAGTGGTGGCCTGATCCAATCACAGTGCTTCCCCATAGGATTGCCTGAAACTGACAAAAAGGCAGATCAGGGTCAGAGCCAGCATGATTAAAACACAGCCCTGGCCAATCAGCATCTCCTTATAGAGATTAATTTAATTAATGAATCTATATGAGGAAAGTTCAGTGTCTGCATGCAGAGGGAGGAGACACTGAATGTTTAGATACATTTTAGGCAGCCATGACCCAGGAAGGATCTCTAACAGCCATCTAAGGAGTGGCCAGTGAAGTTATCATTAGGCTGTAATGTAAAGACTGAATTTTCTCTGAAAAGACAGTGTTTACAGCAAAAAGCCTGACGGTAATGATTCTACTCACCAGAACAAATTCAATAAGCTGTAGTTGTTCTGGTGACTATAGTATCCCTTTAACTATATTCATTGTCAGCCAGTCCACACAAGTTTTGTTCCCATACATCCCTCTTAAGTTTCCATACTTAAGAGTATGTGAAAAGTAGTTAGGGTTGCCACCTTTCTTGAAAAAACATACCGGCCTTACTAATTTGCATAATTAAATATGTATGCGTGACATCACATGATGTAAATCACAAGGAGTGACATAAGAGAAAATTCTGTAAAATCACCAAAAAACTACTTAGTTTGATTCTGCTGTATAGATGGATTCCTCCCAGTGCCCTCATGACTCAGTGCCCCCATGTGTCGATTACTCCAAGTCTCAGTGTTCCTA